AATCAAGTATCTTGCTTGGGATTGACTATTTCACTAAACTATTCATTGTCAACCAGCTGCCAGTGAAGTTTCTTCAGGATTCTGCTTGAATCTGACATTCTTTGAATACACAATCTCAGGAAGGCACTCGCATGAAGGGCCTGGAGTTTGAAATAAGAAATGTAAAACCTTTTCTCGCAAACGGAAAACAATTTCGATTACCCCAACTTCTGCAATTTAGAGAGTATGGGATTTACGAACTCCTTATCGGATCTCCTTATCAAAAAACGAACTCCTTATCAAGAAAAAACCGAGAAAACTTTCGAAAAATTCTACAAAACTATAGAAATCACAATTAAAAAGATATATGTTCGCCTTCCGTGGAAGGCCAATAAAGATAAGCTAGCAAATAATTTCAAACTTGCATTGAGTAGACTGCACCAGCAATACAATCTGGTCCATCGAAACCTAAAACTTTGGGAGGAGTATTGCAAAGTAGTTTGTGACCAGCTAAATAATGGCATTGTAGAAAAGAATTGTAGAAATGTGACCAGCTAAATAATGGCATTGTAGAAAAAAAAGAGTAAATTCTGCTGCAAGCCCATTATATTATATTCCGCACCAAGCGGTATTGAAATCAACTAGTCATAAACCAAGGTCCGAATTGTTTTATACGCATCACCCAAATGCAAAGGCGAGTTGGCTTCAATGATGTGGCACACGAAGGACCACTCCTCTTACTCAACTTGACCGGAATCATACTTCGAGCAAGAGCGGGTAACGAAATCCTCATAGAAGACGTAGAAAAGGCTTTCCATACCATTCACCTCAACAAGCTTGATCGAGACGCAGTGAAATTTCTCTCGCTGACTGACAAAACGCAACTTCCTACGCCTGAGAACATCGAAATATTGAGGTCTAGAAGATTAGCATTCGGAATCAATGCTTGACCATTTCTACTGGCAATTTCTTTACGATACTCGTTCAGATACAGCAAGCCACTGTAATTTCAAAGGAGCTAGTGCGCAATATATACGTAGACAATATGCTAATGACCGCAGACGAACCAAATGAACTAATCGAGAATCACAAGCTTGCAAAAAGCTATCTCAAGATATGAAAATGAACTTAAGAGAATTTATGACCAACGATGAAGAGTGTAACGCAGTGATATCAAAGTCGGATTTGGCACAACATGAAAAGCAGAAAATTCTAGGAATACCATGGAAACCAAAAACCGATCATCTTCTACTACAATCGAAACCGCAATATAATCCTTGCCCAACAAAACGTATAGTGTTAAGAACCACTCAAAGCACATTCGATCCGCTACGATTGCTTGCTTACAACTATCACCATCGGATGATGCTCAGTAAAAAGATATATGTATGTTCACAGGGAGAAAGCTTTGAAATTAGCCTTATAAGACAAGTATAGCCCTCCAACAGAATATTAAATATCAACTGCATGCATTTGTCGATGCTTCTTTTAGATGTTACGCGGCCTACACCTGCGTGAGAATGGTGGGAAATAATGGAAAAGTAATAAGCTCAAAGATCGTGGCCGCACGCAATTGACCCGCTCCAAAAGCTTCAAACAAAGCAATCAAATCTCACAATCCCGCGACTAAAACTAAAGACACTTCAATTGGTCATGCAACTAACACGTTTCATATGTAAAGAATTGGACGTGCCCATTGAAGAGGTTCATGTTTTCAGCGACTCTCAAATAGCTTTACAATGGATGAAAAACCACAAAAGGGCAAACACGTTCATTGAAAATCGCGTCACCATTGTAAAAGAGATCATATCAGATCTTGAAAAGGATTCAACCACATGTCGATTGGCATGTATTCTTACAAACGAAAATCCTGCAGATTGCGCAAAGCGGGTAGTAACAGCCGATTAATTCAATAAACATGTGAGGTGGAAAAGACCCGCATTCTTGAAGCAGGTCCAGCAAACATGGAAGCATATTACATACTTCCCTGGAGAACCAAAGAAAACAACAAGAACGGAATTTGAGGAGAATTGGAGCTCAAAGCAGGCATGTTCACGAAATCCTTCAAAGAAGTCCTTCAGGGCGTTCCTCGCGTACCCGGTACGATAAGAAGACATTGGTCAACGATCGCTCGCGACAGGAACGAATGGAAGCGCCAGTGGATCCCACTCGTGTCAAGCGATGATCAGCGGGGATACAGGTGTTACAGGTGATGTTTTATCAGTTTATTACATGTTGACACAAAATGCGGTTGACAAATCAGGAGATGTATCAGCGGATTATTGCTTTTCTGCGTTAACTGCCCATAGATCTTATTTTTTCTCTTATCCATTCTTGAATACTGATATTTTTGCGTCAAATATTTAGGCCCGTATGCACGTACCGCTGGGGAGGGGAGGGGAGCTCCAGGGGAGCGATCCCCTCCCCTGCACCTAAGCGGGGATGGCGTGAATGGTTTCAGAGGTATTGATCGAGCGGATCCCAGTGCATACGGGGTTCGAATGGGAGAGGGGATCGACATCCCCTACAACGGAGTAGGGGTTCGATGGTGTAGGTCAAGCTAGAGGAGCGAGTATTCTAAGTTCAATCAATTATTACAAAGCATTTCGTTCAAATTGATGAAAGATTTTCTACGGGAGCCGGGTTCCTCTCTCAGCGACCTGTAGCTTGCAGTTTTAACTCTCTCTTTCATATTTGCCTCTTGTAAAAAAAACCCGGACATATATCTGCCAGTTCCGAATATCTGTAGAAGTTTGAGACCATTCACGAGAGTTGCGCATTTTCTACTTGGTATGATTGTTTTATCCATTTAGGCTGGTACAACATATTGTAATTATCACATTATATGATAAATTTTCTTTATCTTGTTATTCTAGCGTAAAACTGATTTGAATAAAATGAAAATTAGCAGAATCGCGTGTTTCTGAGTAGAGATCCTCGGGGGAGTGATCCCCTCCCCAGCGTTCCCCTTGTGCATAGCAGGGATGGCCGCTGGGGATCATTCCCCTGGGATAAAGGACGATATGCAGCTGATAGCTACAGCGTTTATGGAGAGCTGGCACAATTTGCAGCTTCTGTTATGTGTTAAAATACTGCTTTGAGCGTCAGCGCGGCACCCCCCCCCTTTTCGGCAGCATAACGTCTTCTACCCATTCCCTTGCAGAGACACAGCAACTTCTATAGTTCAACATTTTTACGCTGAAATGGGGCAGCAGAGCGAAAGTGGGCAGTATCCAAGAAAGCAGGAACATAATGGGAGTAGAGAAAATCATTTTTGGTGCCGCAGTCACTGCATACGCGCATTCCGCAACTTTAAATTATTGAAAGTCAGGAGATGAAGATGAGTTGCAGTCAAAATATGAAATAAGAAAGAGTTTTTCATGAAAAATTTGAAAGCAAGGTGATTTCCCCACTTGATCCCCTCTTGTGCATAAGGGGGTTCACTTCCCCTCCCCACAGGGGATCCCTTGTCCGATATTGTCTTTGTGCATACGCGGGTTCGCGCGGGGAGGGGAGGGGATCCCCAGCGGGGATCATTTCAATGGTATAACGCACATCCCCTCCCCGCGGGGATGTACGTGCACGCGGCCTTAGGGCCGCATGCACTAAACCTCCCCGCTGAGGAAGGGATCGCAGCTTAAAAGAAAGCTTCATATTTCGAAACTCCAGATACCTATATTTCACGTTGTGTACCTATCCGTAAGTATTCCTACGACCCTTCACTATGAACATGTTGAACAGGAGCGAGAACTCAGGCAAAAATACCGGGCGAGCGCCGCGCTAATCAGAGTACCCCCGCCGAGCGGTTGCATTATCCGGTCGAGCGTCCTCATTCGCCGGGCGAGCGCCCCGCCATAATAGAGCACCGGGTGGGCGGCTACATTCACCTGGCGAGCGGCTGTCAATCAACCGGTCGGCCGGTGTAAGATCAAGAGATGTCGGGCGAGCGCTTGCAAACAGTGACCGAGCGGCATCAATGATCGGTCCACCATCCCGCAATCGAAGCGCGGGAAATCGATGGTGTTCAAATGTTGCTGGCAACCGAACATTTCACACGTCAGGACGTGTCAATACCTGGCATGTCAACGCCACTTTCACACCTCAGGACGTGTCAATACCTGGGCTGGCATGTCAACGCCACTTTCACACCTCAGGACGTGTCAATACCTGGCATGCCAACGCCACGCTACTTTCATTCATTCATTCACACTCACCCACTCTCCTTACATTCTCGTACACTCATCCTACTTTCATATTTTTTCTTATTACCCTTCCTTTACCATCCCTCTTCAGACTGGAATACATGAACTACAGCGAAATGTATAACGCCAGGATTAGCCACATCCAACAACGTCGAAGATACGGATGTGAGTACTGTTGAATTCACTTTCAATCCTCCCCTCTTAAACTGAACGAAAGCTCTGCTTTCGTTCAGTTTTTGGGGTAATCATCTTTCATCTCGAATTGAAATCCTCTCATATCTTGTTTGCTTTGGCTAGAAGTAAGGTCTTAGGTAAATTGTTTTTGTGTATATACACGAAAACAATTTTTCTGCCCACCATCGATAATTTTTTTCCTGTATGATAGAAGAAGTCGCAGAGTTCGTGTGGTTTTAGAAGAATATAACTTCAACAGTCCTTTCGAAAATCTCGAACACAACCTTTCCTTACTCGTACATCCTCTTCGCGAAATCGGCCTTTCTTTGATGCAATTGATAAAAGAAAATAATGATTTTTTTATGAGGTAACTTCTCGAAGTATTAAGATCCGTCCAGCGAATTTTATAAATTGTGCATGCACATCATTCAATTTTGATTCCTCTCAATATGTATCCAAGCTTTGATTATCATTCATGCGTTAAGAAGTTGTTACGATGAAGAACAATCACATTCCGAAATTGTATTTATTCAATCATATGTTTGCATATCATGTACCTATATGAAAATTCGCTTACAAGTACTTTTAGGATTGCAGGTCTACAATACTTCTTTTAGCGCTTACATTCTTTTCGAGTACACAGCTATGAGAAGAACGGCCTTGTGTGTACAACGTCAGCCAAAGCCTGTAAAAGATGTTCCGTTCAAACGCGTTATGCCGGTGCATAAAGCTCAGCCGTAAGTTCTTACATTGAGTTTTTGGATTCATTTTCGGTGTCTGATTTCAGGCAAAAAAGAACTTTCACTGACAAGGTGAGATCTGAAGAGACCTACATTCCACATCTGGTCAAGATTGATGGTGAAGACGAACTTTATGGAGAGGATTTTACACATGGTTTATGATGTTTACGGATTATTTTCATTGACAATCACCTATACTCAACTTACAGAACTCTCTTTTGCCCGAACTGATCTAAGAATGGAAAATGCTACGGAGGAGGTAAATTTGTACCAGTGCGTGTGCAACGGTGCATTAGATCTGAACAAGGCTGCGAGATTGATACTCAGACAGAAGAACAACGGAACATTCAACCAGCAAGTTTACGATGTAGGTCAATGTTGGTTCAGAATGGTGTGCAATAGCATATATCTCGGCAGGAGTTTGTCCGATCTGAGGAAGCACATAAAGTTTATCGTTTTTGTGATGAGGGACTGTTCAATTTGCGTGACCCGACGGAAGAGATGCGTTTACATAGCATCGCAAATTTCTTGATGGTGATTTTCTCTTGCAAATTTGAACAGCATTAATAAGGAACGAGTTCAGTGTGCAATCCAGTTTTCCAAAATAGATCGTCTTACCGCATGGTAGAGATTGGAGGAAAGGAGCAACAAAGTTTAGCCGTGGAAGAAGAGGGCCTCACTATCTCGATTCACAATTGCACTCGAGAGTGGAAGCTAGAGGGACCACCGCCATTTCTGCATGTAAGGAATAAAGAGCAATAAGAAAAACAAAACAAGTTTCAGACTAGCCTGAGTAACTTGATCGTCAACTATCAAACAAAAGCTGGCGATACCGCCTTCAAGATGTTCATGAGCTTTTACAGATACATCCTGGTACAGGTAATCATGCCTTATAACTTGCAGAGGTTCTGGTATCAATGTCATTTTTACAGATAACGGAACCGCGAGAATCCATCCAAGAATATTCCCTGAGGCTCAATGGGAAAGGAGGCCGCAATTCAGAACTTAAAAACTTGCCGTCTAATGTCGAAACTACACTTTTAGGTATGTATTTGATATCGAAATAGTTCAGGACTTTTGATTTTAGACTTTGGCGAAGGCACAATCGGCTATGGGCATCCAGAACTCAAAATGCCAGCCGTCAATGTCGACAGTACAAGGTGAAGCTAGGATGAATTCTCCAAAAAGTTGTAGTTTGATTTTTTACAGTTTTTTCGCAAGTCTTGGAGAAACAAGAGAGGAAAGGGCGGAAGTATTCGAAAGGATGGCACATGAAAGGATTGTGTATAGGCGGGACCTCTTCAAAGCCCTGCAAACGGCCTTGTGAGTAAAGGAACTCTTTCCCAACGCTACATCTCCTAGATCATTTTGTTTAGAAGAGATATTCGCGCATACGAATATGACGTCGAAAACAATAAATGGAGGCTTTATGATGTAAGCGTTCTCTTTTATAAAAGTTTACATACAATTATGCATATATTTTTAAAAAAAAAACGCGCAAGGCCGAATGATGACTGCTTGACTGTTCGTCCATAAGTCGGTATGCGCTGCCGTCGTAAATGACGATGTGACCATTTTTGAGCTTTTTTTGCGTTCCTTTGTTCATTATGTTTTTGAAAGAGATCTGCTGTTGTTGATTTGTTTAGCTTAGAAAAATTATTTGTTCTGTTGTTCGTGTAGATAATTTTGTGTGAGCTATGATTGTTTTGGCTTGTTAATTGTTATCTCACGCATTATAACTAAGTTCGAATAAAAATTCATGTTTTGTGCAGTTGTAACTTCTGGATAACAAAATTCAATTATCTAATTATAACAGAGACCACGCGAGCATCCACAAAGACCGCGCGAGCATCCACAAAGACCACGCGAGCATCCACAAAGACCGCGCGAGCATCCACAAAGACCACGCGAGCATCCACAATGACCGCGCGAGCATCCACAAAGACCGCGCGAGCATCCGCAAAGACCGCGCGAGCATCCACAAAGACCACGCGAGCATCCACAAAGACCGCGCGAGCATCCACAAAGACCGCGCGAGCATCCGCAAAGACCGCGCGAGCATCCACAAAGACCGGGTGAGCGTACTACGTTTGGATTGCTGGCCGCTGAGGGCTCGCAATGACCGGGCGAACGGTCGCCGATACCGGGCGGGGGCTCGCGTCTATCGGGCGACCCGGAAAAGTGAAATCCGCTCGCGCGGTACTTGTGACCGCTGGCCCGGAACTTTTGCCTGAGAAGCTGTACGAACCGCATTTTCCAGCTTTTGTATGATCCCTGATGATCCCCGCCGCTTTTCTTTAAAGTCATTTTTCTTTCTCCGAAGTCAACGAAAACCCTTTAAAGTTGTACTGAACATCTAACACAACAGTGCTAAGCATGTTGCTGATGAGAACAAATGAGTTATTGAAAAGTCGAATTTTTCGGTAAACCTCAAATTTTGACCAGTGGATCATCGAAAATTCCATGACTTCAAAACAACATTTGTTCTTATCAGCAACATGCTCAGCACTGTTGGATTAGATAATCTGCACAACTTTGGAGGTTTTTCGTTAACTTCGGAGAAAGAAAAATGACTTTAAAGAAAAGCGCCGGGGATCATCAAGGATCATACAAAGGCTGGAAAATGCGGTTCGTACAGCTTCTCGCTCCTCTTCAACATGTTCATAGTGAAGGGTAGTAGGAATACTTACGGATAGGTACACAACGTGAAATACAGGTATTTGGAGTTTCTAAATATAAAGCTTTCTTTTAAGCTGCGATCCCCTCCCCTCGGGGATGTTAGTGCATGCGGCCCTTAGTCTTGCGCTGTGCGTATTTGCTTTTGCTGTTTTTGCAGTTTGAGCTGTGCATTATTTCATTTTGCGATTTTTTGCAACCTGTACTGTGCGTTATTTTTTTAAGGCTTTGCAATTTAAGCTTTGCATTATTTCTCTTAGACGTTTTTGCAGTTTGCTCGCTATTGCACTTGTTTTTGAAGTAGGTTCGGAGTTGATTATTGAAAAAGAAAAAAAGTAAATGAATTGAGCTTTTTCTTTTTTTGTTTTTCCTCCTTTTTTACATGTTGAATTGACATTGACAAAAAACGGAATGATGCCTAGTCATTTCCGATAGCCTCATTGCTTTTTGCGGAAAAAGCTTTTGGGTTGATAGGAGGCCGCCATGTGCGTAGCTGGCATTAAGCAGCGCTCGCACCGTGATTCTCACAATTCAAAGAAGACGGGCTCAGTTGACGGTATAAAGGGAAGAGAAGCAAACGAGGAGAGAGTTCGTGATATCCAGTGCTTTGACGAACATCAAACTTAGTCAATACAAATCAAGCAATAAATATTAGAATCCGGTTGTTATTGACCAAGACACTTACGGATAGGTAGACAGCGTGAAGTCCAGGTTTTAGAAGCTTCAGGCTATGAAGCTTCCTTTTTAGCTGCGATCTTCTCCCTGGCGGGGATGTTAGTGCAGTCCCTAAGAAAGGCTTCAGTCACGAGTGCTCCACATGGTCCCTGGCAGCAAGAAGTGCGGGGGCATTGGCAGTCTACATCGTCGTCAGTGTTACATAAGATGCTACTCCCAAATCTGGAAGTCTGGAAAAATTTTGACGCTTTCCGTGACAATATTGTCGCGATACTATAATCGCGTACGTAGGCTGCTGCAGGACAAAGGCGCAGGAGCAGTATCGGTTGAGCGGACGCAAACGCGGCTCGTGCGTATCTTCACCGCAGACTCTGCGCCTCATGCCAAAGATATTGCGCCTTCGTCATGCAGCAGCCTACTTGTGGACGAATGTGTCATGTAAGGCCGGCAAGTATATACTCCTATTCAAATCTCGCCGACAGCAAGTATATACCCTATTCGAATCTCTTGCTGTAAAGAGTCACGACTGCCTGATTTTAATGCAGTGAAGCTTCACTTTGGCTATTCCCCCACTTTGTCCAACCCGATTTAGCATGTCTTGAGTCATCACACGTAACTCTCTTAGGATTAGTGCGGGAAGCAAATTAAATCTTGTAGATTTGGAAACCAACTCATTAGCAAGGGCCCAGGAAAAGATATGAGCATTGAAACATTCAAAAGCGACGACCGGTGGCCCACGTCAAAGAGTTGATTAAAACAGTATCATGTGCTTGCGATTTTACTGAACCGTAAGCTACTTTAGTAACCTAAAAATTATTAAAACCTTAGTAAACTTCTACGATACTACATTTGTACATACAGTGTGTCAAAAAATTCATCGATGTGATCTCCGATAACTTTCCACTGAGCAGCTTTTGCGAAGCTTTGGGAGTGAGCTCAACTTCAGTTTATTACAATGTAATAAGAGCCCATCGCTGTTTTTATTGTGGAATTGCGGTAGAAACTTATTTTGCCGTTGTAAATCAGCTGATTCAGATCAATTTTAAAACTTTTGGAAACCTTTGTGGTGGACTTTTTAGATTGTCTGATTCTAGTAATTAATTGTGTAAGTTTGTAAAGCAGGTTACGGTGCAGCGGTCGCAACCCTGAAGGACTACGGTGAAGCGAAAAGCTTGTACATGGAATCAGTAATGCCAACCTACGTCGTGGTAAGTTCCCAAATTTATTTCGGATATTGTATATGCCCTCATTATGCAAAAAATTGAAATTTCCCTCAACCCTACAGTAATAATGAGCAATTTCAAACGTTCTGCACTTTAGTCTAATTGAAGCCAGCCCTATAATATGCTACTAGGCTTCTCGGAAGAGAGTTCAGACGTTTGGTACAATTTGGCACACTTTGCACTTCGGTACTTGAAGCCCTGTTTAAATAGTACTCTCTCCTTGGCCGAGTTTTCGCCTGTTTTCCTGTCATCGTCGAGTCCCGGCGAGCGCTAGTCCCTTCAAAGTTCTCATGCCCTGCAGACAAAACAAAAAAAATTGATAGAGAACTGCCTAAGGTCAAATGGAATAGCTCATCTTCTCAGGCCAAATGAGATTTTGCTGCCACTGAGTGACAGGTTCTCACGACAGATGAACAAGAAGCCTCTGGCATAAATTGGTGGGATGTTTTTATGATTTCATTGCCTGACTCCTAAGGTTTCGAGGAACAAATAACCGGAAAAGCCTTTAAAGAGATAACGACAAGTGAACGAGGCACAGATGCTTTACAGACTGGATTTACTGTTCATGATTTCGAACGAATCAGTTATTGTAGTTCTGAACAGCACAGCACGTTTTCATCCTATTTCGTTGATGTTTCATTCTCTCAAGCTCGCAAAAATTCGATTTACTGAGTCATTCTTGAAAATCCCCATCTTGAGGAGAAAAAATACAGACGTGCTGTCTTTAGTGATAGTACTTAGCATTGGCGCTCACCAACCGTAGGCTAAAAGTCGGTCTGAAAGTTGCATCAGGACTGGAACACACAGGAGAACTTCAAGATAGCCTTGTTTTTTTTTTGTTTCTTTGATGATGGTTGTTTTTTCTCTTTATGTCTTACGTCTATTCAAATGGAGTGAAGTAAGGTTGATCTCGACCACAGTTTCATCGCTAGATACGATAAGGACTGTAGGAAGTAAACGATATCGCGCGTATGTGAAAAGACGCAACTGTTAGATATCACCTCAGTGAAATAGTCTCTTAGGTAGACTGACTGCAGTCAGATAGTCATTCACGAATTATTCCAAGTTTCTGCTCACGGTAGGCTGCTCGATGTGCTGATTACAACATGTACGTTCACTAAAATCTGCTGAGAATTGCTCTATAACGTAAAGCTCTTATTCAGTAATCTGTCAAAAGTCGAATTAGGTTGAATGTTGCCCTTGGTTTATTCGTCCACTCTGAGAGGGATATGGCATTGCGACGCAAATGTCGCCAACTTTTGTGACGATAGTCTACTTTTTTAACACGTTGACGACAACGCGCATTTTTATTTGTTTGTCTTGTGGGACAATGCCTTCTTCCAATAAGTCGAAAAATTTTTAGATAAATCACGCAAATGGTCATCTATGCTGTATCTATATGAATTCTGAAAAGCAGTCAAGAAACGTCAAAGTATCGTCTATTATCAGAACGTAAAAGTCCTCATGAAACACGAATATACTCATATTGTAATCATTTCAACAAAATTTGAGCCGTTTCCCACCATGTGGGTCACAATGTCCCATGTGGCAGTCATTGCATGACCCACCATGTGGGTCACGTTGTCGTCAATGGAAGTATGAGCGGTATGCATACTATCAGTGATCTCCGCGTAATCTTTGATCTTCGTTGTTCCATTGTGGCAAACGTAGTACTTTTGAAATACGTTACGTGAGCATGCAAATAAAAAAATCTAAAGCTTCCTACATGACTCCCCAGTGCAGCTCAATTTATAATTAAGCCCATAAAAAGGATGCCTCACCTACCCTCAAACCTATGCAAGAATGAGAATTAGATAATTTATAATTAGACATCACACTTGATGCTGAGAAATGAGTAGAAGAGAGGAGAGTTGGATGTGCAAGCAAACAAATCCTTTGCTTCCATGTACACTAACTCTTCAACCACAAAAGTTACTCAAACGTTCAACGTTTCTAGACCTATCACTTACCTTTTGAATTGGATCCAGCGTGTTGATACGAGTTCGGCCAACTTCACTGATGCTACCAGTAGTCGTAAAATCTCTCTTCCTTAAAGCACCCTCAATGCTCTACGTGCACCTTTTTCTTCTCTAAAGCAAATGCAAGCTAGCTTGGGGATTTTCGGCAGAATCGACCAAGACGGTTTCCATCCGCATCTGTTTCCTTAATAATTATGTAAGGTTTATGGATGATATGCCAGGCAACTCTATTTAGTATGGTCCCTAGTTCATGAGCGAAATCAGTTGTGTTCAGGCTTACTTTCCCGGCTTAACATTATCTGTCTTGAACCAATATTAAATGCATCCTTGTTGTGATCCGACAATCAAGCACATGCAGCTGTCATGTTTCTATGTTGTTGATCCTGCTCAAACTAATGACTGCAAGAAGTCGACATAAGCAACAACGTTGAACAAGCGTTGTTCAGATAAATTGAAAGATGGCCGATCTTATCTAATTCCCGAATATATCGGTCTGCAATCAAACACCAAATGCGGCGATTTTTTTTATTTGTTATCAATCTCCGACAAAGTGTACCAAATTTCATAGTTCAACCAGGGCTCGGCACGAGGTGGCTTACAAGCAAGCTGGATATCGTTTTTGGGACGAAAAGCAAAGGGGGTTTCGTTTTTGTGACCGAAGAGACACGCAAAATTGGCGATTTGGCGACGTTTTTTTTTTAGTCGACGTTTCGTTTTTTGGAGGATTTTTAGGGAATATGGTGGGGGGTCAAAGGGGACTTCGTAAAAATACCCAAAAGTCAAGGGGGACTTCGTTTTTTGCATTTTCATCTAGCCACCTCGTGCCGAGCCCTGAGTTCAACTGAGCCTCAAAACTAGAGTTGTCTGCCTCCCTCCACAAACGGCTCAAAATCCGTAGTTTACATTTCCTATCGATAACCTAGGGATTATCACGCTTTCGCCGGTTCTCGAGTAAAGAACATTCGCAAACGCAAAGGTGAGAGTGCAAAGAAGCTTTTGCTTGTTCGGTACTCTCAAAGCGTACTTTGCGTTGAGTTCCCAATACAGACTGCATGAGATTCAGCTGAGTTGCTGGATTTCACAATTGCCCAGTAGCAACATATTTCTAATTTTTTTTGACGAATAAATCAAGATTATAGGATATGTAGATATGAGTAAAAGGAATCGTTACTGTTTTTAGCACCGCGTAAATATGCAAACAAACTCTAGCTATTCTGACAAATGAAAAGTAAAATAAAAGAAGCGGGAAAGGAAAAAAAGAAGAGGAAGAAAATTGAAGTGGGTGGCTGACAACGCTGAGGATAAGTAACTTGCCGCAGACTGTCGCACACCTCAAAAATACTGCATATTTGTCATCAACTAAATTCGTTTTGGAAGAACCAAGGTCTCTGCTCGGCTAAGAATTGGTCTAGTAAACTTGTGGATTTTTTATGCTTTAGCATTGTTTATTTGAGAGTTCATTCAGATTCTACAATTCATTTCCACCATAATTTTTGGGCAGATTGTGGATTGTTAATAGATTTTTGATACATTCAGGAAAATGAGAGTATACAGCTTTCTCATGCAGGTATCCTCGAAAGGTACACAAATGTATTATCTATGCCAAATGGGATTTACCTCATAGATCGTGAATGCAATAATTGAACTTTTTGCTTACGTGATTGGAAGTGTACATTTGGCAGAAGAAGTTTATCATAATTTCATGTACAGTGGGACATTGCATAGTTACATATGGTCAGAACAACATATGGGAATGTGAGGCATTCATTATGTGATAAAAAACCAAAGTGTGCATTATTAACAAACAAGATTCTCATCAGTCAATCATGATTTCTCTGCCCACACCGATTGGGTCTTCCTTGAGATCGATTCGTTGTTTCATAGCGAACTGAAGAAAATCAAATATATTTAACCAGATACTGACGCCAGTGGAGTGCAAATAGCTTACCTGGAAGTGACATGAGCCCTTGCTTAGTAACCGTACGATTTTTCGCTGCTCGATAGTGACCACTTGTTTTACCTAAAATAACAGTAATTCAAGCTATTTTTCACTATTTCAATTGACTTTAGTTCAAAACAACGAAATAGGTATAGCAAAATAAAGCATTTTCACCAACAATCAAAAACTTTGAGGAAACATATGTTCCAAAAAGCAAAAACAAACCTCTTTCTTGCAGTGTGGGCTTTCTAGATGGGCCAAGAAGACTTCAGCAATATTCACACGAATTGGCAGTACAAGAGCACCGTCTCTTCTCCTAGAATAAAAAAATTCTTACAAATTTATAGAACGCATCTCATAGTGTTTCAGCTTCTTCCTCCCACATAATTTTTCTTTTCCGCACTGATTTTTATTTTTTGTGGCAAAGTGCGATTTTCCGCACAATTTCTTGAGAAAAAAGTAAACAGTTTCTTCAATGTTTTTTCATATTGCTCTTATTCATATTATGCACAGTGAGGTTGATTCTAGTGACACTTTCAGTTTTCGAGAAAAGACGAGTCTAGCATCCCTCATTTCCTAGAGGCAAGGAAAGGAATCAACTTTCTATAATATTTAATCATTAAACTATTAGAATTCCTCGCAAATTAATAGACCTTTGCAAAATTCATGAAGTACAGCAAACTGTGAGTAAAAAGAACATGCACGTTTTTATAACTCGAATAGACCGCTCACAAAAGCTCCGCAACTATCGCTGACATTCTATAGTAATTTTTGAAGAAGCTTGACTATCTATGTTTCCCAAGTTTAATTCTACTGAATTAACTACTAAATGAACAATGTGTACTGTATTCATTTGCTTCAATGAAGCCCTCATTAGCAGGGCTTTCAAATCGCCCCTGATGATTACGAAATGAATGCTACTAATCGTGATTGTGCTTTTGCGTCATTCTCGTTGGCTTATCTGATGATTTGCATAGTCATCTTCGCACTTTCTTACAACGAAACCTTAATGGACGTATGTTGCTGGTAATGAAAGTTTATGAAAGGACAGAGCGGTGAGTGGGTGTTTGTCAGGGCATAGATAACATCTGCAGAGGGGAAATTTCTTTTTTAGGTAAGAGCGACGTACAGTCCTCTCAGCGTGACCAGTTGCTTCGTGTAATTGCACTACTTTGAGATCTGCAAGAGATGCAAAAGGGCGGTTGTAAATTTGCCCACATTTGAGAAATGCTAGACTTTGGGGTTACATCAAAAATCAGCAAGAAGTAAAAAGAAGACCCCATACTTGGCAATTGTGAAACAAAAATTAATGCAATTACATAAGAGGACAGTGAAGATCTGAATAAACAGGGACAAATCTTGATCTACATTCTATAATAAGAATAATCTGCGGGATGAATTGGAAACATGATTGAAACTTTAGGAAATGGAAACATGATTGAAACTTTTAGAAATTGGAAACATGATTGAAACTTTTAGCAAGGCATAATTTGAAGAAAAGCATGCCAAAGTCAAAAATAAGCGAGCATGGCCGGTATTATTGTGCTTGAGAAAAAACGCGAAAAATGATTTTCAAATCTTCATGAAATTGCAAATCTGGGAACAATTTCCACACAACTCGGGCAAATTTGATTACCATACTTCGCGTTTTGAAACACACATTCCATTCAAACACTTTTGCGTCGTCTTAGCTTGCCGCTCCCATCAAAAAGATTCTTTTATCATTTATTTGGACTTTGATCAGAAGACTTCGTAATCCTATACTTGTACCTTATTCTCACCAATTACAAAAGGGTCTTCATTAAGCCCCTTGTAAGCGCTTTCAGAAAGTAAAAATGTCATGAGATTACGAAATAAGTGTAGGCTGTATTGAATTTGGATACGGTAATTCCCACGGACATTTCCTCGATAATTGTTGGATATTATGAAAGCTAACGTAAATAATCGACCGGCTTACGTAGGTTCTCACGCAGTCTAAATGGCTGTTAACTAAATATCGCCCAAATTGAAATCGTGGGAAAACGCGTGTCGTTTTTCAGCCACCAATTATTTTGGTCGGTTTGCAGCATTGCCTGTGCAGTAGGCATTAGGAAGTCAGTAAAGGAATAATCTCTATTCTCGGCATCGGAAATTTTATGTATAAGTTTTGTACTAGGCGAAAAAGGGATATAGCCACAAAGAACGATTCTGAAGTAACCAATTTTGCAAGAGGAGAAGATGCCATCCACTATTCAAATAATTCTTTTATGGCGTAATTACGATTTTTGGCAAAATTTTCGAACAAAAGAAGATAAAGAAGCGAAATGTAAAATGTTAGATTAGAAAATAATGCTGGGGATTAGAGCGGTCTTTGAAAAGTTTCCAAACAAATTTCTGCACAACTGTTTAGCACCGTCAAAAAAGTTTGGATTTGATATTGTACCTTTATTGCGACAAAATTCCTCACCGGAAAAAATTTTTCTTGTTCGCAACTTGACCAGCAAAATAACTGATTTTTCACACCAAATTCACAAGCAACGGAGTTTTGAATGCGAAGTTCAGAATCTACGAATTCACAGCTAAGTGTTGATTTTCTTATGGGAAAATTTGAGGCATTTTCATTGAAATTGAGTATTCCAACATTCTCGTTGGTTTTGGCATATAGCCATCGCTTTACATTACCTCCTATTTCACGCTCCGAAACTTGGAGTTTGAGAAGTGATCAATAATTCAGTGAACTGATCAGGTTGACATTTCTGAGGCATTAGCTCAAGCAGTTTTCTGCAGAAATTCGAATTTTCAACACATTTTGGCAATGAGCCAATCTAGTGCCTTTTGAACACATTTTTTACTTTACATACGCTCTTTCGAAACAATCAAGTGGATCAATGAATCATCCAAAATTTTACAGCAGCGTGGCTTCAAAGTGTTGTTCTGACCTTGCATTTCTCAAAATTTTTTACGGATTTAAGCAAGCCAACTTATAAGTCTTTATACTGACTTTCTAGATAAATTCGATCCCACCAGCCATATCAAAATTGCCTCAAAGTGAGGCACATGGCGGCGGCATGAGCACAGAGAGGCGATTGCTGTAATGGCGGCGCTGACTGGATGTCCTTCGTTGGTTCAATTAGGCCATTCAAGTCACTATTCGTTGAGCATTTACCGCATACTCGACTATGCAAACACAACGACCTCTATCTGTTTGGAGTGCTCGCCCCTCACCCTAAACGTTCGCGATTGCGCGACAAAAGCCAGCGCCTTGCATGAGCCCCCGCACATGAGCCAGCACTCTGTAATTTCCGTGAAATATTAATCTTCTCAGACAGCCAGCGATATTCGAGACGAATTACTGTTGTTTGTCTTAGGAGAGCGTTATACGGACTATAAGACCACCATTGAACCATGATTTGCATGCAAGAAAGAAAAAAACTGTCTTATATTAGGTTTCCAAAAAATGGTCTCGGTTTTAGTTTGCAAAGGGTGCGACTTTGTCTAACAATAAGTATGGGACCACCAAAGATGTTAATTGAAAAATTATATCGAGAGTTGAATAAAATTATCCTCCAAGGGAGCATACATGTTTAGTGAGGCTTACCTCCTTATTGAGATTACGACACTCCCTGATAGTTTTGTGACCACAGAGTAACTTCCTCGGTAATTCATTTCTTCAATTATGATTGATGCTTCAGTACAGTAATGAGGAGGAACCTGAAATAATCAGTTGTAGGTCATGTCTGTCAAATTCGTAAAAACTTTTTCACATTTTTTCCGCACTGCTTAGGAATTGAGGATTGTCCAAAGTCCTTTCAGAAACTTGGATAGTATATGCCCAAAAAATAAAAAAAAAAGGGGATTCGGGTATTGTCCTCATTTCAACGCATACTCCTTCTATTCGCTATTTTTAATCGTTATTTACTTTTTGTTTACTTGTTCATAAATGCACTAATATGCTGCATCAGAATTGGCCACCATTACGGAAACACAAATAACAGTCAAAACCTAAGGAAAGCAGTCTGATCATTATTTTCGAGCTATACAAATTCAACTGGAAATTGTTTGTAGCCTTCTCTGCAGAGACGATTTCTTCAAAGCTTCTTCCTCCTTCGTGTAACGATCCTATAGGCCACAGTAAGACTGCAGACCATTTTTGCTGTATTTTCTACCCCTTCTGCTACATTCTCAAAACGCATTGAAATCCTTTTCAACTGCCCTCTTGAGATAGTTTACTGTGCACAAAAGACTTCAAGAGTCGACGCTAACCTTTTCAAAATTGCGTACTCCTTTTCCATTTCACAATGCAAGGTTTTTGAAATGTCTGCGCGTATGTATGCGCATAGGTAATACGAAAGGGCAGCGAGTCATCGAAAAAACTCGATGGAGCTGCTCGATGTCACTTCGAAAGCTAAGAGAAAGAAAGATTTCTTTGGAAAAATATTGTACGAAACGCAATGTCAACATCATAAAAAATTGTTTTATCTGTGAAATTTGCATATCTATCGTCTTCAAGCACATTGCTCTATAGCAATAGGCAATATTCTAGATGTTATGTCTGGAGAACTAGCACTAACTTCGTTTTTTCTATTTATAGTTCCCCATTCTGTTAATGGCCCCATAACAATTACGTCGCACCTTTCTCAAGTCACTGTTCCTTTGACAATTCGATTGCATTTTATGCATTGCTCAAACAAAAAAAAAGTATAATTGAAAATTATGAAATTTTTTCTGCGCGTAAGCTAGGCGATTGGAATTTGGTGATAGAATGGAAAGAAAATGTGAAGCGATTTTCTAATGATTTTGGCGCTTATTTAACCAAGTTGAATGATTGGGATTTCGAATAAAAATGAGGTTTAGATGCTTTACTCAGGCGCAAATGAGATAAAGTACAAAACTTGGAGTTATTTTACACATAAGCAATCTATAAATTAATGGAATACTTTGGCAAATGCTGTGATTTTTAGTAGAAAAAAAATTGGATAAAAAAAAAGGGAGAAAAGAAGTAAAAGGACAGAAAGCTAAAACATACATAAGATCAAATAACCCCACATTCGCAGGTCAAGGCCATAGCGATGATTTGAAAACTTTCCGCATAATTTATTAAACTAATCTTGTCTTTTTCATTTATATCGAAGACAAAATGAATTTTATATGATTCTGAGTTGAAAGAAAAAATATGAAAAAACGAATTCGAACTCACCGCAACATTGCTGTCCACTCCCCATGTGAGTATCTCAGTTTGGCAGTTTTCTTGCAAATTGCTGAAGTGCATTTCATGCTTGAAGCCGGCTTTAAGCTCTGCGATTTCACCTAAATTGGAAAACACGATTAGTACCCAGCAATTAGTATCACATTTCCCCACACAAACTGCCTCTCGCGTAACAAGTGTGCTGTTCGCTTCGAGGCACATCCGCACATCTGCTTTTCAACGCCACTGAACCGAGAGAAAATAATGACAACTAGCACTCGCTTGCTGTCCTTCACAGTGCGGATTCGTTTCCAAACAAAACGAGCCTGATTGGACTCGACACAAAGTCCCGCAAAGGCCCCGGACGACCCTTTGATTGTGGCCAAGCGACGAGGCGCCAACCTTGAGAATTCCATTGCAATTCGCCCTTGAATTGTTCCAGCCTGATTTCAGAGAGGGAGGCTATACCCATAAGGTTGTTTTTGTGCCCACATCACAAACAAATGATCCAGATCTGCGAGCAACGACGCATTCGACACCCGTCGTCGCCCCGTCGATCGCGCAACCAATTTCACTCGACAAACATTTTCGACGTTCTTAGTCAGCCGAGATCGCGCATGAGTGACATGTATGAGGATAAGGTGGATATAGCTGATTCATTTGGTTTTTTTTGGGCCTTTGACAGATCCCGAAGTGTCATTTACGCAGTCACCACTTAAACTCATTTGATTTCTCTTCCCTCAGCGTCATTTCAAAATCCACAAAAGCTGAGGACGAGTACCCGAACGTCTCCTCCCTCTGATAAGACCTAGAAAGAAAAATCATGCCAAAATGCCCCCGAAGAATTTTGGCTCAGAGATGACCCCTCACTCCCTGCGCATAAAAATCCTAGTGCTTCAGCAGCATCAGCAGTCAAAATCGGAACCCTCAGCACTAATCCGATAATGTTCTCACGAGTATCAAGATACTAGAGGCAGATTCGGCAGGGGTTCTTCGATTTCATTTCAACGCAGAGATGCATGTTTTGCAGCTTACTTAGCTTTAGTTAAGTGCGGTATAGGGTTACAACTGTCATTTGTTGAATCTACTGACGATGACGTGGGCCACAGGTGAATTACGACACTTTTCGAAAAAAAATCTCTCATAATTTTTTCATATAAAAGTCCTACAAGTCCTTGTCAAAATACTTCAGTCAAAAAGCGACAGCTTGTAATGGAGCAAATCATGAGAAATCTACATCAAAAGGATGAAAACAGAGCCGAAAATGAGACAAAAAAGAATTGTAGTAATCGATCCACTCAGCAGAAGATTTTCTCTCCACATCCTTATTTCAAATGGATGTGAATTTAGGATTGCAAATAAATCAAAAATTGGTATCATTCTTTTCTTGCCATGTTATTAAAGTGTATTTTTATGGAGATTTTTATTTGCTTCTAAAAATATATTTAGGACGTTAGTTTCACTCACATGAAGCTTCTTCCTGATTACTGTATTCATATCGATGAAGTAGGTTACACCATACTTTACTTAAGTGCCTCGTTTCTTACTGACGTGCTGCTACATGAACAGGATTATGTCGTTAATCGTCCAAAAAACAAAATGAGATTTCTAGAGATATTTTAGACACCGATACTCACACAGTATAACCATGAGATACTGTATGAATATGATGTCTTAGTTGTCTTGTACTCCACTTCCGTATTGTCTTAGCTCTGAATATACACCGCCACATTCGACTTCAAGCTGCAAGAGCAGAGCTCATGAATTATATAAGCTCTTGAAGCCTTCTGACTTTGATCTATCGCTCCGGCTATTATAGGCCTTTGCGATGCGCATGAGAGCACACATATCCACGCACATCACATTTTCATAACTGCTTAATTGCCCTCGCGCAGTTGACAGGTTTCATTATCCACTACGGGTCTTTAGCCTATTTGCAAGTTCAATTCTACTCGTTTCTGATCCCTCTACGCATCCGGAAAGTCAAAAAACCTTGCAAGGTAATCTCAAATGTGCTGAGACGGGCGCAACAGATCGTGGCGACCGTGAACGCGCGGCGGTTGATTGGATTATGTGGAACCAGAGCCAATAGTACCCATTTCCGATGTGATCGTCAAACACCCGCAGTGAGTTACGAAATGTTGGAGATATTACCGTAGTCTTCTATTTTCGAAATTCTCTTCGGAAAATAAATGGTGAGTCATTGCTACGAGCCATGCTGCTACGTCAATGGAGTGTACTTTTTTGGAACGCCGTTACTGACGAACTTTTACAGAAAGATTAGCAATATAAATAGTACGTTCCCTATGCACAAGTTCGCTGAAGATCAAGGATTCTAAGTTACATCCAGTCGTGATCTCAGACGTCCCGTATCGAGCAACGAAATGTCAGAAATATTACCGTAATCCACCGGAACCCTTTTGTAAAAGTGGTGACTCATTATCACTGCTAGTTCATGTAGATGTGCTGTCTTTGTCCTATTTCTGACGCACTTTTGCACATAATGGACTGAAGTATAAACAGTCCATTTTGCGAACCTGAGCAGGTTAAAGGTCAAAGCCTACTATGTCCAGTTCTTCTCTCATTAAACAAAAGCAGTGAGTTACGAAGTTTAGAAAAGTTACCGTACTCTTTTTTCGAAATTTTTGAAAAATTGTGGTGAGTCACTGTTACCGCAAGGTCATGTGGATGTACGGTCTTATTGGCCCTTGCGCTATCTCTGACGAACTTTTGCACAATAATAGTCCCAAGTTCAAACAATCTGTATTTAGAACTCGTGTACTGAGAACCAGCAAGCTTCTAGTGCCCCTTTCTTTGTGATCTGCAAACACCCACAGGGGTTACGAACTCAAGATTGTTACCGTAATCCAATTTCGGATTAGTTTCAAAAACGCGTTGTGAGTGACTGCAACCAGCTTCAATGCTAAGTAATGTGGGTGTACTGTCTTTATGAATTTGCGTTACAGTTTTTCACGCACTTTTGCAGAACGCAGTAAGTCCAGTCCTTAGAAATGAGTCCTCTCAGCAATATGAACGTGAAACATTAGCGGTGAGTTTCGAAATATCAGAAGTACTACTGTAACATTTGCAATACCCAAAAACCAACGGTGAATCACTGCTACTGTAGGTAATATGGGTGTAGTGAACTTATGAATTGTTTTGCGCTACAAAAATTGCCACAAAGGTTTCGCAAAACAATCCCTTTACCGTAACACACTTTCGAAATTCATTTAAAAAAATACTCTTTTTAGGCATGAGTAAGCCCTAAGGATCAGCAAGCTCTAAGGAGCGCAATGCTTCTGCACTTTTGCAAGAATAATCGGCGAAGGCTTCGAAATTGATGCAGTGATGCATTGAAATTAGAATAAGAATACTTGAGGAGATAAGGAATTGCAAGAAAGCATGGCCATTGAGCATTTTGAGATTTGACTCATGCTTGAGAGCAGCAATTCACATAGAGCAGATCAAATCTGATGTAACAGAAATCAGATTCCAGAGGGGATCTACCAAAATTTTCAGTGATTCACCGAACTTTTGTTCTTTCTTTTACCGAAAAAGTATCACTAAATTTCTCGGTTTAGTGGCATTGGTAAGAACATCTGTTTCGGGCATTTGAGAGGATTTCAATAGCAAGTCTTCAGATGCAAATAAAACCCGCTCTGCACCTTCAAAACCCCCTATAATTTGCAAGAACAAAAAGCTAGAAACGTACAAGGAGTCTTCAACGTTAATTCCGCTTCAGCACCCATTGTGTAGCCTTGGTCTCTGGATATCGAACAAAGCGACTCGGTTGTTCGTTCCGTTTTGAATGAATACTCTTGTGGTCTGAAATGTGCGCGAATTTGATTGGACTTTGTTACTGAAAGTTAATGAGAAAACGCTGGAACTGGTATTTGCTATGGAAGACGAACCTGTTTGTGTTATTGGTGTAGATCGACTTGAACAATGTGTAGGGTTTTGCCCCGACTGGGGTAAGATCTGTGTATTGGGGATCCTCGTTCACCCATGAGAGGTTTCTTCGGTTCTGAAAAAGTCGCACAATCAAGCATGCAGAGTTGTAAAAAAATACATGCAATAATTACTTCAAAAACTCCTTATTTTTCAAAAATTAGGCTCCCCCGCTCTCGCTTGGCTTTTGCCACTATAGTGAGAACATTTCTCGTATAACGATACTCATCAGATGTCCTTTGATCAATCATTAACACTTGAATGAACTAACGCAACCCGCAGAATGATCCAATGATATTTCTCCGGATCAATAGACGCAGAATTAGTCGCTATGTATGCCACACTACGAAATAAATGCTCTCAATTATGGCGATTTAGTCGATTCGAGAGAATATGAACGTTTATTTATGCAGCAATACGAAACCCATCCTCAATAATTGTTGACTCTACTGACAAAAATTGCATCAAATTTTACAGCGGGAATTACCAAAAAATTTGGCTTACTTAACTAGCAAATTCTACCAAATAAGCCGTTCAATTCTTTATCATGGAAGAAATGGGAAGAAGTTGTGAGTACTAAATACGTCAACAACATTGATCAGACTCAACATTTAAAATTTGGTGCCCGGACGAAATTGCACCCATAAAAAATAAAAAATAGTTTTTTTCTAAAATTGCAGAGTAGGAACTCAAGAAAATGAGTTACTAAAATGTTTCAGCTTCGTTCGGCTGCTTTTCTCAAAAGAATGGATAGATTTTTGACATTAAATCCCCTCCATTGTAGGCTGACTTATCAGCATTCAATATGACCAGTACTCAATTCCTCTCATATTGTCAACAATTTTTTGATATTTTATAGCCAGAATATCAACTTTTAGCGTTTATTCTCCACAAACAAGGCATGCCGTCCTTGAAATAAAAATTTTTGCAAACATGCTTCCATCATTCTCTCTATGGCTATGAAAATTCGAGGAAAAACATCTAAAGATATCGAACGAGCACAGACCAATAGCAGTGCACATGCCAGTAGCTTGCCCCATTACTCAACATAGAAACCTTATTGATTTCGCCTCTGCTACTTACAGTAATCTGCTCGGGCATGCGTCTGCAGACATCATAATCCTTTCAAACTATTACTGACAAGCTTATTTCCACTAGTTGTGGGTGAGAGTTGGATATAATTAAGAGGAAAAGGTGGCAATCGATTTTTACGAAAAGTTATTGACAAAAAGTTCGGAAGAATATGGATAGAAACAGTTTATGTTGGCTATCAGGTTGACGCATAATTCTTGCACTAATTTTGAAGTTCCGTTGCTTACTCGGGCTTCAATAATTTCTTCTGAGATACATGTTAGAATGAAGACACTTTAGAAAGAGACTTTCTGCATGTGCTTGAACCAAAACTCTTGATGACATATGGCAACGATATAAACTGATTAAGAGAAATACCTAAAAACCTACTTTCGAGTAAATGTCGATTGAAATTTTAAACTAATTTCGTGTGGTATAACCAACTTTTTTAATTGGAACAGTTCGTAGACATTGAGTGTCTCTATGAATGATTATGAATCTCAATCTTCCAATCTGAACTAATTGATTTTGTTCAAAATTGATACTACTTTCGATATGCGTAACAAAAAGCATTTGTATAAATCGATTCGTTTGTCTAAGATATTTTGAAACAATTTTTTACTTGGTGCAAGAATTGTGCGTCAACCTAATAAAAACGCTGTGGTATAAAAAGGAGTCTGAGAAGTTACCAAAAATAAAATAACAAAAGTATAAGAGGTATAGTGTCTTTCTGTACCCTAATAACAAAAGAAAGAAAGTTATAGGTACTTTTCTGTTTTAACCTATCCGGTATCGAGGTAAGAACTATACCAAGGAAGCGGTTTTCTTGGTGGCCCTCGCCACATGGCAAGAGACCAAAATGGGGTAGTGATGTGGGAAATTTGTGCATGGCTATCTTAACTCGGTGATAGAATTTGAATCGTTCTTTGCATGCCTCAGACACCAAAAACCAACATTTGTCCCTTCTCGAGATCCCCAAAAAAACTCGGAAAACAATCTCTGTCTGACCTCACTCCCACAGTCTTCACTCTGTCACTATCCACTTGTTTTCACCTCCTTGTGGAACTCGTTCCGAGAGACTACGGTGGCTGTGGAAATGTGCCTCACTGGGCGATGAGTCACCCGTGCAACTACCGTATTCCCACGTCAATATTAGAGTGACATACAACTGGTTGTGCGCCACAAACGACTGCCGTCTAGCGCTGAAAATCAACCCCGATGACGCCAGCACCGGGACAGAACTCCCTGACGACGTCGTCAGCCCCGGCGTTAGTACATACTTGCGCAATCGATGGGTCCTTGAGCGAAGCAGGGCGCAGAGGAGGTGTTATCTTCATGTGCTAATCAGATCCCCCGTGGGGATTCCGTAGTCATTAAAGTCGAAGCCGTTGCCATTCCCGCACGAACGAATGAATGTTTCCAAACACACCCGCAGCTACTCAACGAGGTGCAGGGCTTAGACTTTATCCCCCCCCCCCCCCCTCTCCTCCTGCGCGCCAATGTTATCGGCCCTAACGAAGTAATTTCCAGAGAAGGGTGTGGTGTGTGGTATGTGTATATAACTCCTTCCAGCGGCGGTAATTTGATATTCGCAGTGAAAACGAGATTGCTTTGAGGCAAATCGCCATTTTACCGCCTAATAGCCGAGATTTACTGCACTTGCATTGGAGCTGAGAGTTACTCTTTTGCTTAGCAGCATGGATACATCGGTGGAGCAATTAAGCGACATTCATCACGAAATCGACAGCAACGGCTTCAGCTGTGCCGAAGCATTCGATGGGCTTAAACTCTCATTTGAGAGCACTCTTCGAAACGTGGTGGACTATGGAAATCAATTATATTCGTAGGGAAGACGAGGAGGTTTAAGGGAGGTTAGTGACGGGAATTGCAGGCATTTTGGAACAAAAGAGACTCACTCGGTCAAGTGCTCGAAGAAGGAATTGAATGAGGCGGCCTTTGGGAAAGGAGTTTGTGTCAAAATAAAGGCCGAAATACCCTTGAAAAAATGCTGGGTAGTATTAATGATCAAAAAATAACATGGTCCAGATCAACCGGGTCTCCATCCTTAGTTGAAAAATTCAAAAGATTCCGGGGCTCATACTTCATATTAGGCAATGAACGAAATTACATAGAATAAAATGTAGTTTTCAGTAACTTCTAGAAAAAAGTCTTTTATAACATCATCCTTTTTTCAGTATTATTCGCAAAAATATATTTCTGATAATATTTCTACTATTTGATACGACATGGCAGAATGCAACTAGAGAAAATCAGCTACGGAGCCACGTGAGCTGTACAAGAAAAGATCAAAATATAAAAGGTAATTTTTGCTTATCTCTGTTTCGATTCTTCATTTAGAGGGAGCGAAAAAGTCTACATTTTTTCCACTTTTACTCTTTTCATTTTCAAACCTCCTTCCAAGGATACCCCGTCGAAATTTCTCGAATGAAAACAAGAGAGACAGAATTTTAGGTACCTTCTCTGCTCCAGGCAAAATGTTCGCTGCAAGCCCTATGTAAACTTCTATTTCTGCAACATCTGTAGGACAAATGAGTACATTTGCACTAGCGCTTATTACGAAGATTATTGAAATCTGAATCCACTTCTTTACCCAAACAAAAAATTCTTCCTATATCTAGGTAGTAAGTGCCAGCAAGTTGTCACCAATCGTAGCTAGAAAACCTCCCCTGCTCAAGAGTTAACCAAACAATAGCGAAGCACCCTCGAAGAGCCTCTGATTGAGCTCATGGGAACAGCGGAGCCGAAGTGTTGGTGGTGGCTGCTGCAGAACACCAGACAATAGCTCATTGTGATGAATCATGCTTAAGCGCTCATTACAACGTGTCCATCGCTTTGCAGAGCCCATTCCGGCTGGGGGGGGGGGTGGGTGGGGAAAGGGGGTCCTCAGAAATTTTCTTAGCAAAACCGCAGGGAGTGAGGGGAGGGGGACAAGGTTAGGAAATGTGGCATAAATCGACATTGAACCAAATTTCTGAAGTTCCCAGGTGGGAAGCCATTGTTACCGCCAACCACCGAACTCAGCGGGAAGTCGCACACGCGACTCCGATCAATCGCAGTGCTGAACTTGTGTGTCTCGTCTCTCACTATCAGCCGAATGATCTTCAGAAGAAGTCAAGCATCGTGCCGCGCTTGAGATGAAAAGATTGCGGACAAGGTGGAACCCATGCTACAACTAGGCATTTGCAAGAGGAACAAGGTCGGATAGGCCCAGGAACAACTGTTTCGCGCAGGTGCCAAACTTCTTTCGGAGCTTGTCATCATCGTCGCAATTTGACGTAGGATTGATGGGCCCGAACAATGCGGTGAAAGTGCTAGATCAGCTGTTAAACAGGCCAGCAAAAGCCATATCAATTTATCCTTCCCAGAAGTTTTTACTAGTTCCCGAACGTCTTCCTAGTGTTCCTCTACCACTTGCTCCACTTTTTTCCTCCAGAAGAGATATGTGTTCCCCACAAACATTGATTGATTCACTTTTTTTTCGTTCAGCTTTCCCAGTGGGCACCACAACCGAACAATAAACGTTGAGAACAACAAAATAAAGAGAGGGAGAGGGGGAGGAGAAGGGGGTAGAGACAAGAAATTTCGGCAACTCAGATATCAAAAAGGAAATCGAACATAAGCGAGGAGATGGCGCATTCAGATTAGGAGAAACATGGAAAGGTAGACAAGATAAAGGTGTAGACTTTGTTTTGGTCACAATGGAGGGGGTAGAAAAATTTGGAAATAATATGAAATATAGATAGGATTGCTGAGAATAGAAGACAAGAGAAACAAGAAAGGGAGCTTAGCTTATTTTTTGAACAATGGATGCACTTTAGCAAACGTTTACCAAATTTAAGACGTACGAAAGTTCTTAAATATAATTCTTTCATGAAGTTTGTGAAATTTTCAAGAATTAATATGAATCAAAATTTAGGAGATCAAAAACCTGATCTCTGAACCCGCGGGAGAAACGAAATGGATCAAGAACATGATTTATTTTCTTTTACAGTAGGCGCATGACGAAAAACTCTTTTTGTCTTGCAGTGCAATTTTAGTGAATTTTTCAAGCATGAGTTGGGCCCTAATCGCAATCGTAGATTTATTACGAAAAATTTGTCCCCCAATCTGTCGCACTTAAGCCTCTATAAACAAATTGCACATTCTGTTCATCATCTCTAGTCACCGGAAATGTAAGCTGAATCCGCTCTGATTCTCGCGCTAGTCACAGCGTTATAATCGCTCCTAAGTCTTCGCCACTTATCAATGTTTTCGTCACTGATAATTCTGTTTTCAACGCGGACGGACCAAACAAGAGCGCAAAGTGTGCAAAAGCTCGTCTCGAGCACGGGGAGCGCCTAATTTGTACAAGTGATTTGTTTGAACAGACGCATGTGTGTGCCATGTCACTTACAATGATGAATTCACAGTCGTCTCGTTCGAGCGACTTGAATTCGTCTAATCTGGTCCGTCGTAGTGATTGAATATCCTTGAAGTGGGACCAGGCATAGTCTTCGAGCAGTTGATCCACATCAACGTGGTTCATTTCTGTACTTTTTTCTGTACAGAGGGAGGGGGCTAAAATATTGCCTGTACGAGAGCTAATAGAGTGATAGAGTGAACAATGTACTGAATAGGCAAAATGTCAACAAAACACGGCGCAGTGCAACACACAGAGTTTTGCAAGATAAAAGGCAAATGATCGATAAATTTAGTGGACGAGTATTCCGCTGTTTCCCGGAGAGGACGACGGTGAGGAGAAGACGGTAATCGCTTAGAGTAATAGTAAACTGTGAGTAACCGGAGCACTTCATGTGCCGGGCGAAAGCCAACGATTCAGCCCCGTGGGGCGGAGTTTATGACAGGCCGCGCCCCTCCCCGCGGACCCCTCACCGGTCCGAGCGAGGCGAGGCGAGAGACACACCTCAAATCGAGGAGACTCGGCCGAAAAATATGTGGTGCACCCCCCGTGAATTGCTTGCGTTGCTTCCGATAGTTGCTACAAATTACCTGGCGGGAGCCAGGAGTATATGGCCAACGACTAAGGGTAGAAATGCTTTATTACTCCGCGAGATAGGTATAACCACAACGGGAGAGTAGAGAGGTAAACAGTAGGCCTAGCATGGACATCATTTTTTATAGGAAAAAAAGGGGAGAGGGGAACCCTACAAACAAATGCACACAGCTTACAAGCAGAACTGAATCAACAAAAGATACCTTGTATCACCAAAGATAAGAGGGCAAAATACTGACTCAAACGTTAAGATTTGTCACCTATAAGAATGAGATTAGAACTGATCATCATGTCAAGAGATGTCTAAGTAAAGATTAGAGTAGAAAAAAGAATATACAAACGAAAAGTCTGCAAGATAGATCATAAAAATCACATAAAATCACAGCTTTTTGTCTTTTGAAGGCGAACTGGACCTATCAGACTTATCAGAAACTGCTTCCTGAGCTTCCTTCTGATATGGATACTTGTCCGTAAATTTCACACAAACTCTTGGGAACCATCCTTTGAGCTTGTCATTATCCCGTTTAGAGCCGTACAACCACCCGCGTTGACCACGTGTGATCACATATTCCTCTCCGACGCGGATCTTAAAATGATTTATTGAACAAATGCGGAAGCAATGAGCCGCTGAGAAACTCTAGACTCGTCTAAACTCACATTCAAACGAGGTTCATCGCTAAGAGGTTGACAGACGAAAAGTCGACAGCCGAATCGTAACGAAGCCAGGTAACCGCCACGGAAGTCCGTCGCCACAACGACCAGTCGGGACAAAAAGCGCTTTAGCGCCTTTTGCCTTAGCTGCTCGCGCTGAAGAGAGACCAACACCAATTTGCGTAATGAGCAAAACGAGAGGTGATTCTCGTTTGACGGCAGCCAACCACTTAGTGCAGAGAGGGAATCGAATATGTAACTCGTCTAGGGAAATCAAGGTCGTCGCCTTTATGCTGCACTTTTACAATGATACTTCTCGATGGTAAGTTGAAAATTAGCGAAATAAAGATCAAAAAATTTAATTTGGTGGCAGACGTGACCAAAATCTGATAATTACTGATATGTACAGATTGAGTTGAGGACAGAGAAACACTAAAACGCATAGTTTCTTACGGTAATGTCCAGGCAAATCTGGGTTATCTGATGTCTCAAGTGGGAATTCATTGGAAAGCTACGGCACCATTGTCCTACCGGCACTATGAAATATATTTGTGACCAGAACACTTATTTGCATTCCAGCCCAGACCGTAATCTTCAAGCAGACCAATCAGCGCTCCCAAGAACTGTACGAAGCGCAGTCTGATCTGGAGTCAAAAGTTAAATTTTTCGGTCATGAACCATTAATAAGAGTTGCCTTTTGGGCAAAGGCCTGTAAAGGCCTCATAATGAGTTTCTTCCCAAAAAAAAAAGTCCGAGATATCAGAATCTGGACACGCTAAAGGTGATCTGTCTCCACCCCAGAGAGATTTGATTTGTCTATACCATGATTCAAGCGCAATCAACGCGAGAAAGATTTTGAATTCGCTATCATCAATGCTTAACTTATAACCATCGATTTTATTGTAACTATGGAATTTTGCTTCCAAGAAAGAGATATGTCCGTCCCAGCCGAGTCCTGAGAAAATTCCTCGAGGTGTTTTATTACTCTTTAATACGATGATATATGTCCGACTCCAATCGTGTAAGCAAAAAAGGACTCGGAGAAGATGAAAACGCCAAACAAGCATCTCACAATTATATCGCCTCAAATAGTCGTTTCTTCCCCACCAACAAATAAAACTAACATAAAAGTAACTGCTTTTGCATGCTTTCCCATGGGTTTTCGAATCACTCAAAAATTTGCCTTACAGTGAAATCAAGATTCATGAGGAATAAAGGCAGAATTTATTTTGAGAACGATAAAGATCGCAATCTGCAATGCGTCATACATGCTGTTCTCTCACAGATACTAGGCCGCGATAAGAGCCATCAAAGCAAAAGTGCCAAAATCCAAATTCATAACTACAAGTGAAATGCTTTCAACACCCGGTGAGTCATAGAGGTGCATCAATCTAATCCACCATAGAACACAACGACGTCGCAAGATCAAAGGCTGCAACGAAGTAATAATGAGCAAGATTGTTTGTTACAGCCATGTGATAAAGTTTTTGACTCAGATTTTACTGCGTTTTTGTTCGGGATAACGTAATTTTGATAGCCAAACAGACTAGATGTTTAACAGATTTTGTGCATCCAATTCGCTGAATGGATTCTGACGCAGATGTACTTTATAGAGCACGATACAAATTGATACAAACATATGGAGAGTTTTTACTGCGCCCAGAACTCACTATGCCTGCATATCTTGAGCAAATTTAGAGTTCGAAGAGATTACTTAGCAAATATTGGGATCCCTGTGCTAACCGATGCTGACTAAATCTTAGCACAGAGTGGCCCGCATGAAGTGTGACGCAAAAAAATCTGTCACTTTGCAAGGGCTCAATCAAAATGTAAGCTTCTGTCTTCATCTGACAGAAAAGTAAATTTCTGTGCAAGATCTCAAAGACCAAATTAAAACGATATCCTCCTTAAGTTTTTGTAAAAGCAATTTCTAGCTTACGAAAGTTTCAAATGCGCGCGGTCGTTTATGGTCCCAGACTCTCACCAGGTCCCTTTTTAGCAAACCAAGTGAGATGAATTTGAGAAAGAGGCTTTTTTCTAGGTAGACACAAAAGGGAATCTGTGGGAATAAGATTGGGCGAGTTAAAAACTCAAACCTTATTTTTTCAAATTTCGGAATAATTTATTTTACGTAGCTGCAATTTCTTCTCGCTGAAACTAATGCGTAGTCCTGCCAAAAATTCCACACAGCTCCACAGTGTTTCCCCGGCCCATGAAAACACCACAGCCCCTCAAGATACGATTCCAGGTTTTTCTCAGAATTTCGAGAACTGCGATCTGCGGTTTTCATGGGCGTTAAGGCTAACAGTTTGTGATTGATCAACAACTAAAAACCTAATAAAAATTGTCCACAAAGGGACTAAAAATTATGGAGAAGAGCTACTAAAAAATCGCATCACAAGCTGATTTTTCATAGCAGGTCACACTTCTGGACCACCCTATGTACTTTATTTTACTATGTACTTTACGGAAGTCAAGCATTTTAGTGACTTACTAGCTTGGAAGATCCATTCAATGAATTCAGCATGCAGCATAAAATGATATCGGAATGAATTCTGTATTGGCAAAAACTGTTTAGAAGGGTTCAAATTATAGTTTTGCTATCAGCAAATTTATATGATCAAGCTGCCGTGGTACGTCTGCCATGGTTGCAATATGATCGTGCTAAGAAACGCATGAAATAAAAGTCCAAGATAAGGGTTCGCTTCACACTTGTTAAGAATGTTTAGCAAACTTTCTGGCATACAAAATGAGAATTTTCTCCCACAAGTAGATTGCGCAGAAAGTGCTCACAAATCAAAGCCTAGATACCCCAAGTCAAGCTTCTCTCCACATCATACTACACTAAATAATCTAGATTTATTGACAAGAGGATGACAGTAAAAACATCTCACTACTTGTCCTGAGCCGTACAGGTTTTTTATCGGTAATATACTTTATAGCCTCTATAAAAACAATTAGCGCTAAGCAAGTTATAGTTGACAGACAAAGATATCCAATCCTAAGTTTTCGTAATGTGTCAAATTCCTTCTTGATAAGATTGTCACAACAATTGACTAAACAATTGGATTTGAGAAGAAAAAGATATATCAGATATTTCAGATTCAAATGCAAGAACTTTTCAACTTATTCATTGAGGAGAGCGTCTTGCACAAGTTTAACCAAAGATAACACTTGCAAAACTTCTCCTCAAAAAAGTAGCCATGTGCAAACATTTATCGCACAAATTTTGCAACCAATCTCACTTTCACAGAAAATACATTAATCTTATCTCACATCGCCTAGTTGCCATTTGATAGTGAGTCATAGATGAGCCACTCAAACTATTACCGTCACTTTAGTGAGTGAGACATAAATTTTCAAACTAGTGTGATAAGTTATGCTCTCGCTTGGGTTTTTTGCTAGAATCACGATGATACCTATAATTTGAACTGATAATGCACCGAATTTCAGTTCCATTAGTTCAAAGTCTTTTAGTCGCTAATAATTATGCCTACTTCAGGTACTCATAGCGAAAGAACGCCGCAACTGACCTCTGCTTCTGCTTTGCGCATGATGATGTACCCGCTCTACCCTTATCAGACTAACATGCTCTAAGTTCTCTATATTGTGATATGAAATAATGATGCAACAGCGATAACAGAGGTGTTTGATGACACTACGACGATCTTTTGATACATTAGCTGACACTAACAACATCGACGTATGCGTAAGTGTGGAGCAATCAAAGCATACAAACAATCGCATGAAACAAAGGCTCCGAATGCATCAATACACGGAGTGAGAAGGAAGGTTGTCAAAAAATACACACATATGTAGGCAATGCTACAAACTCTGGCACCTAGACTTTGAAAAAACTCGCAAATTTAAAAGGAAACTTCAGCGTGTGACAGGTTTACATTTGTAAATGAAAAAACAAACTCAAAAATCGAAAATCGCCTTTCAGAAGAATTTGTTTCTGAGCATCTGCTTTCAAAATTTTGCTTTTTTTGAAGACACATTTCTGCGACCGACTTTATCATAATAAATCTAACTGATTTTAGACCAAACAGTGACAGGTTTAGCTAAGTCGTTTAAGGTTTCTTTGATATAATTTGTATTTCCCATGATGCAGAATAGCAGAGACTTAACAGATTGTTTTCGTGCAGTTATCCCATAGCTTACCTTCCAAGATACCGAAGACACGGAGAGATAGAAAAATTAAAAAATCTCATTCTGTGCCCAACAGTTTTCACGCTTTTCAAGGCATATAAGCCACATACATCCTACATTGATACTGCCTGACGAAAAGCCAAATACTTCACCCAACAGTGCAAAGAAGCCGGAAGCCGTGATGTACGTTGCACATACTCTCATAATGGATTAGAAACAGTCATAATGAAGAGAGTATGATAGACTCAAACTGGAGAAGAACCTAAAGACATAAGTCGGAATGCCAGCAACATGCATTTGAAGCTTACTCTCAGTAAATGGATGTGATACAGATCACCATACCATTCTTAGAGAACAAAATTGTTACTAAAACAAAACAATCGTGCAAGCAACAATATCAGCGAAACCAAAAAAAAATTTTTTTGCAGCATGTATAATCAAAGCTATAAAACCATCATTTTAGCACATCCATGCAATGCCCACCTCAATCCGCCATGACAGATGTATTGAACCTATCTATTCATGCTTCCTGTCTGTCATGGGTGAGCAATAGGTAACGTATGCGGATGAAAAAGCGAGCAGGCTTTGTAGGGAACGATAGAAGTCTGAATGGTAGTCAAGTTGTGAAAAAGAGTAGAGCAAAAGCTTGCATAAGTTATTTGCTCCTACATCTTCTACGCTTTTCCTAAAAACACACAAATGGAGCCTAGCTTCCTCATACGATTTGCGATAGATGGAAGTTCGGAATGATTTCTCGACGTGAATTAAATAGTTTGACAAAGAGAGTCCATGGCCATCAAAGTCATCGTTCATTACTGGGACGAGATTAGCACACGAATAAAGGTTAGTTTGAGCCATGCTAGCGATAGATGGTGGCAGCTGCACAGGTAAAATGTTCATAGTAATGGAGTTTTTTGCGCCCTATAATTTTTTGTAAGCAGGGATACAATGCACTCTCCTTCGATAAACCTGCAAAAAAACTATTGTATAAAAAATATAAAACTACAAGTTGAGAAACGATAGGTATAATGAAAATACAAAAAACTTCAATTTTGCGCAAATTCTAAGGCATGCTGATCGCAAAAAGCGTTCACTCTGCATAATAACCCATTTCTCAAAATTACGGCAAACATACGGTATAGTTGAATATGCATTACAGTTACGATCCCACAAATGACATCTTCATCTGCTACCGCACTACCACCGTCATAACATCATAGTCATGATTTTCATGCACAATAGCGGGTCAGGATGTCGAATGAGTTCCCCAGGCAAAAGATTCATATATTCTAGGAGTTAAAGAAGGCGTAAAATCGTTTGTGAGAACGACGTGGACCACTAATAAACGGCACTTAAAAATGTACAGCAATGATCAACCACCATCAACCATTCAGTATCGCATGTACAGAGATAATTTTATCCACAGGTTGAGGTTCTCAGATGACAGTGATTGGTTCATGTGAAGCAAACAATGCTCTAAGATTTATATGTGGATTTGAATACAGCCCGGGCGATTGCAATACTTGTATGACCGCCCAACAATCAAGCTACTGTCAATGGGCCTGTTCTCCCAGATAAACATAATTTGGACAAATTTTCAACTGGGAAATGCTCACTTTCTGGTTACGATCGAACAGAACCATAGATGAGTAGGAGCTACTTTCCAAGTATGAAGGATTAATAAGCACTGTAGCCCAGAACGAACTTAGAGAAAGTTGCCTATAATTTTGGGACTTTGTCATTCGTCTTCAACAATGCAAGTGATACTGCGATGTTAAACACTAATGGGCAGCTCTTAAGTTTCTGAATTAGCTTTGGAAGAGATTGTAGGCCATGCAGCAGCGATTCAAGAGATTCTGTTCGAGGAGGAAGGGATGGAAACTTTTTGAGACAAAAATCTTTTTTCGGATGAAAAGGTGTAGCGTTAGCCAAACTGCCCAAAAATTGAGTATTCTAACCAACATTTTAGCGAGTTTATAGCTAGGAAATCTACAATTTACGCGGGTAATTCAAATACAGGTAAAAGTCACTTCAATCGATTACAGGTAAAAACGAGTCACTTGCATATCATCACAACGGTAACTTTCAGAACATGCCCCAACCTCAGCCCGCCTCTGCTATGGGTAATCTGCTATAGATGGAATTTATTCTGAAAACTATGCTGTCTTTCGTTCTGCGCGTTGAACGAATGAACATATTACATTCCTTGACAATTCGCAACCAGGTTTTTCGATATCTGCCATTTCGGACTAGAACGCATTTTGTATCGTTAAAACTATAAAGCCACGTTGAAGCGTGATCAATGATAGTGTTTTGGAAAAATTCCAAAAGATGTATATAAGTTTGCTCCAAGGTCTAGATCGGTCATAGGCATTAATAGGCACATACTCTTCACATGTAAGGCCTAAGGCATACCTTACGCGATTCGGCCGAATCGCCACTTTCACGCGACTTGGCAATTTGCCATATTTCTATATATTTATCATGCGCACTTCTCGGATACATATCTGGATAGCTTGTGTAAGTTGTTGCAAACAGAGCAAGTTCTGACCAAAGGCAGCGCATTAACGACGATTTACGAAAAGTCGCTGTTGTGCCAAATCGCGCAGCGACCGGAATCGCCCGAGGTATGCTGCTTGCTTTAGGCCTAAAAAATCAAAATCGTGATTTTCACAAAAAAAATGGATAAAAAGTCAAACACAATCTCCAAAAAGCCATATGAATAGACACCTTTGAAACAACTGCAAGTAAATTTCTATCTTTCAGGTCAGAAAATGGTAAACCACGACTCGATGAATTTCTAGACGACCACCCTGATTTGGTAATGCTACAACTTCGAAACACCACTGGTGAGTCGCACTGTACAATACAGCAGGATACCGTAGTACTGGTGGGTCGTATCATTGTGGATGTGCTTATAGAAAAGTTTTACTAATTCGCGCTCCAGCAAAGCTACATTTGGTATATCGTCTTACTTCAAAACCGATTGAGTGCAGCTGACTTCGAAGGCAGAAAAACATTAGGTAGGGATCAGAACTTTTCAATCGAAATTGTTAACCACAGAAAATCGTGAATCAATCAGATATATAATTAGCAAGATACGATGCTTCAACTGATATAAGCGCAAACAAACCATGCTCAGTCAATAGAACAGTAGAAAAGAGAAAAAAGAGTAATGTGATTTACAATTATGCTGACAATCAAGTGCAATAAAAAATAGCATATTCACTTTGCAGTGTTCTTGAAAACCAAAAATCAACGTCGATTTTGTTGTTAGATTTCACAGCGTTAGCAGGTATGATAGGAAAGCTCCTTGACTCTATCCAAGGCTTATAACATACACCATCAATACCCTAGGGTGATCAGTTTGTGCTATTTCAGACAATACCATCAAGACAGAGACTCAAATTTAAGTTTAGTTTATTTAGTTCAGCCGATTTTTGATGACACTACATGAGATTTTGATTAGATAGTTTTGCTTAAAACACCTACACGACGCTTCCGTACCCGTAGTATCCAGATGCTGTACAAAGATCCGTACTATAGCTGGACTACTAACGTACTGAGAAAGGGGCAAGAGCACATCCTAGCACATCAAAAAATTCACCGCTTTCAGGTTTTCCAGCATACTGATTATGAGAGATTTTTTCAGCCATTTCCGACCTGCGTAACCAATTTCTGTTTTTTTGCGGACTACCAGCAATACCGTAATAAACTCTATAACGAAAAATGCACAGCGCATTAGCGTATGACATGAATTATTACCAAAATTATTTTCAAAAAGACTTTGAAATTACTTTCAGCCACATTGGAATGAAGGAGAACGAACGTGGAGCTTGTGGAGCCAATCTACAGCTAAAGGATGAAATCGTAAAAGGGAAATATCACCGAATTTCAAATCTGTCTAGAAAGTGATAAACTGATGCCTTTGCATTGAAATTCTGTAGAGGAGAAGGACATGAGCGATGGAAGGATTTGTATCTGAGAAAGGTATGAGATCAGCGAAGGTAAGTCACTGGAGTGAGGCACGAAATAACCGAAAATCTCTCACAATCCGTTGAGCTTTGTTCAGAGAAAAGTACTATAGATATACTTTGGAAAGTCTAACTTTAAGATTCAAAGTAGTCTCGCAGTATGGATTGGAAGCATTACAGGCAACTCCCAATCCGTTATTTGTAAAAGAAAAGCGGAAACTCAGGCACTACCAAGAAAGTTTGATATACGTGATGAGTAAGAAAAGACGACTTATTTGATATGTTATGTTCCATGAAAAGAATTATTAGAATTACCATGTACTCTAGAATTAGAAAGACGTGTACCACAATTTCTCCTTTATAATCTCCTTGTGTAGCGCCTATAGTGTGGACCCCGGCCAGCTTCCCATAGGTACCTGCGCGACGCACCCGCAACGCACGCCTTCAGTGCGTCTCCGTCCTAGCTTCCGATGGAAATCCTCCTTTTTCTCTCTTTTTTTTTTGCTTTTGGTGTACTATATCCTCTCTATTTCAGGTATAAACAATTCGCGATGACCGGTAACGAGATTTCACGTGCTCTTATAGTTCTAGGACCTTCAGTCTTGTTTAGTAGTCTTGTCTTTTCCCTTTTTGTCCGAAAAATTGAAGTTTGATTGGATTTTAAGATAATGCCCCTTCAAAAGTTTCTTGTATAAAATAAGAGTCTCTTTTGGTTTGATGTGCAAGGTATAGACAGTGTCTCAAGTCAAAATTGAGCCTCCCGAGAAGCCAATAGACATTTGTTTGCTTAAATGTCCACTTTTTTGAGATCTTTGACCGCTTTAGCTTCTACGTCTACGAAGAGAAATGTTTTAAACATGCTGTTGTTCTTTAATTTCTTTACGTTTACTTATTACAACCTATCTATCAGTGCAACTTCGGAATATTGATCCATTGATTGAATTTGAGGTGCTCATGGAGGTTGCCTGCGTTTCATTCTTGCATACGTCTCTTTCGTAGCGAACCTAGAGGTTTCCACTTTACATTTTTCTCCTTTGTGAGCATAAATATGCTCTACTGCTCATGAGTGAGGCGAGAAGCATTAAGAAGGGCGCGCGCTGCGTGCGCGACGCGGAAGTACCTATGGGAACCTGGCCGGGGTCCACACTATAATACTCTAGATATCAGCACCCAATGACCCCAGACAAACTTGATGTTTTTTGTGGTAGTTCACCCACCGCGACTAAGTTTGACAAGCAGAACGCTCTGGCCCGAGATAACAGAGACAGAAAATGGCTTGACCGTGAATGTGTTAGCCTCTCTAAGGGTTCACGAAGTTGAAAAGAGTTTCGATAAAATGAGAAGTGAAAATAAAATATACAGTGTAGAGAGCTTCGCCCGCATATAGGTTGTACGGTCATACTTGTCAGAATAAAGGAAATGTTTAAGCTTCGTTATGATCATCCTCTCCTGTGAAATAACCAGATAAATTCTGAGCTCAATTTGAACATACGAGATAATTTTGGGTGGAAGTATCTTTCAAGCTTGAACGCATGGAATAAACTATTATATCCCACGTAATAAAAAGGCCCTCAAGGAAATTCGTTCATAGCCACTGCTCAAAAGCTAGTTGATGAATTGCAAGGAAAGAGAGGAATCGGAAGTATGGAAGATTGCTTGCTGGAGAGTAATTATGTAAATGGAGGCTGCCGATACGAGTCACCAAACTTAAGGCGATTCTTACCGAGAGGGTAAACTGGTCGCAGCCTTTTCGCACTGGCCACCATACCCCATTCCCATTTGGTCTAAAGTAAACCATGCAGGTAACTTACAAGGGAATGGTCAGAAATCGAAGCGGCCATTCCAGACAAGCTGCGTATCGTTAGATGCAGCATGAAGCGCTAACTCTAAATCTGTCTTCTTTATCTGCTTATCGCTTTTCTGGACGAAGTTATAAGCCATTAAAGACCATTATTTTGCTTAGAAATTATGCGTGAAATTGAAAATTTAGCCGTACAGAGCCTCATTCGCCTCAAAGCTGGGCCAAAACATGCATCTAGCTTACTTAAAATTTTTGAAGCGAGAAGACGAGCTAAAATTGCAACCATTTGCTCAATTTCGCTGTTTTTATGTATGATTTTTTCACAATAAAACCACTTGTAGCTTCGTCCACAGAAGCGGGAAGCAGATAAGGAAGACAGATTCGAAGTCAGCGTTTTATACTGCATCGAATGATATACAGCTTCTTTGGTTTGGCCACTTCGACTTCTGACCATTCCCTGGTTAGATTGAGATCATAATCGACAATGCGACTCACTCGCCAGACCAAGAGAACAGAACTTCTCTAAAGTTGCGCTTCCAGCCGAGATCATAAGGATAGATGAACGCCTCCCAATCGCACTCCTCTTCGGAGCGATACGATATAGCTTTTTGTTCTGGAACCACTGCATGATCTCTAAAAACATGCAGGTGTACTCACCTATATATTCTTCTATGCCAGTTTTGTTATTTTTAATATACTTCAGTTGCAAATACAGAAGACCACCGACGCCAATCACCACACCAAATGCAAAAGCGCTTCCAATTATCAAGGCAATTAGTGACCAGAAAGTTAGTATTACTTCAGGTTCCGACCCGTTTCCAAACCGGTAGTAATAGTTCTGCAACTTCGAATTACTTACAAAAAAAATCAATATAAACGCAACATACCAGATGTATCGCATGGTAAAAGGATGCAACTTGTATAATAATAGCATGAATGCATCCGATAACGGCCGACACAAGAAATCTCACGAAATAGGCATGATTCCGATGACCAACGCAATTATTGATCCACGCTGAAATCTGCACACACTACATGTATGTACTTCTGTTTTATAGAAGAGCGGCTACGAAGATTGTGGATATACAAAGGCCAAATCAGCAGAAATTCCAGGATGATCAGACAGAATTCGATGGTTTTAGTGGAACTGCATTAGTAGAAAGAGGATCTTACTGTGAATATACTTCATAATCAAATGCCCTAACAAAAATTTGCTCTTATCACGTAGCTGGAACGGAAGGTGAGAAATTACCATAAAAGCGTCACGTTAAATCTGATCATACATTCAACAGCATGCTTCCATGTGGAACTCAAATGACAGCATTCCTTTTCAAAAGTGATTCTTTATACTACAAATCAAAAAGGAATGAGAACTTCGATTTACCTCAGAATTTTCACTTCCAATGAAGATAATGTAAGGGATTTGTTTTAAAAAATGCAAGTATATGGCTTATCATGTGCAGGGCTCGGCACGAGGTGGCTTACAAGCAAGCTGGATATCGTTTTTGGGACGAAAAGCAAAGGGGGTTTCGTTTTTGTGACCGAAGAGACACGGGAAATTGGCGACGGCGACCTTTTTTTTAGTCGACGTTTCGTTTTTTGGGGGATTTTGGGGAATTTTTCAGGTTTTTAGAGGAAATTTGGTTGAGGGTCAAAGGGGACTTCGTAAAAATTCCCAAAAGTCAAGGGGGACTTCGTTTTTTCCATTTTCATCTAGCCACCTCGTGCCGAGCCCTGATCATGTGAAAGATTGTTTTGAAAAAAAAATGTAAACGGCATATGGCTTATCATGCGAGTACTTATCCCCCACCAAATACAAGAGAAAGAGATTCTGTGAAATATGGAGCCATTTAGGAAGATATTGATAAAAGGCATATAAAGTAAGGTGCATGAAATATGGATATCGCTATGCAACAGAAGCTTTCGTTCCAAAACAAAAGTTTAGGATAACAAAAGCTTACGACAATGATGGTCCATCTTCATACAACATCGACCACAATTAGAGCAATGATGAGAACGAGGAACTTTGTACCCGGCACAAGGCTCGCACCATTGAAGTAGTCTGTCAAAGGAGTCCTCGGCATGTGGGACCTAAAAGAAGGGATTTGTAAGCCGAAAAAATCATTCAAAAGGAAAAACCTCTTTGTCAGGGTTCCATCCTAGTGGTACGTGGCCAGCACCTACAAAGGAAGCTCTTCCGAGATTTACCATAGTGCAATAATTCCAAAAAAAGAAAAGAGTGAGGTGGAGAAATCCTCCAAGGGTGACCAAAGGCCACCACATCACAGCAAAGTATGAGGATACACTCCCTATCTGTAAAAGCGCGTATAAGAGTGTCAAAAATGCGAAAACTCTATCAGAAAAGGCTAATAATTTCTCTCTGTACTTTTGATGTTCAAGACAAGAATATGTAGATGCTCTACGATTTCTGAGATATTGATGAGGATACAAAGCCAACAATCATGAAAAGGAAGATTGAGTGGTAAACAAATTACTCACATAAAATGTGATAGAAAGAGCAATTATAGGACCCCAGTGAAGTAGGCGATTTCTGGGCAATGACGCTTGCCTCGTATCGAGATCAAGATTAGCCTTCCACAGCGGTGCTTCCACAACCTCAATCACTGTTTCTGGCTTGCTCTCTCCCTTGCAAAGTCCTGAAAAAACACCTGGGGTAAATTTTTTATTGACTACGGAATTATGATACCGATGAAGCGAAACGCTCTTGTGAGCCTTGATGTCTGCTTGGGACTTGATACTGTATTCATTGTGCCCTTCCCGCTACATGTAGTTTATGATCCCTATTCTTCAACAACCTGTAATAAACTTATATTCATACTTCAGACAAATCGATTGAAACATGGCAACTGATGAAACAAGCTTTCTGAACAAAAACGCCCATCTCACAATCTTTATTTGCGAGCAAACAACAACAACGTTGTGTAGACAAAGATGAAGGTGCCAGAGACACAACCAGCAAGTGCTGTTAGACTCATGATGTAGAGATATAGATCAGTAAATACCGTAAACAACGAAACAAAATAAATACAGATCTAAAAACCACTTGAAGAGACTGCGCCATCTCTCATCAAATAAAGGTCTCTACTGCGCTCGAGGCTTGGACATATAGGCCTCCAGTTCAGCATCCAACTCTGCTTCTGTCATCTTTGACCTAAGATATATTAATTCAAAAATCACAGCAATTCTGATACTCGCATAAACAAGACATCAAAGGAAATATCAGCGCATACCTCCTATCTCTAGATCTACGTCGTCCAAAACCTCCACTTCTGCCTCCTTTGTTGAAATCCCTACGATCACCTGAACGCGAATTCCGAGACTCTCAAAAACAAAGATTAGCAATTCAGTTGGAGAGACAGAAAAAAAAACATGGGAGATTATTTACATAAACTGAAAACTTCTGTAACAGCACTCACCTCCATTTCGGTATGGCTTCTGTATAAGACCGCGATCCAGCGCGTTGATTGGAGCAGCTAACTGAATCCTAGATCCCAAAGACTCGCTACCATCAACCAGCACCATTCTCATGACCTAAACTCGAAAGGTATCCAAACAAATGTATAGGTAATGAGGTAGAACGCGGGATATTATTGCTGTTCAGGAGAGCCGAGAAAATTTTTCGTAGCAGTTGAATGATCAAGAATTAAAATAATCAAAACAAAATATTTGTAGGTCTTCTTATCTGCACGGCACAATATAGCAACTGGATCACTCATAATTAGAACTAATTTAGGGAAAGTGAAGTACGAATGAGTACGGGGGCGACCGAGTTCAACATAATCCATACCAATATATAACCGTCTTGTTTGAAAGAAGTATAAGCTGATTCTAACAGCATAATGAAAAACTGGCAAATGTACCTGGCCATCAAGAGCAACTCCCTTGAAGTCATTGATCACATTTTCTGCGTCGCTTTTCCGCAAATAAATATCACCAGTTCCTACCGAAACTCCTAAAAGCTAACTTTCATCTTCCAATTATTACACGACGAAACTAGACCAAGATAAATCTCTATCTACTTATTTTTCGATAGACTAAACTTCGAATATTACGCTCAACTCAATAGCTCCCTTTACCTGATTCATTGTAGTTCACTGTGGCTGCTTCAATTCTATAGTTAGCGAAGAGTTCTTCCAAGTCCGAGGAAACCACGGAGGGAGCAAGATTAGAAATATTGATTCGCACAGTCTTGTTCGGGTTACCAGACCCTGGATATATCCTTGGAAAAATCTGCGTAGGCATTAACATACCATACCTCCAATTTTGGGTATAGAGATCGGTAAAGGTGCATCGTAATCGACGTATTTGAAAGGCCTGCCTCCAAAACGTCCAGATCGGCCACCACTTCGACCAAACCCTTTGCGAAAACCTAAAGTGAAGACGCTCTAGAGAATGACCATGAGAGTAAACTACGAAAAGCGGATTACCTCGACCGGATCCTCGTTTTTCTTGCCTATTTTTGGCAATAATTTCATCGAGTGACATATCAACGGAAGTCATGGCTGGGCCTACATATAGCAATGGTAAGATATGTTTGACACTCAAAATTTAACGGAGAAGAAATGTTATGAAGTTTTGTCATGAAATGCAACTATGAAAACAACGAGACCGAGATTTTGCCGAAAGCTAACATACATTACAATTTATGAAATGATTCGGCATAACTTATTCGGCTAGAGAACACACGCATATTATACAGCAACGCCCAAGAAGGAAGAAGAAATTCGAAGACTGTTCGACGCCAAGCGGAGAAAGTGACGTGCTCGCATACGCATTTGCACAATAATGCACTCTGCTGGATTAGAGCAGCTCAATGAAATAGTGCCATGGATAAATCTTTTTTACGTTTTCCTTTTCGCTCAGTTCGCACTCGGCATCAATTTGGTAGCTACGGAATCTTTGGCTCTGCTCGAAACTCAAGAAATGTTTTATCAATTGTTTTTTACTGCCCTATATCTCAATCATCTCCTTCCATCGACTTCTTGGTTGCTTCACTCGTGGTCTCGAGAGTCAAAATGTGCTTCGCTTAGTCGAATCTATCTATCCTCAGCTATCCTAAGACTAGCATATCTATCTGGATACTCGAGGACAAGGCAGACGAGAAACCATTATCCGTCGGAATCCGGCGCTGACCTTAGCTACAGTATATAGCTAACGCGACCATAAAAGGTGACCCGGCTGCCTCTTACTTTTTCATTGATCTTACTTATCAGATTATAAAGTGGTCCTGCATTTGATATGATGTGTTGTTTATCCTCTGAGTCGTATATATGACTGATCATTTCGCTATCTGTATTCAGGTAATGAATACAGGTAGACCTGAGTTTGCTAATAACTGATGGTGATGGATGACGTAGAAGTATCACTTACGAAATCTTTTTGTTGTTGAGAATTTCAAAACAAGACTGTCATTGGTAAGGATGACTTCATCTCCCTGAACAATGTACACGTTTTGGGAAGCAGAGTTTCTTCTAACTACATCAAATAAAACCCTTTTATATTCAAGTTATTGGGATATCTCGATAATGATAAATTCCATGAGATATCCTAGAGAAACATCAGTTTCTTAGTATTTGCACGTTATGGTATATCGAGAAAGTATCCAAGATGAGGAAAATTTTCAGCACCTGGCAATATCAGAGAATAATCAAGACAAATGACAGTTTCAGGATGACCTAATGATGTGGTAAGTAAGAATTATATGTAATAAGTAAGATTCATAGCCAAAGGAAAGATAAGAGGCAGCTGGGTCACCTTTTACGGTCGCGTTAGCTATATACTGTAGCTAAGGTCAGTGCCGGATTCCGACGGATAATGGTTTCTAGGCAGACGTTGTCTGACAAGCCCAAACTCATCCTTGATGCGCAACGACTCATCCAAAATGGCGTATCGTTCATTCTCTGACTAACAATAAAAGACATGAGCAGCACTTTATCGTCAAGTTATTGTGTAACAAAAGTTTTTCATGATTCCTAATGAAATTGGTAGTGAAAAAATTATTTGATGGAAAAGACTGCAGCGATCCCTTCTTGGCAACCTCTCTATATCAAAAGCTTACGAAGACTGAAGAAACGTCCCAATAACCCCCTCACTCCCCCGCTTGAAACAAATATTACTTGGCTCAGTACATATTCGCCATGTTGTACAAAGCGTGCTCAAAATTTCAGCCGCACCGTGCGCGGTCCGTGCGGTCATCTCGACGACGATCGTTTGATTACTATATTAGGAATTCGTGAAAGAACATACTATACTCATACTACTCAACCTCGCGTTATATAATGAGCTCGATCATGTTCTATTACGAAGCCCTAATAGTGAAATCCAAAACGCGTTAAAACGAACTTGTGTAGACGTACGCAAAGCGTGCCCGTGTCTCCTAGTCAGAGAATGAATGACAAAACACAATATGTAAAACACAAAGTCTGAATACATGTAACTCGTTGACGTTCTCGAAGCGAAGCGTTCTCGATGTCCTATCCTAGAATGGATTGTAACTATTGAACAACTCCACTTTCCACTTGATACAGTCGAGTAAATCTTCCCTCAGTATAGTGTGCTTGCGGTGTGCCGAGAAAATGCGGTAAATACTGCGCGTGAAGCGACCTGCCATACTATTCCAGAAGGTGACTCCTGCGATTCCTGTAATTCCTGCAATTTCTGGATTCCTCCACTTCCGATGTGCCGCACTACCGAGCTCTTCGCGAATTTCAGTATACACTTCTTTTGCAAAATACGTTGTTGTGGACCCGCAGGAATCACAGGAATAGTATGGGCTATCCCGAATTAGCTATGGCACGCGCCATAATTGATCCGCTTGATTCACTTCATCCACTTCGCTATTGGTCAGCTCACTGATCTGACCAATAGCGAAGTGGATCAAGCAGATCAAGTATGACGCGTGCCTGGGTTTGTGCCCTTATAGAAGTTCTCACTCCCAGAGTACAATATGCGTCCTGTTGGACAGTTAGCGTGTTTAACACATTCACGACAAGGCCAATTTTTCGATTACTGTCATTTCGGACAGGAGCTTTTTTCGCTTTGTCAAAATTACGACCCATCCGTGGGTCGTATTGTCCGAGATGGTAGTCTTTTTGGGAAAAGTTCAAAACATGTTCCCGAAAATTCTTCCAGAGGGGTAATCGAAGGCGCTGATTATTAAAAAAACAATTTATTTCAGTTTTTGGCGTCATACGGTAAGGTTACGGCAGTCGTCCTGTACGGAACCAACACCATAGATTTCCATGAAAAATTGTGTTTTGGAGTTGTTTCACGTGCTGATTACGTTTGTAGTGTCCACTTTGTTCACTAATGTTCCACAGTAGTGAACAAAGTGGAGCTACGGTAGCAGTACGGTAGAATTTTAGCAGAAATCAAGAAACTGATGTAAGAAGGTGGTATCAAAACTTGAGACTATCATTTTCATAATCAGCATGCTACAAAACCTATATATGCAAAGTTCAAGCTTACTAAGATGAAAAGTGCAAAAAATCAATAAAATCAATGAAATCGATAATTTTTTGGTGGGCTAACGTCAGCCTCTTGCCCGCCTCGTATTATTCTTACATGTAAACTTGATTGTCCAGAAACAGCATCATTTTGCGAAGAATTTGAGAAAACTGTGCCTTATATCTGTCTACGGTATACCTACAGTAACATTGCATTACAGTATCCCGAGCCCGGACTACTCTGGCTGGAGCTTCACCTAGGTGCCCCCAATCATGTGCCAAAACCCCGAAGAATTCCATCGTAAACAGGCAAAGATAGCGCTTCATGAATCTTACGACCCACCGGTGGGTCATATTGTCCGAAATGGAGGACACGTACGACCCACCGGTGGGTCGTATTGTCGTCAATGTGTTAAAGTGCAAAATTTTCCTCTCGAGAAACAGCGGGATGCTGTCTGCATACGACACAAAATTTACAAAATTAATTTTCTGCCGCTATGTTGTTCGTATTGCAGAACTTAATGTCTTCGTCAAGTTTGATTTCAGCGGACTTTTACAACCTCGTTTTTTACACCTTTTCATTTCACCGACCTTTTCATCTTCCACTTTGTTCATTAATATCCTTTAGAAGCACGAAATATCTTCAGAGACCGGACTTGATTATGCTTGCGAAAAATGCATTTTGAATTTTGCCGACAGGTCCAAGGCGAGCGAATGCTACGATTTACTGTACGAGCTGCTACGAGTGCTTGCGTGGCTGTCACCGTTTTTGATATCGTCGGCCATCCTGCTGTTGTCACTGGAGCCTCCATGGCACCAACATTGGAAGGATCAGATGCGCGGTGGTGGCATCGAGATTTAGTATGGCTGACTCCCTGGGGCATCCATAGGCCCAGAGTCGGAGAGGTCATTACGTTTGTGTGAGTTTGACTCAGTTTTAAAAAAAATATACACACTTTGTTTTGATTTTGACTAAGCTGAAACTAGGATGATGCGACTGCTTTGCAAAACATAGCGGCGTTTTGCACAGGTATCGTAATAGAACAAATGTCTGCGTTTCTTCATTCTCTTCGACCCCTAGCTGATGAATTACCAAGCGTACGTATAGCTTGGTTCAAAATCTCATGGATCAAATGTCTCACGCGTGACTCTTGCGCTGCGTGCCCACTGAACTTGGTGGCGGATCGAATCTGAACCGGAGCTGGTCAATCACGGCAGAGCATGGCTCCTCAGCCCTCGGTTAAAATTTATACATGTTTCTTTTTCGTCGTTCTTGCTAATCCATGTAGTATGACAATGTTTGCAATCGAAATTGAAGCTTTTTTCATGGGTATGTCACCAAACTCCGCCAGTTTGAGCCGTCGGCGGAGTAGCGACTACAACAATATTGCAAAAGATACACTTGTTTGCGGAGATGAACCAAAATGGGGGAGTTTGGTTACCTACCCCTAGTGGGGTGAGGACGGCTGTACCACGGCAAAGACACGTGGTTGAATTGGCACTTACAAGAAACTTTTTTAACTGGAATACGACGTATTGATGTGAAGCTGACACACCGCTTCACCTGAAAAGCATTGACTTCCAGTTGCAAAAAGTGACACCTGTATCATGCTCAATGATGGGGCTTGTGCGGCTTGGCTAGCTTGTACTGTGAACCTCTCCGCGATCATACTCTGATCAGTTTACCAAGCTCAAAGGCAGCGTCTAGGCCAGACATACGGGATCTCAGGTGGAAAGTAATTTTAGGGCCCTAACTAAGCCACTGCCCAACCGACAGCTCAGGTAGTGCTCTAACGGCTGAGATATTCCTCTCGAAATAGGACACCAGGATCGTATTTCGCATGGATTCATGGCGCGACACATCACTTTCGCGCGGGACCCACGCATTGCGCCATGAATCCATGCGAAATACGATCCGTGTCTTATTTCGAGGGGAAAATCTCAGCCGTTAGAGAACTACCTGAGCTGCCGGTTGGGCAGTGCCTTAATTAGGGTCCCAAAACTACTTCCACGTAAACTTCCCACAGGTCCAGATTTGCCTGGACGCTCTTTAATTAGCGATTGAAGCTTGGGCTCTCCCATCTAGCGGGAAAATGATTGAAGACATGCTCGAGATGGAGGTGTCCTAATGATACAGAGGGTACAGCCTGACCCATCTGGGAACAGGTCGATCTGCATACTCTCGCTGTCGATTCTTAGGTTACCTTTCAATGACGTGGTTTGGTGCGGCCGCCTTGCTTTGACTTTGCACTACGTTGCAGGCGCATCGTTTAAACGTGACGTGGCGCCAAAAACAACATGGCCAGACTTCTTTAGATACGTTATTCTTGTTGCTACGCCACACCAATCGATGTGCGCGCAACATGGCGCAAGCCCGAAGCGGGCGGTCGCACTAAATCACGTCATGATGAGAAGTAACATGGGATTTGATAGCGAGGGTACAGTGGTATCGGGGGTGGTGCAGGAGGAACCAAAAGGCTGCCGCCTGTATCCGCAGGAGATAATTAAGAGCGCGAGCGCTGTGGAAAATATTTTGGCAGGGATCCAAGAAAACTCGGCAAGGACATTCTTTAGGAAGAAATATTCATAACTTCGCCTGGAGATGATTTTGAAAAATGTAAAAAACAGATTTGTAATGCAAATTGAAAGGCTCATTCACTGGGCCTAAAAGTAAGTGAAAGTTTGAAATTGTAGTGGTAACAAAAGTCAACTATCATATAGAAACCTTTGTTTTGGATTTTGAAGTTTCAAGTTGTTGAAGTTCGGGTTTTCATTCAAAATTCATTCTTTTTTCTTTGAGATAAAGGAATAGTTTGCCTTTTTAATCAATGACCATAGCAATCAAATTGTCATAGAAACACATCTGGAGGGTTGTGTCAAGATGCAATATGCAGTTTGTCTCATAACTTCAAACCCATTCTAATTCTAAATTTTGACATTAGAGACTTCAAAGGATTTGCCGAAACTATGTCGGCAATTCTTTAGGTCGACACAGTAGCAAAAGTTCATCACATGCAATTTAATTAACATTATTCCCTTATTAACTTCATACTTTCAACTTCGTATTTAGAAATTTCACTAAAAATTCAGTTGAAATATTTTTCACACAACATTAAGCTTGAAATTCCTCAGCTTAGAACGATAAATTTTGAAGGCACAGTTTTTGGTAGAATGCGAGACAGAGTTGTTTAACTATCCAAGCGTATTATTGAAAAATGCGCATTTCAATACTGATTCCAAATCTGTCCTTCGTATCCTTGAAACTTGATTCCAAGGAGAGTTATAAGGGTTTGTTTTTAATGGATATCCTCGCGAAGTTTTCTTGGATCCTTGCTAAATTCTTCTCCATAGCGCTCGCCCTCCTAATTATCTCCTACGGCTACAGGCGGCAGGCCTTTGGTTCCTCCTGCACCTCATCCCAGTGGTATCTAGAAGGTTTTGCACAGCGGATGGTTGGAAGCAGGGTCAAGCTTGTGATGCGACTGTCGCAACGGGGGGTCGTAAGAGGGTATCTAAGATGGGGAAGGGGGTCATAAGAGGAGGTAGTTAGGCTAAAATACCCTAGGCTTCAAAGGGAATCAAAAAGCGGACAATTAGTTATGTTCTTTACAATAAATCTATAAAAAGTGGAAATCAAAATAAAAAAGTAAAAAATCTGTAGAAATTCTCAAAAAAACATTTACAAGAGCTCAAAACACTTTTGAAGAATGTATTATTTGATAAAAATGCTAAATGTACCGATTGCCCTTGAAATCTTGCTTCTGAAGCCTTCCTGAAGTCTCACACACTCGACAAAAGCGAATGTCTTTACCAGCTGTGACCATCATAAAATTCTAAATCTTTTTGTAATGCTTTTCACGGGCTCATATGATTTATCTGTACTTTTGAAAAGCTCCGCTATATCAGTGCAAAATTTGGTGTTACTTTGTCAACTGTGGATTTTCTTATGATTTTATGTATGATAGCAAAAAGTCAGGAAAGGGGGGTCGTATCTGGGTCGCATCTAAATTTCTTCGGAGCTATTGAAGCTTGTTGGCTGCAATTTTGCTGTAATATGAGGCCATCCTCCTACTTTCCCTCAAAAAAATTGCAGGCTGTTTTATAACTTCTCTGGTAAGTTCCAAAATTTTAAACTCAAAAATCCCAGTTTTTGCTTTTTAGGATCGCATCTAAATTTGCGAGAGTCGCATCTAAATTTTTTCGAGCTTACTGCTCCTCAAAAGCTGAAACTTTTTCTTTGGATAGTCTGGGCACTATACTACGGAACCTGTGCTTTGCAGCCTCTCAGTCTTTTCCTGGCCTTAGTTACGAATTTTCAAACTACCGTGCTCATGCACGTTTTTGACGTCGTCCTGGACGGCGCTCAAGCGGTTTTTTTCGCGGGAAAAACTGTGAAAGAGGTAGAAAGTAAGCTTCTTAGTAGAAAGCATTTTTTGTAGTTCAAGAATGTCATTTTTTCTCCCTGTAAAAATTTGTGTCGCCTACGGGAATCGAATGTGCTGGCCTGAAGTATGCCTGAAAATTCAGAAAAAAACTTGCAGAATCTCAAACTTTATTAAAGGTGTGTATGTGTGCTACAGATGATGGGCGCACCCACTGGCCTAGAAATTCTGCTTCCGAAACCTCACTGAAGTTCTTACGCAGGTGTTTTTTTGAGATTGACATTCGTTTAGGCAGGTTACCGCGAGGAATGTGGGCAGGGGAGGTAAGGGGGATAAATGGGTGAAGGTGGGGGGAGGGGGGGGGGGGGGGAGGGGGAAGGGCGGGGGTCATACAGATGGGTACCCTCAAGGGGGGGATCGTAAATGAGGGTCCCGGGCATCAGCACGCTTGACCCTGGTTGGAAGTCTTTGTTTTGAAGGCAGTGTCCGGGCAAAAACTCGATTTTGAAATTTCGTGCTTATATGGGCCCCTCCGCCATGCTGAATCCGAAAATCCACACTAGAAAGCGCGAAAACGGCAAAAAAGGGCGCTAGTGCAAGAGGGACAGCAAGTGGGCGGGGTCCTCCCCACTGTGAATTCACTCTCCCAGCTTTCGGAGCGATCTTTTCAATTCCGTTAGCCGTCCTAACATCGCTACCGGCCAAGTGCGAATGATTGACTTGAAGCCGGCAGCGAGAAGATCGCTCCTGAAGCTGGGAGCGTCAATTCACAGTGGGAGGACCTCGCCCACCTGCTGATTTCCCTCCTGTGCTTGGACCGTTTTCGTGCTCTCTAATGTGCATCTTCGGATTCAGCGTGGGGAATAGGCCCGAGTAAAGGATATTCGTTGACGACTGCCCCAACTAGTGCAATTACACCACCGTGGGCGGGCTTTTTTCGAGCCTTTCCAGCTTGACAGTAGGACAGGACAGAACAGGGAAAGGACAGGGATGCTGTGAGCTACCAAGTCCCCGCGAACTGCAGCCTATTGTCAAGCTGGAGAGGCCTTCAATAAGGCATGCCAAAGATGGTGTAATTGGCCGAGTCGGGGCAGTCGTCGATGAATATCGTTTGAGCACAAAACCTCAAGATCGGCTTTTTGCCTGGACACTGCCTTTAGAGGCTCTCCGAACTAATGCGGCAAGTCTCAGCTAAACTCCACCACTTGTATGTATTTCTCGGAGAACCTTTAGCAATTGATATTGAAGTCACATACGAAACGACGTCCATATTACGATTGTATTCAGGTCACCACGAGACCCGGATAAAATCCACATCAAGCGAGTGACAGCTGTTGAAGGCGACCTAGTGAGGTTGGCACTTCATGCGCGCTGACTTTATGCTCGACTTTGGAATTACTTTTTAGACCGAGACACAGGAATGAACTTCTGTTGATACCCAAAGGATGTTGCTGGATGGAAAGTGACAATCCCGTAAATGCCAACGACAGCAACATCTATGGTCCGGTGCGTCTTTTCAGCAATGCAAAAACAAGGTCATATATTCGTCCATGCATATGGACATAGCAACATATGACTCGATACTGATGGAAGCTATCCTCAGTTCACTTATTTGCTAAAAGTCGCTCAAAAAGTGATGGTGTTAATGAAGCTTACACTCCATAGTGCGCGTTATCCGCTCAACACGGCCCAAAGATTCAAAATCGGATTTTGCCTGGTCACAAAAATGACGTCCATTCGCATAATAGGGCCTGTTTCGAGGGATTACGGTAGGCATATGTTATAAGGATCAAAATCTCAGCTTTTATCAAATTTGCGCAGAGGGTTTATCCGACATGCTGATTAATCACACTTTTTCCATACAAAAACTTCACCTGTATGGTTACGGTAGATGTACGGTAGGGGCCAAAAGTCAAAACCCTAGATCTGGGTGGAATTAGGTCTGGGAGGGTCAATCAACATCCTGTGGCCGTATTCATCAATGAACTTAGTGGGTTCCGCAACCAACTGGGTGCTTGAAGGCAGCTCCAGGCAAATCTGGACTATGGGGCTTCACGTACATAGTAATTTTGGGGCCCCACTAGGTTGCACAACCGGCAGCTCAGGTAGTGCACTAGCGGCTGAGGTATTTGCCTCTAAACTGGACCCCGGGGTCGTATCGCATGGATTCATGGCACAACCCATCATTTTCAGCGGGGACCCATAGTTGGCGCCATATCCATGCGAAGTACGACCCCGGGGTCCAGTTTCGAGGCGAATATCTCAGCCGTTAGAGCACTACCTGAGCTGCCACTAGTGGCTTAGTGGCCCCAAAATTACGATCCTTGTGAAAGCCCGTATGTCCAGATTTGCCTGGAGACGCTGCCTTTAAAGGCAGCGTCCGGGCAGATAAATCTAGAGTGCGGGGGGCCCGTCTTGGTAAGGGTCTTGCCCAACTGGCAATGCACAAGTTTGCTTCTGAAGCGAGAAATCCGCTTCAGAAGTGGGGACCGGAACGCCCCGGCGACCGGGACGAGTTAGCTCGGTAATCCAGAGTGCGCATACCACACAGTGAAGACGTAGGGTCCTACAGAGACTGCGTCTTGCCCTTGGCGGCAAGCGACAAAATTCAAATCAAGGGCTTCTGAGAAAGCCCGTTTTCGGCGTTTTCGTGCCCTGCAAGCTGCATTTTCAGAATCAGCGGGAAGAATAAGCCCAGGTAAGCGAAAAAATTCCATTCGAAGTTTTGCCCGGACGCTGCCTTTAAAGGCAGTGCGGGCAAAAACTCGATTTTTAAAAAATCCACTTACCGACGTTATCCGCAACGCTGAATTCGAAAAGCTACATTAGAAGACGCGAAAACAACGAGCATTCGTTTTCCAAAGCCTTACAATTCGAAACTCGATGGTCCCCGCTAGGCAGAGACGCAGAGTCGCTGCGGTACCCTAATGCGTACTCTGCCGCATATTAGCAGGAACTCGAGGTCGGAAGACCCCGCTCCAAGGCGTAAGCTTCCCCACTTTCCGATCGTTTTTCTTGGTTTAGGTGAGTGTGAGTGTTATGATGTCGCACTTGCGCGATGTTGTGTCTGAGGGGAGTCACTCTTGCATGGCACTATGCCAAAACCCCCATTTTGCCCGGACACTGCCTTTAAATATCTTGCCTTGGGGTCATATGTGTGCCATTTACGTCGATATATCGAAATGCTCAATTTTACCTACAGAAAAGGGGGAAGATGCGCAGTCGAACAAGACTGAGTTGTAAGTGCGCCCATTTTTGCAATGTAGACTTTGTCTTCATAAATGCGTAGAGCAGTCCTCAGGTTAGCCTTATGTTAGACTTCTAGTTAACATACTGTTCAAAGCAGTAACCTTTAATTCAACTGGCTTGGCTTTGGGAAGGTGGGGCTTTGTGACCTAATTAAGGCCGCTCGCGCCCGCGACGCACCTGCATCTCTCTCGCGCGAGTGCCTGATCATTAGCTAGCCTTAATTAGGTCACGAAGCCCCGCCTTCCCGAAGCCAAGCCAGTTGAATCAGATTGTAATTATGCTGCTTTTTGTGTGACGTCTTTGCTAAGCAGTATTACTTGAGTACTACTCTACATACTTGTGAGCACAGATTTCCTACACTGCAGATATAGCACTTATAACTCAGTCTTGTTCGTCCGCGCATTCTCCGTCCTGTGGGTAAAACTGTGCGTGCCTTGACTGCCGCAGTGAAGAACTACTCAAGATTGAGAAGGAAAGACTGGCCTAGTTTTTGCGGTCAAGAAATCTCACCGTTAGATTGAAATTATGGAATCGACGCAGAACGGCACACATACGACTCCTGAGGCAACCTATCAAAATAAAAAGCTGCTGCGAAGGCAAGAAACAAAAAAAAAACGATGAACGCGAAAAGTCTTTGACGTTTTTTTCAAATTAGGCGTATTCCCCATTGTGCAACAAGGCGCAGGCGGGCCCTCTAGCCGCATCCGAGGTTGCAAAATTTTGTGCAGTGACACATGGCACAGTGAGGTGACTAAAGAGAACGTCTACTATAAATGGCATGGTAACGATTGTTTGTATGTTCGCGTAGATCGTAATCATTCCCGAATCAGATTTTTGGAGATAGGTAGGTATACAGCAGAGGGGACCGAGGGGGTAGGCCCGAAAGACTCTCCAAGCAGCGCTAGCATTTTACAAGACCAAGAAATTCATCCCCAGACCTGTCCCTTCCACTGCCACTTTCGCAGACGATTTGCTTCGGCTTGCATGCTTTCGCTTGAGATACACCACCCATCGTTGACGATAGGTTATCGCTATCCCTATCAACTCACTCATTACGACCCCCTTCCCTCTTTGACTTTCTGGTATACACGTAGAGAGAGTTGGTTTTCCAGGTAAGTCGTGGATTGTTGAAGAGCCGAGCAACTCATGTGATATGGCCTCCAAGCAGATGGCAAAAATTATGAAGAGTGTAGCCACCTCGCAGTGAAGTGTACTAAGGGTACCAAACGACGTTCTCGTATTCGCCACGAATCTAGTATCTTGAAGTCAGACATAGCAAAATATTCTGAAAATGACATAACGAGTGACACAGGTGGTTTAAATTATTATCGTTGATGTATATAGTTATTGCAATGTCTGTGATGATAGATTTTTTGCATAGTAGTCCTATGCAGCTCCATGACATGTACAGGGTAAAACAATACCTGACGGCAGCTACATTGTACTGTATGTCACAAGAATCTGACTATTCATTCGTCAACTTTGTTTGTTCTTTTGAATCACATTCAAGGTATCTAAACGTAGATTGTTGTCAAAGTCACTGTTGAGTACTGCTTCTTGAGCTGTTTCGCTACAGTGTCCTATCTGAGCTAATCGACGGATGCACTTCATACACTGGGATCTGATCTGGAAATGGATAAAAATTAGATTCTATCGTTAAAAGAACATCTTCAAATGGCAGAAACCTTAATATCTTCGCAGTCAGTTAACTCCCTTGCTAAAATGTTTGATAGTACGTGTAGATCATTACTATAGAAGAGCTGACTATATAAATTATCTTCATCCCCTTGATCTTCAATGATATCGCTGAGGAGTTTCAGACGTCTCTCTGAAAGTGTTTTGATTGACCATCTTATAATACTACCTCTTTAGCAAACGAAAATGCATTTTTGCAAACCACGCAGCAGCCGCATTTGGATAGGAATTTGTTTGGTATCACACGTTATGTGAAATTATAGGTAGGTTTAGGAGAGGAGAGATTAGTTATTGTATTAATGTTTCAATGCGCACTCCAGTCCTTCCACACATTCTTTCAAGACTGATTATTTTTGAATTTCGATGTAACAATGCATCTTCGTTATAAGGGTTAGGGAGAGCACTGACTTCTAATAGCTATGCTCTCCACATCATAGAGATACTTGTGACGGTATTATTCTCTTAGATCATTCACTTTTTACCTACAATTACAATCAAACAAGAGGCTTTCAAAAAGGATATTATATTGGCTGCTAAGGCTGCCGTTTGAAAATTGGCTTTAGCGTCTTCAATGGCTTTTTTCTGAGGGCTCAGTTTTGAGTTCGTTGATGCGATGCACCGTCAATAACGTCCCCAGCTCGCCTGAACTATGCTAAGGTAGTTCAGGCAGCTGGGGACGTTATTGACGGTGCATCGCATCAACGAACTCAAGACTGAGCCATTGAAGACGCTAAAGCCAATTTTCAAACCACAAAATTGTTTTCTGTGAGGTTGTTATAAAATCATAATCACGCGCAGCTGACCATTTGCATCTGATTTATAAGAAATCTCATGTTTCGCTCACCAGTTGTTTGATCGTTTATTGCTTTCACTAATAATTGTCCTAGCTGTGGGCATGGATTCATTTGAAGAGCAGCAATAACGGCGCTCTTTTGTTGCGAATTTGTCACCCCGTTGAAGTTCACAATGAATTCCATTATTTCATTGGGGTATTCATGTATGTGCGATAGCAACTTTACAAAAACATGTGCGTCGAAAAGTTCTGCAAGTAAGTTATCATACTGCAATCATGTGACTATAAAAAACTGACCGAAATGGTGAAGTGGTGGCACCTCCCCACTAGAATACGTTAGGATTAGTAATCGTATAGCTGTCAGATCTAGTTCCGAAAGTACTGTGTCGCGAGATTGGAACTGTACTGCAACAACTTCTGGCAGCCGCGAGTTGAGAATATATGTGATGAGATCCGAGCACACATCTACCAGTGAGACTATACATTTCAAACTAGCTAATCGAACAGCATCGTTTTGATCCTGAAAAGCACCTTATCCGCTTTGCATCTCCTAGGTTCTCGAAATAGGTGCAGAGCCCAGGCAAACCGCTCGCGCGGAACTCGAGCCCCACCCAGCACCCGTCACTCTCAACAAAACATAGGGTACTGTTTGTGTCAAAGCTTCATCGACCTTTCGTCAGGTTGTCTCAATGTGATGTCACAGCTCTAGCAGCTCGGGTCCTCGCGGCCGCCTCCTCGCAATTCTCGCTGCATTTGCGAAAGATCCTGTGGGGATTTCCCACGCCACGGTAACGGATGAGAGCTGTCGAGGCGTGGGAAAATGCTCAGAGGATACGTTCGCAAATGCAGCGCAAATCCCAAGCGCAATTTCGAATTATCATGATTGAAGAGGCGTCCAGGCTAATCTGACCATGGTAATCACGCGTGGAAACGGATTTAAGAGGCCTACCTAGGACGCTGCCCAAGAAGCAGCGCAGATGGTACACGTATGGCTGAGATGTTCATTTCCCAACCAGACCCATCCACCGTAATTAGCAGATGACTTGCATAGGCTTGCTGCTATTGCGTGGAGGCTCACTGCTTTTGTGACGGGTCGCGCAAGATCCTGCCTGCAGTCGCCGTCAAATAGGGGAGCGGGATAGATGTGCATTATCTTCAAAGGGGATGGATGTATAATGTGATCTCATACTGGAAAGGCGACCGTCATGGACATTTTCTACCCCAATTGAGAGTGGCGAGATTTTGATACAACACAATAGCTAGATCGCCCACATCCCGCTGCAAAAGGTGAAGTCAGGAAAGTCCGGGAAGTAGGTAGTAGCGGCGGTGGTGGCTCCGCTCATCAACGTGTATGGCCTGAAGAGAACATGTCCAAACTGAGCTTTAATGTACCTATACAGATCTGTCTTTAGACTTTACCTTCAAACCACCCATGTCGATGGAGGGGGAGAGGGGGGGGTCACTGCCGTTTTCACTTTCGTGACTTCCTCGATTTTGATCTCATCCTTTGCAGCGGAACTTGGATCAGTTGATTAGACCATTTGTTGTACATTATTAGAATCCACCCTCAGTTTGAGTGGACGGTGCCTTCAAAAAAGTTCGGGCACCTATCCCCAGTACCGTAAATAGCGATCAACTCGCATCGGCTGGCAGGCTTGCGCGGAGACCCATCACGAGAGTGGTGGGCCACACACAATAGCATACAACTGATGCAAACTCCTCCACCGCCCATTGCAGGGTGTGGCTCGAGGACAAATATCTCACCGCGCAGCTTGGACAATATAGAACCGTTAGTTAGAACCCCAAAATCATTTTTCTCGTGCAATCCATGTGTCCCGATTTGCCTGGACGCTGCTTATGATAATGTAGTCTCTATGGCGCCTCATCAGAAACACAAGGGTGTATAGCACCAAATATATGACTAACACAACAACGACGCACCATTATTACGCATGCCTACCATTTGATAAATATTGATAAGGTGATCCATCCACTCATAATCATCTAACGAGATCAGGTGCTTGACCACTCGTGGGTCAGTTTTTTGCTGAAAAAAAGGTTGTATTGGCATGCTCAGAGATTTTTGAAAATTCAACTCACCACACAGGAAACAAACAATCCAAGATACATAAGTAGCTCTTCGTCATCTTGTTCACTTGAGAAGCTCAGCTGCAAACTCATATGTAGAGAAAATTCGGAATAAATATTAGGTTGTCCCAAAAGTAAACTCCATTTTCAAATAAGTTAAGCTGTTCTTGTTTTGCTAACGGACTTGAGGTACCATTGGATAGAGCGAAGCAAGCTCTACAAAAAGACCACCAAAGATCCACCTAAGAGCCGCATGCACTAACATCCCCGCGGGAAGGGGATCGCAGCCTAAAAAAACGTTTATATTTCAAAACTCCAGATACCTGGATTTTACGTTGTGTACCTATCCGTAAGTATTCCTACTACCCTCCACTATGAACATGTTGAAGAAGAGCGAGAACCTGTACGAACCGCATTTTCTAGCTTTTGTATGATCCCTGATGATCCCCGGAGCTTTTCTTTAAAGTCATTTTTCTTTCTCCGAAGTTAACAAATAGCCTCCAAAGTTGTGCAGATTATCTAACCCGACAATGCTAAGCATGTTGCTGATAAGAACAAATGATGTTTTGAAGTCATGAAATTTTCGATGATCCACAGGTCGAAATTTGAGGTTTGCCGAAAAATTCGACTTTTCAAAAACTCATTTGTTCTCATCGGCAACATGCTTAGCACTGTTGTGTTAGATGTTCAGCACAACTTTGGAAGGTCGTTAATTTCGGAGAAAGAAAAATGACTTCAAAGTAAAGCGCCGGGGATTATCAGGGATCATACAAAAGCTGGAAAATGCGGTTCGTAAAGCTTTTCGCTCCTCTTCAATATGTTCATAGTGAAGGATAGTAGGAATACTTACGGACAGGTACACAACGTGAAATCCAGGTATCTGGATTTTCGAAATATAAAGCTTTCTTTCAAGCTGCGATCCCCTCCCCAGCGGGGGGTTAGGTTAGTGCATGCGGCCCTAAGTCGTAATCCAGTAAAATTTTGGGCCAAAAATCAATTTTCAGCACCCTAAAAATCGGATCTCCTTCCGGAGAATTCGTACGGAGACTTCCAAACTGGTCTTTATATAGTAGACACATGGTAGTACCCAAAAATGTATTTGGCGGATTTTTTCCGGGGCTCAAAATTGAGAAAAAAAGATGGTCCAAAAATGCCGAAAGGCCACTTTTTTCGGGTTTTTTAATGTGAAACTTGGTATTTCTCGAATATAAGAGCACATACAGGGGTAAGGTTTTGAGATTTTACTTAGTAAGGCTTGTAGTATACAATGACATATGTGGGAGAGGCTGGTTGCGGGGTTTGCCATTTTTGGACTCTTTGGACTTTTTTTCTATGCTCGGAAAAAAATTCGATAAAGGCATATTTGTGTACTACTACATGCCTTCTGTATAATGACCAAGTTGGAGGTCTGTAGGATTTTTTATCGCAGAAATCCAAATTTCAAGTGACAAACCATGAAATGCGACATGGGCGAATCCTTGGCGGTCATTTTGTAGGGCTTGATTGACTCTATCGAATGATACCCTAAGTTTACTGGGAAAACAAAAACAGCTCAAATTATTTGAATTACTAGGAAGGGACAACCTAATAAATAGGATATACACATTCCCTACTTCGTATTTTTCTTTGAACAATGGCGTCAGACGTTCTTGCATCTCAGAAAGAAGTCTGTAATCATAACAGTCATCTACTTGCACAGTATAATCTTTAACTGCCTCTTGAATTCGCTGAAACGACTCGACCCTAAAGAATTGATCTAATCACTTTTTGTTCACATCAAACCATTCACAATCAGAGATCAAGTGAAAGCTTACTGAACGAATGGTGCCATAACTGCCAAGCAGTTCCTAGCAGCTTCGATGCATGAATTGAGCGGAGCATCTGTGGTTGAGCGAATTGCATCAATAAGATCTCTTGCAATCTGCCGTTCGTCCAAAACGCGTGCGTACATCTTGAACACAAATTTAAAGTAAAAACACTGGCAGAATGGAATTTGGATGGATGGCTAGGAAGATAGTAGCAGTTGTCTAATACAGATTCCACGGTCTGGATCCACCTACTCAGTCAGTATGGACGCTCTTCTCATCATACAACTACAGACCAATGATCAATCATTCGGTCATGCTCAAAACAGGCGGCATCACAAACATAGTGGACCGGTAGTGATAACTCTCTTGCTTATGACACCTATTTTCGCTGTCTACAGCTAGTTTCACATGTTACAGATAACAAATAAGACAAGTTCTCCGCGCCTACTGCATAGTTCTGTCACTATACAGCTTATCAGACATGGATTTTTGTTATTTAGGATAGTTAAGCAAGTTCACATTACACCATAGGGATGGCCAATTGATTGCCAGATTCTCAGTTTGCTAAATCTCTAAAATGGCGCGACATCTACGAGAACAACCCAACCGATAATCGTCATTTTTTATATCCGCTTTCGATCCTTTTAACTGCGACATTAACGAACATGGGAAAATTCGTCATCGCTTTTGTTTCTGCGTTTCCTGAATAAAAACGGGATGGATTGGCAGTGGCGGACCGTGGGAAAGCCCCCTCCCCCTCGAGAAAGGGTTGCGAAAATTTTAGTTTATTCTTGAAAAGAATTAAAATAATCCTCAAATTTTTAAAAAATCCATAATAACCCCGTAAAAATTTTTTTGGGGTGCTTAGGCCACGCCCCTTTTTCTTCTTCCGAAATTTCAGAATGATGGGCCCGCCAAAATTTTGGGAAGCATCTCAATAGATAAGCTGCGCGCTAATGATGGGTACGCGTCTAGATGGAAAATATGCGGCTGGACACGAATCAAATCGTCCTGATTGTGTATGTAGATGTAATGCGCTATATATCGTGCTGGTTGCGCAGAATGAACTACTCCAGCTGACTCATAAATCGGTGGTTTTCATTCGCATCCGTCGCACCGCGCGCTGGTTCCCGATCATTGTCCGATCAGCCGCGAGCAAGGAGCCGTTCAGGGGAGATCGCGTAGGCCAGCATGCAGAATGACGCATACCAAAAATGCGTGATGACGTAAACTGGTGAAAATCCACGCGAGTAAAAATACCTTTAATCTGTCTTTTATTCTGTTTCCTTTCGCCGCCCAAGCATAGGTATTGTGCCCGCAATATCGTTCTGAAACAAAATGATCTAAGCTCATGCAACACAGAAGCTTCAAATTAGTGACGTTTGCGCATAGGTGATAAAGAAGGTCAATTTTCATTGATAACGCAGTTTTGACTTACGCAAGACTAGTAGGTAGACCAAATTTTGATAAGGCTTATCTGCGGTTCAACCTCAGTACTGGGTAAGTCAAACGTTTTGTGCGAAACATAGAAGAAGCGGAAGACAAACTTCATACTATGCTCTTCAGAAGCCCTACGCTCCATTATATGATGGAAATAGGCGCTCACGATTTTCCTTCTCCGCAGGAAAAATCTCACGGTTCAGTGGTGTTTAAGAAGGTAACGTTTTGTTGGCGGAAACCGTAGAATGGCAATCATACAATAGGAGATCAGGAACCTGTCTTGGTGCGCCCAGTTTTTCATATTCCCAACCTTTTCGTTAATAATAGCTCAGCTAACCTATTAAACTCATTTACTACATGCATGGTGCATAATGAAAGATAAACAGATGCTAATACATCCTAAAGCTGAGAAAGTATAGAGGTTTCTAATAATCTTTATAGCCGCTAGTACATCACAATAATTGCACCAGTACGCACGATATGAAGAAGATGTAAGCGTATCTAACTGGAATTCCGTTCAGCAAGAATAGCACGGATTTGCGTTATGAAATCATTTACGGTTTGCATCAAATCGTCCTGATCTCGTTCATCCCTATCGGCATCATCGGTGTCATCTCTGAAACATATCTAATCTTTCGGTGACGCACCTGCTATCTGCATGTATATATATAAAATTCTGCTACAAAAACTGAATATGTCATTTGAAATTTACCATAAATTTGCTACAGGATGCAAGCTTACATTGCACCTTGTAGTGGGTATGCCTGCCTTCATTAACCAACCTGCGGAATATGAAATCTGATAAATATGGCTTCCGTCTTGCATGAGGTGCTTCACCAGGGTCAATGGAACCGTCCGGAAGCTGGTGCTTGTAGAAGCATTTATTCCCAAACGGACAACCTTCTCCAGAAGATCCTTCCTACAAAAAAATACAATGCCATTTTGCAAAGAAAAAAGGAAAAAAATAAGGGGCCGTAGTAGAATGCCTCTAAAAACCCACAATTGCAAGTAAAAAATCGTCACTGCGGGCCTATTTTCAGAGAAATTGCACATATCATGATTGAAAATTTCCAAAGGCAGTGCTTACAAGGGAAGGATACCAACATTAGTTGGCAATTGAAGATGAGATGTATATCATTAGATCCGCCTTTGAACGCTGATTCCAAATCTGCTTTCCTTTTTTGCGGAATAAGTTTCCGAAAGAAGTTACGAGCGTTTGAATGTCCAGATTTGCCAAGCATTGAGCGGCTTAAAATCAGCGAAGTGCTCTAAAACAACACCTATGCGATTTCCACCGGCTGTGTTCCTTCCTTGCAAACAATATACTCGATACAAGAATAATTTTTCACTTTCCAGTGTGTTTGTACAGCTTGACGCCAATTTTAGGCCACCTAAACCTTTACAAAATTGGACATTTGAACGTCCACAACTTCTTTCGGAAACGTATTCCGCAAAAAAGAAAAGCAGATTTGGAATCAGCGTTCAAAGGCGCGTCTACTCATGTACATCTCATCTTCAATCGCCAACTAATGCTGGTATCCTTACCTTGTTAGCAGTTTTCGGATCGTGACACAACGAATATAATGTGATCTTCAAAACAGATGGCAACGTTGCAGCTCAGGACTACATCTGTACATTGTTTGGTACATGAACTGCCAGTGATATGACTGCGGTGTTAGAGAATAAAGAACGTGTACAATGAAAACTGACAGAGTGTTGATCCGCCTCCTGCCTACAAACTTGAACATGACAATGCGTCAAAAGTAAATCTTGTCACTTTCATGACGTAGTAAAACAAACGCCGAATATCCAAAAAATTCAACACTCTCAATTTGCTCACCTTATAGTATTTGCACTGCTTTTGAGCCATATTAGTTCGATACACTTCGCATAAAATCTTTTTCTCTTCGTCATCTTCGACCCATAAGATAGATGGAATCACGAAGTTGCTATGCTGTCGGCATTCCGGACAGGATCTGTGAAGACATATTTGAGAAAAAAAAAACAACTGAAAAGTTTGTATCCTACCTGACAACATCGGTATCGAAAGCCTGATTTCGTCTCCATTCTCGGATACATTCCAAGCAAAAGCAATGGCGACAATTCTCCAGTATTCCAAATCGCAAAGACTCAAAATCAACAATGTTACTCGTGCAGGCGCTATAAGGATGACAGTCGCGATACTCACCTTTTCCATGATGTTTTCCATGCATATACCACAACACTTCTCCTTACCTTTTGCCTCTGCAAAAGCTTGTTCCATAGCCATCTCATGCTGTTGCAGACACTCCTAAAAAGTTGTTTTTGAAAAATTCGGAGAAAAAGCCAACCACTTACCGCAAAATGTTGCTTCTGCTGTTTCTCATCATATGGATGGATACAGGCACGCAGGCACATGTCGCATACAAGGCCATGAACAAACTGGCATTTGTCATTCGTACATTCGCCCATTTCGAAGTAAGGACAAAGCGGTAACTGAGGCTCGCTTTCGCTTGAACCTGCTGCGACTGCATAGGATACACCTGGAAGCTATGAAAAGTATACTCTTTACTCGGCAATTATCTAGCCTTGTTAGGTTTTGAGAAGCGTTGTGTTCATCCTCGACTTCACCGGTACAAATTCGCCACAGCGCCGTTTAAGTGCCCTGCCGAAATTCTGCTGGCGCTGAGTCGAGTATGGCTCAAGCCTACATGCGTACAACGTATGATCGCCTTATTCCGCGAGATATCGCGTGCAGCTGCATCATAATCGAGATTTTAGGGCAAAAAGGTTTCTTGTTCCAAAATTCAACAATTTTAAAAGTGTGAGGCGGATTGTCCTCTGCATCACCCCATATGCGCCATGCCAATTGTTCTGTTTCAAGGGAACTTGACTGATGCATGCTGTATCTGCCCCATCATGACTTTCATATCATCAGCGCTTCTGCTTACTTTCTCCGACATTTTTGACTCGAATGTTATGAATATAGTAAATTATGGTAACGCATTTACCAGACTTTCCTGATTTTTTCCAGGATGGAACAAATTCAGCGGCATCGGCGTTCAAGCCTGGTTTGGGCAGTTTTGCAGGCTTTGGTATCTTCGCAGATTTTTTTGTAGATTCACTGGCACATCCTGAATTAGTTTCGCCATTCTTCTTGGGCCTAATGTGATCATATCTACAGCCAGCACCGTAGCAGCAACTGAATAAAGGAAACTGAGCAGTGATAAACTGATAAATCAATACGCACTTGCCACTCAGATAGTAGCGACACACATTGTCGGGTGGCTTACTCCGATCATGCGAGTAAGAGCAGCGGTCGCCTAAGTTACAGCAACCGTTAGCGAAGTATCTGCAGAGAATTCGACGAGAATCTACCGCATTCGCGGACATAAAATCTGGAAATGTAGTGGTAATTGATAAGAAATATAACAATGTATCTTCAGCAGAGAAATGAACGTTCCAAGATGTGCAAGCTATAAAACGTGACCAACTCTTCGTAGAAACGGGTGACTTAGCGTAAGCAAAGTATTTTTGACATGTGAAACTCTCATTTACTAGTGTAAAAAAATTACGTAAATACAGCAATTCGAAGTAAAGAACTCAATAAGGACACTGGAATTCATAGCTGGATGATTCACAAATGCAGTGATTTTTTGATATTGAATTATGAATGCAAGTTGATATATATGATGCAATATTATGTAAACGATGAACCGAATACGCACTTAACTTCAACCATCCAGAGAGGATCTGATGTTGACTAGGGATATCGCACTTTAGCATTGTCCATTGTCAAAGGCGAGAAGCTTGCGGGTGCAACCAGTTGGCACTTGCCAAACAGAAAACTTCAGTTTTTTTTCAAGGTATCAAAACTAAACATTAAAGAACCTTCCTGCCTATTACACACGTGCATCCACGAAAAGATTTTTTCAGGGTATGGGGCAAAGGTCCGAATCACAGAGTTTCAAAAAATTGTAATTATTTACAAACGGAAGTAAAACACTCGCACACTTCCACAATTCAAACGGATTTACAAACATTCGAATTACAGCTACTGCTCATTTCGAGACATTACAATATGGAGAAAGAGCGAGAGCACGCGCAGACACATTACAACTGGAATCTAAAAATCTTTATTTTGAAACCGGATTTCAACATCGAAATGACTCGTATCACAAATTTTTAGACCAGAATTCATCAACGTGTAAAATATACAACGATGTGTACAACTATGAAACAGAGTTGATAGTATAGTATATAAATGCGTATATATCACATAAGTATGGCTATGGCATTCGATTAGAAAGAATGCAAGTAAGGTAGGCACGAAATATTGTGGTAGTCGTTTACGAGATAGTGCACTAAAAAGGAACCGATATCAGATGACAACAACAAAATACAAAAGTAGAATCAGCACACCTTCTTCTCCTTCGATCCTGAATTTGTAACAGCAGTTCTGCCATTCCTGTACGGCGCCCTTTCATACGAAGAGGCTCTGCAATATAAAAACCTATACATTAATCGTACATTAGGAGTACCACAGTCGAGGCTCGCCACAATAACACTCAGCCGACTTATGTGATATGTAGTCCAACCATACAGATTTCTTTCATTTACTAATCTTTTGAACTCACTTCTAAGTAAATACAAACAAAGAATCTACAAAAATAGCAGCCTTTCTATGAAAACTGAATCAACACTCGAAATACTCACTCAGATGATGGCGATGAAGGAGCGCGTGGTGTCGGCGGAGGTGGTGACTCTTTAAACTTCATTTTCTCCCTTTCAGCTTCTTGTCGAGCGAGCTCATCTTCACACGCTTGCAATTCTTGTGCCAGAAGGAAGCTAAGAAGAACAAAGTGAGATCACTCTAATAAAAAAACGTCCAGCAGATTGACAGTAACGTGCAACTCAGCCAGTAGCTAATAACGAGACATTGCACAGGGCGCGTAAAAGTACTGTCCCACATAAAGAACAATTAGTGTGATTTGTTAACTTTACTAGTAAATTCAATAGGAATCCCAAGACAAAAATACATCCTAGCTTTACAAAAGTGGCACTGCGCAATTTCACCTGGGTGGACCCCTGATGATGTATCTATGCATCAATTATTGCCATTCTCTTTTACAAGTACGGGGGTTTTTCAAGAATTCTTACATTTTCAATTAAAAATTAGGAATTTTCTACTGCTTAACGAAGGTAGGATTGACTTCGAATTACCCTGAATATAACCAATCTGTAGTTGCACAAGGGAAACGGTAGCAAATTATTCAGAGTGATGTCGCGGCGCTACAGGGAGAAAGGGCACAGAACTAAATACAATCTCTTATTGGCACGAACTATGATGTAGACAAGATGTCTTCTTCATTATCTATATTGAATTGTGATGAAATCCGGAATTCTGAATCAAAATTTGAAACCCTTTATTTTAAACCTTCTCAAGATTTTTTGCGATCCGCCTGGGCAATGATTTTCCTTGTTAAGTCAACTTCTCAAGTCATCGTATGAACTATAGAAATTCGAAAAAAGGTAATCTGCTCTATACACTACCTTGTTCGGAAATGATGTTACTCTTGTTGTATACTTACGATCCAAGATAGCGCTTGAACCCTGTAGCGCATCGTCGATGACCCTGCTCGCTTTTTCTTCCCTGGTTAAATGGAAGGAATGAGAGAGACCGTTGCATATCAGCCTTATCTCTTAACCTCCAAGGTCAAGCCCACATGCAAGAAAAAGACTGTAGATTTCCTTGACCTGTGTGAGATGTTCTAGAAAGCGAGCTGAGGGACAATCTTTTCCGCACCCTAACAATTCTATCTCATAATCCCAACCAAAGAGAAAATACAGACAAAAACAAGAAACTAACTCTGCTTCGGTAGAACAAGCTGCTTTTGGATCGCAGACATTGCTGCTTGGGAGAGTGCTGATCTCGAAGTCACCATTGAAAAATAGTGAACTGCCGTCCACCGTATTGAAAGACTCCCACACAATGTCAGATTCCCGAACATAACCACTATCTGACACAAGGAGATAAAGGAGATCCTGGAAAGGCAAGAAAGTGGAAAGGATCGCTATAACCACAGGAGGGAGAAAAACAGAACGAATATAACTGAAGACATAAAACAACTCACCCTCCTTTTGTGAATGGTATGAAAATGGTTATTCCGGAATAACACAGCCAGTTCGCCATCGCGCATTGCTTCCATAAGAGCTACCAATCCATGGTAAGTCAGCTGAGAAATGTTTTCACCAAGAAATTCCTCGTAAAGAAAGCGATTGGGGTCACTGTCATCGCAGATCCTTTCCACTATCTGGTTATAAGTGAGCTCTCCAATAGCATCCCCTATAACAACTCAGATCGAAAATGAGGGAACCAATAGAAACGTTTTCATAGTGAATGTCGATCAGTTCCACAGATAAAGAAGTACAACTGCTGGTAATAAACCTTACTGATCTCAGCAAATTGAGGGTCCGGAAGCCATCCATGGTACAGGTTGATGCGTAACAGATCGAACAACGATAAAGCTGGAGTGAATTCGAAATCATTGACATGGCGGAACCTGAAGCGAAACTCCAAAATTTCAATACCTATGGGTATCTTTAACATGGAGAATGATGCTTGTGATTATAAGGGCACACGTCGGCAATGATATGCGTTATCTTCTCGCTGGATATAGGCGCACCAAAGACAGGACTACAAACTTTAATTTCCAGTACTGGAAGATCTTAGGGACATGTCACACTTCTCCTAAAAGTGGTCAAAAGCAACCAAAAGCGCCAGAACACTCCTTTCCACAACGCACCTTTTTGAAAACACCAATTGACCGTTAAAAGCGAACAGGAGTTTGCTGTCTATTACATACATGTTGATTGATTGAGAAATGTGATGATGACATCAGCCGATTCGATCGATTTACATACATACTAACCAGCGATCGGTTATACCGCAAAATTTTTCAGTGCGACGACTATAAATAATGTGTCAAAGTTTGTACAGGTAGCTACCCTCTCAACAATAAAAGGCTGAGGTGTAACATAAAAAGTGAAAGTGTGCATGCAAATAGCGTTGAGTCGCGTTTAGAAAGCGAAAATAGTTTTACATTAAGCTCAAACAAATGCTGAGTGTGATCGGAACATATGTCTCATACATGTCTCATACAGGTGAATGCACATAATTGTTCCAATATAAAACATGTTTCCGAGCTAACATTCAACGCCAAAAGTCGCGCTTGTGAAAGAAGCGTTCTGGCGCTTTTCTCAGATACTTTTTCCGGCTGGTGACCGGGCGACGACGGCCTTCCGGCCGAGGGCCGCGCCATGTTTTGGGGCGGAGCCTAAACCGGCCGAGGAGCGGGCTAAAAACTACGGGATCGGCCATACTGTTCCTGCTATTCCTACGATTCCTGCGACTCCTGTGATTCCCGCACAGTACGCCGCTTAAATGAGCGCGTGTTGCGTGTTGCGTGTTGTTTTACGCAACACGCGCTCATTTAAGCGGCGTCTAAACTGTGCGGGAATCACGGGAATCGCAGGAGTCACAGGAATCGTAGGAATAGCAGGAATAGTATGGCCGATCCCTACCACCGGCTGGCTTCCGGTCGCGTCCGCAAAAGCGCGCGAAGGCGCACAAAATCATGAATACCGTCAGATTCAATAGTGAGCATGCGATTTCATCATCACTACGCGCCTTACAAGACCTTTTGATTCTTGTTTTTTCGTGATTATTTTTGTGGTAATATCTCCTCCATGACGAAGGCGGTCGCCCAAATAGGTTAAAGCATGCAAGGCTGACGCGCACGTGGCGCGCGGGCAATTGTCAACCACAGGTCGCGCGCACGCTCGCGTGGATGACCGCTGACCGAGCGTGCGCGCGCCCTGTGGTTGACATTTGCCCGCGCGCCGCGGCCTTGCATGCTTTCAACCTATTTGGGCGACCGCCTTCGTCTTGGAGCAGATATTACTGTGTCTTTCTTTACATGCTGTTCGTGTATTGTCATGTTTCATCGCTCATCTTTGTTTTCAGTTTCAGCAGACTAGGAAAGCTCCCATGTCGCCACTAGACTGTCATATTGTTTGTGCTCAAAAATGTTTACTAGCGTTTTCATGTGATTTCCCTTCGTTATTTGGTCATTTGGTCTGCTTCCATCCCCACGAAAAAGCAAGACCCTCATAGGTACATGCTTGACATTTCTTTATCGACCAGCATATCCTCAAACATTTTTCAGAATGGAGTGCGTTAGTTCACAAGTTGAAATGCTTGAGACTGCTAATGATGGAGTTTCTGCTGTGGTTGAGCTTGGATTTCTGCTTATTTGTCTGCTCCGGAGAACATTCTGTGTATATAATAAGTGCTCTAACAACTTGGTGGTTGGTTATTTATTGATGGTTGTCTGGAAAATAAGTGGACACATATGGAAATAAATAGTCTGTTCATCGGTGTTGTCCATGCATACTGCAACAGGTGAGCAATTTGTTTCTTGTTTAATTTTCCTCTTTAGAATTGGAACTTGTAATGAATATATGGTTAATATGTAATGCGCATATGAATCTCTAATGCGGAAGAATAACATAACTTGAACTAGCTGGCTTACCCGGCTCCGCCGTATCCGGACCAAACTTGGCACACATACACTTCGGGCCCCGGCGGGTGTCACAGTCCACTTTTCGTTATCGATCGATGTCGATTTTACCGTTTTTTATCGATTTTTTTGCAGAGTTCACCTACAGGGCTAGGAGTTGGCACAGGGGGGGAAGTGAGCATGGGGATTCCGAATACAATATTAGTTTTCAGAATTATCGATTACTTTTATTGATTTTATCGATTTTTTGTAAATTTTGACATGCGAGGCTGGGATTTTGCGCAGGGGGTAATCGAGCATGCTGATTACGAACACAATATTAGTTTTCAGGATCGTCCATTACTTTTATCGATTTTATCGATTTTTTGAAAATTTGAGCTAGGGGGCTGGAATTTGGCACAGGGGTGTAATCGAGCATGCTGATCACCCCCCTTGGGGATGATCAGCATGCTCGATTACCCCCCTGTGCGAACTCCCAGCCCCCTAGCTCAAACTTTGCAAAAAAATCGATAAAATCGATAAAAGTAATCGATAATCCCGAAAACCAATATTGTATTCGGAATCCCCATGCTCGATTACCCCCCTGTGCGAACTCCCAGCCCCGTAGCTCAAACTTTGCAAAAAAATCGATAAAATCGATAAAAATAATCGATAATCCCGAAAACCAATATTGTATTCGGAATCCCCATGCTCGATTACCCCCCTGTGCCAACTCCCAGCCCCGTAGGTGAACTCAGCAAAAAAATCGATAAAAATCGATAAAATCGATATCGATCGATGACGAAAAGTAGCCTATGACACCCGCCGGGGCCAGTAGTGTATGTGTGCCAAGTTTGGTCCGGATCGGTTCAGAAATGGAATTTTCTATTCGGAACATACGTACATACATACATACATACAGACATACATACAGACAGACATACAAACAGACATTCAGCTTTATATATAAGATTATGCCGCAATGCTGCTGTAGCCTACTGCAGTTGACTCTCATCTTCATAAGATCCCTATAATCTTTATTTGCAGGTACACGCGGCTGACTTCTTACTTTTTTGTGAGATACGTGTCACGAATCTTGGAAGCGGAGTCGTTTCTTCTAGCTTCAGTTTCTAAGCTCAAGTCTACATGCGGATTTGCTCACTGTTTGTGTCGTGCATCCCATTGCCCATATAAGCCATCAACGTGCCTGTTCTTTCGATCGTTTCAACGCGTTGACTCCAGCAAATAAGGCGCTTTTCCGAAACTGACTGTTGAAATGATCGAAGATAGCCACGTTGAAGTTCCTATGGGAACAGCTTTGGAGAATGCGCCATATGTAATGCAATATGTTCTTTATATTGTGTTTACACATGTTGTATGTTGTACATATGTTGAATATAATTCGTGTCTTCTCTGTTGTCCCTCTTGTAAATATCGAATAAAATATTATAAGAAATTTTTGTGTAACACTATATGACTAGAATAATAATATAGTCAACGAAGCTAAACTTGGCGGGTCGCGCCCCAGTATTCCGCTGCGCTGGGAAGCCGGCTGGCGTCCGCGCCGTTCGCGTGCCAACACCGGCTGGCGGACGGCCGGCGGCCGGCTCGCCCGGAATTGAGGTGTTGCCTCAGCCGGTCATCGCCCGGTCACCAGCCGGAAAAAGTATCTGAGTTAGTCGAAGTATGTAGGTCCCTTCGTGAATTGGAATTAGTGCTTGCAGTGGCTACCTAATCCAAATTTCTGTCCCGTACTTATTCTCAAATGAGCGGAAGTCGCGATGCGAATATGTGGTTGGGATCAAGTTTCCAAAAATACTCGCCACCCTTCATTGTAACTTAACATTTGAGTGAGCACACCGCATGTGATAACCGACGACTCTTACGGCACCCGTCACACTTCACTCAGAGTCAGATCTCGTTAAATTCCCTTCACATTCCCCACTGCATCGTACCGCGTAGCGCTTGCGGTCAAAGGAGCGCGTTGGCGCTTTTGGGCTAGCCAGGAACATGTGAGAAAAGAGACGAGAAGAGACGTGAAGAAAGAAAAGATGTGACCGCTTTATCAGTCATACTCCCGCGACCTCGGATATCGTGCGATTTGGCACGGCTGCGGCGGCTCAAAACTCTTCATAGAATTCTCGGTATGCAAAATCTGACGTTGCACCAATAAGGAAACTATGCGTCTGTGCATTCGAGAGCTGTGGAAGTGAATTAGTTAATATTCAGCGACAAGTCGCGCGATATCTAACAAGGGAGGTGTTTTCGATCGAAGTGACCTTTTCAAATGGAATTGATACGACTATAAAGAGCATCAAACGCTGATTCCAAATCTGTCTTCCGCCGAGCGCCTCTAGACGTCGATTTATATTTTCTTGGTGCGAAAAATGAACGCATAATCAAAGTAAAATAAAATTTTACGGTCTTCTCAGCACTCAAATAGAGCAGTGTTAAGTATTAATGCTTTTGATAAAAGATATTGTTCAAATGAAGTGCTTTGATAATCAACATTGGACCATTTGAGCAATTCTGACGAATATTGTCCTAAGTAGGCTAATTTCTCAACTGAAAAAACGCTCATAACTCGACGTCTAGGGGCGCTCGGCAGATAACGAAGACAGATTTGGAAGCAGCGTTTGATGCTCTTTACAGTCGTATCAATTCCATTTGAAAAGGCCACTTCGACCGAAAACACCTCCCTTGAGATCGTGCGCGGTATGACCGATGCGTTTGGCAGGCGCCAGACTTATTCGGTCCTGGTTCACCTTTTTGCTATTGGTCAATTCAGCAATTTGACCAATAGCGAAGGAGTGAACCGCGTGAACCGGCTAAGTCTGGTGCCTACCTCTGGGCGCATTTGAGCACTTCTGAGCTGAGTTTGACGGGTGCTTACTGTTACCCGTCAGTAAAAGCTTATCTAGCAAACAGCGTGGCGTAGCCAGATTTTCGTTCGGGGGGGGGGGGGCAGAATTTCTCAATGAAGGTGGTGGGTGCTGACTACGCACTCCGAATACTGATAATTCCCCGAATTTTTGTGGGCCCAAAATAAAAAAATTCTACAAGGCTACGAATTATTGAGAAAATTCAAAAGATTGTCTTGATTATTCACAAGTAGAAACAGGTCACTGCAAAAAGGTCATTCCTATGGTTTAAGTAAGTATCGGCCATTCGTAGCACGCACAGACTGCGGACGCATCGGCATCTCTTTGATCGAACGATATTTCGTTTCTTTCACCATCTGCTATCTCTCCCATGCACGAACTATCTTGGTGGGACGCATGGCGCCCAGTCCTTGCGTGTCATGAATCGCAACCCATTCTTGGCGCGAAGATGCCCATTCTCGGTATGCTACTGTTGAGAAAAACCAAACGAAACTATACTACTAACTAATTAATATCCAGTCAGATCAAAAGAGAGAAAGAACCATGGACATCAACAGGCGCCAATTTAAAGGTCGCGAAGGCACGTAGTCTGCAGTACGCGTATTAAGGCTGCGTTCATACTGATCCGGAAGTTCGGGAACAGTTCCAGCACAGCGCTCAAGATTAGCGCTGTGCTGGAACTGTCCCCGAACTTCCGGATCAGTACGAACGCAGCCTAAACTACTGACTACCATAAATCCTCATCCCAAGCAGAACCAGCGATCATGTAAGTATGTCAAACTCATACAGCAAAAAAATGCTTTACAAAAGTTCTATGGATCTCAAGAGAGGTCTTATCATACAATAGTTATAAATTGTATGCGAAGTTGATGAGCTATTACGTAAAGTAGCTACAAGGAAAGGATACTTGGTGACTGTGGCTTTTTGAAATGAAGGATATACCATCAAATGCATCTTGAAGCGCTGTCCAAGTCTGTTTTCGGTATCTGCTGTGCGCTTTTCCTAAAGAAGTTATGAGCATTTCTTGCCACCAAAATTTGCACTATTTTTGATGCAGGATACACCAATATCGTTTGAATGTTTAGACGCACTACAAAAGAGCGTCAAATAAAGTAAAGCATCACGTTAAGGTCAGGAAAACTGTCAGCGATACATTAGAGTCTAAAAAGCCTGGATACCGACGATTCTGACTGCCTAAATCCTGCAAAAATAATATGGAAAAAAGTCCATAACTTCGTTCAGGGAGTCGCACAGCAGATAATGAACATAGAATTAGAATCAGCGTTTCAAGGCGCATCTACTGGTATACATCTCATGGCAAAAGGCCACGGTCACCAAGTATCCTCCCCTTGTCAGTGATAAAACAATATGTTCACATCCAAGAGAAAAATTGCAGTTACCGCGCTTGAGCTAAGAGTATAAAGTGGTTGCTACCGACTCCGAGAGTTTTACTGGAAAAAGAATTTACCCGACATTCCATCTGAGCTATGCGCGGGTGACTGAGCTTGAATGATGAAGGATGCTCACAAGCGACGCTCGAGCCTGCTTCGCTAGATGAAGGGTAGGCGTTCGTCATGATTAAGCCTTTGGCAAGTGCCAGACTCATCCGATTCAACTGATTCCTCTGGTTCACCCCATTCACTACTACTCTATATAGTGGTGGTACAACAGCGAATGGTGAACCGGACGAACCGGTTGAATCCGAACCAAGTATGGCTCCTACCTTTAGCCTCTGAAGCGCGAATGTTTGCTGATTAGCGGAGAATGAACACTTACTCAAGTAACGAACAATGTTACAGCATGCTCTCATTTCATCACCTTTTAACTCAAAATAAAACGTACAATAAAAAATGTCATTAAAAACAATACTGGGACAAAAGGCTACCTGATATTAACATCCAGACCCCTTCCAAGATCTGGAAGGATGTTTATAACATCATCCAAGTTTCGATTGTAGTTGCTTTCCACCTGACTGTTCATGTTTTCAGGTCTCATCCTCAACAAGGTGTCCGCTATCTAAACTGAACTATTGAAGAACATATGAAAGACACAAAGACATACCAACTGTGTCAGAGCATCCCTGCTTACGTTACCAGAAGAAGGAAGCCTCGCGAGTCCTTAAATACGACAGTCCAACGATTTTTTGAGAGCAGTTGCCACGCACGATAACTAACCTTTCAAAACCAGAACATTGACGAGGGCGATAAGAGGGCACGGTCCATTGAGGTTCTGTGTTACGATCGAGAACTTGATTGAGTCAAAGCGAATAGATTTGAGCTACAACGACTATTCGTTAACGAAGAAGGCATGAAATATGAATGAAACCTTAAAATTGTCGCGATCGGTTTCTTCCGATGGTGGGCTAGGTGCGTTCGGACCGACTTTTCCGTCCAAGTCCTGAATGCGAGAGGACTCAGAAGATAACGAAATGAAGCAAAACATACCTTTGTTTCATTAATGCGCTCCGATAAATTGGCATCTGAAGTGCTTGCCACTTCAGCTTCGTTATTAGGAGTCACTTCATCTGAAGTACCTTCGACAAGTCCCTCTTCGATCCGATCAAGCAAGCTATGTAAAAGTTCAGCTACCACTTTTTCGTCATCATTTGGTGCGCTTTCTTGAGTAGCACCATTATGCAGAGGCATTGCCACGCGCTAAAAACATTCATTTTTTTACTGCAAAGGGAGTATGCTTTAAAATGCTGATGTAGAGTAGTGAGAACAGTAGCTATACTAAATAACAATTAGAGCAAAGTAGTTTAACTGTCTAGATACGTTAATAATTTCATCACGACTGCAAATCAACGATCGAAAGTGCTGACTGGCTGCGAATCGATCTGGCGAGATGCCAGAATTTTGATTGGAGCGCCTTAACTTCACTCAACGTAAACGTGCACGAAAGTCATGGCACAAAAGGCATGTTGTATATTGCTAGCAATGAGTAGGCGCTAAAACTAGGTTCCTGTGCGCGACTTGTGTACTATTACACTATCAAAGTGTCGATCCAGAAAAGTGCTTTAGTACACTGACCGACTTGTGTTGGATTTCGAAATCCAAGGATAAGCCACAGATCGTTAACATGTAGTACCTGCACTTCCGACTCGTGGGCAGTTTCGAGGCGTGTTTCAGCACAAAGGTCAAAGTGATGTTTCCAGGCAAATCGTATGACTGCAAGTGCATATGCGATCCTAAGCAACAATTCTGAAGATAACATCAGGTAAAATGTTTCCTTTTGGATTTCATACATGTACCAATCCAAAATTTAACCTCCGTTACACTCTAAGATGTCGCTTGTTCACATGATTGTAATGGGTATAGGCGTCGCACCTCTAAAGCGGCGTGGTTTTGGTAGCGAGAGATCGCCCCCATCAATGTGTGTGGATAAAGATCGGTAGTAATCTGGTCGAAACTCCGAGTTTGAAGCTCCGCGTTAACTCAGAGATAACTCTGAGTTCCGTTTTTGAAACTCTGAGTTACGCTTATTGAAACTCTGAGTTATGCTTTCGTAATTCCGAATTCCAACTCTCAAGCTCGGAGTTTTGCTTTGAGGAGCTGTTAAGCACTTTGCTGCAAAAGCGACGTTAAAGTAGGGACTCGAACCTGTATGGTCTAGCGTAAAGATCCTAACACTAAAACGCTAGACCATGACACACCCATGAACCCTAGAACTGCTTTGCCATATGTACTCACTCATTCCATTAACACTTAGCAGGTCAAAACAAGTTATACCAAAGCCTCACTCATTTCCATTTCTATCGGACAGTGATGGTTCATCACGAGGATTGGTCTTTTGCGCAGCTGAAAGCTTCAAACAATAGAGAAAGCGGATGACTTATGCAATGATAAGATTTGACTATTAGGATTTGCGCACAGAATAAATCCTCCGGGCAAAGTTTGCCCTTCTATGATTTCGTCTTACTTACCGTACACCTACCGTAACCGTCCCATATGTCACCAGTGTATGTAGCAGATAGATTGTCCGTAATCTGCATCCCGAATAACTCCAGTGTACCGAATTTCGGCTAATTGCGCCGCTTTAATTCATCTACCGTAAACCTACCGTAACCCCGTCAGATGACACTGCAGTACAATTTACATGTCATATTCGTTACCAGTGCGTCACCTCTGCTTCGCAGAGGCACGCACTGGCTCTACTATCCATATGTGCCTCGCAAAATGATGGCTGTGAAACTTACCTCGCGATGCCGATCATCACGAATGAAGTGTAAACAACTACTCATTCCAAAAGCTTTTTCATGTAGGATCGGTGACTTTGAGGGAAAGAAAGTATTCTCCAAGAGATTAAATGCGATTTTGAATCAGTGTCTGGAGTTATAATGGCTTGATAATCGCCATAGGGATGATAACAATCGTGAGTTACATCTCTGAGCAGAAATTTTTTTACATTCTCAGTTAAATCATTGACAAATCGATCATCTACGTAGTTATTCCTTTTTGACGCCGATCTCGCGTGAAAGTAATCTTTTGGCTCACTTTTCGGGCTGGAGTCCATGGTTTGCGAATTTACTTGCTAAACGAATCCACGACTTTGGAAAATGTCCAATTACAGGCCCACTTTGGCGCGCAAAAGGTCGCGTGGATCCGTTTGGCGCACAATTTTACAGGTTTCCAATTATCGGATCAGATTGTGCTTTTGCACATTTTACCTACATGCTGATAGAGAGCTACTTCCAAAATTCTAGCTCAAGACCTTTGCTGGAACTCGCTCTACGAATTTCGTGACAGACAGAGATTCACACACACAGACAGACAAACGTAAACAACCCTTAGCACGTTATTATAAGTTACCAGTACGTCACCTCTGCTTCGCAGAGGCTCGCACTGGCTCTACTATCTATTGCCTTACTCATTCCCGTAAAATCGTGGCACTGGAACTCACCGCGCTATGCCGACTACCACGAATGAAATGTAAACAACTACTCATTTAGAAAGCTTTTTCACGTGAGGTCGGTGATTTTGCTTGGAAAAAAATTTTGCAGGAAGACAACGGCAAATTTGAATAGGTTTTTGAATTTGTCATGGTTTGATAGTCGCCATAAAGGCAATAGTCACCGTGAGCTACATCTCTATGCGAAAATTTTCTCAAATGCTTTTCTAGAACCTTGGCAAATTGACCATTTACGCAAGCAATACTTTTGGCGCCGCTTTTGTAAAGTAATGGACTTTTGGTCACTTATTTGGGCCTAAGTTCATGGCTTGCACATCTACTTGCCATAAACACCCAGCACTCTGCAAAAAGTGGAATTACGGACCCAATTTTGTGGGCCAAATGCAAAGTGGATCCGTTTGACGCGCAATTTTCAAGAGACCCACTCAACGAATCTGCTTGTGCTTTTGCATGTTGGACTTTCATGCCATTAGCAAGTGCTATGCAAAATATGAGCCCAGGACATTAGCTGGAACACGCTCTACGAATTTCGTGACAGACAGACATTCAGACAGACAGACACACAAAAACACGTAAACACTCTTAGCGCGTTATTATAGTAGGATCGGCGCCCCGAATAACCTCAGTGTACTAAGTTTCGATCAGTTTCGTGATTTTCTCCCATCTACCGTAAACCTACCGTAACACCTCTATATGACCCCATAGTGAAAAATGGGTTCCATATGCGTGACCAGCGCACCGAGTAACCCCCTAGGCCAAGTTTTTACAAAATTTCAAAATTTTGTAAATCACTGCGCACCACGATACCCCCATCATGCCTGCTTAAACTACGAGCAAAATGTACCCGGAGGACTTTTTAGCTGCCCCTCTTCTTTTGCGCACTATTTCTCTTTCTCTGACCAAACTCAGAGTTATCTCTGAGTTCTACGATAGACTGGAACGCGCATCAAACTCAGAGTTATCGCAGACATTAGTTGCGCGTTTGGTGGCGTTGTTTCTTGTGCAGGACGATTTGGACAATGTTGCGCTACTAGGAATAAACTACGTGTTAAGGAGAATCCTGCCATATCATCGCTTTCCGGATTTGATCTGTTCAAACACCTGTTAAAGGGGTCAAAAAGTTGCGCGTTAGCTCAGAGATAACTCAGAGTTAACTCTGAGTTATAACTCTGAGTTTCGATAGGTTTACTACCGACCCAGCTGTTTATCAACTTTGACCAGGGGCGGTATGCATCAATCTCCCGTTTTGAAAGCGGGCGATCATTTTCAATAGTAAAATGATTGTCCGGCCGAGTTGGCCGCCCGAACCCTAATGTATGAAGCTGCGGCCAACCCGGCCGGGCAATCATTTTTCTATTGAAAATGATCGCCCGCTTTCAACACGGGAGATTGATGCATACCGCCCCAGCTCACATCCTAGTCCGCAAATGCTCGCTACAATTGTTTGGATGGAGGATACCATTTTGAACATTTGACAAAGGGATTGTAGCGAAATTGCAAAACGTAGGTTTTGCCGTACTTCGTATGAAACTCTGTGCTACTATAGGGCAACTGTAATTTTAGGAGCTCACAACACCTCGCTATGATTGTTTACTGCAAAACTGTTAAAGCTTGAAAACAGGAAGAGCCCCTTTGACCCCGCACCCTTCGCTTTAGCGGGATGATTTAGGCTCCCGCCAGAGTACCGAAGCTGCGCCAGCGCCGAGCCTGGCGCTGTTTCGATCGATACGAGTTGTTTCATAGTGCAGTCGCTGCAGCGGCTGCAGTCATATAGAGGCGGACAAAAGATATCGATTGATCGACTGTCGTTGCTGCAGCGACCGCAGTATGAAACAACCCTACACGTTTCGTTCAGGGCGGGGCTAGCTAACCCTGTGCCGGCAAAGCGCTAACAGAGTTTTTGAGAGATTTCGATCAATAGTCGGTGCATTTACCTGGCTGAGAACTAGGTCAGCTGGCCCCACCTCGAACGAAATGCAAGTGTTCGGCCATCTGCCCGAACCCTACCATAAATCACCCGCCATAAAAGCGGGCGGGTTCGGGGGGCCGGGGATTAGCGGGGCGACAGCCTTGCCAGTCCACAATAAAACGTTGTAAGGAACGGTTGTGTGCTCACATCGTAGCTGCCAGATACACTGGCACAAATTTTCTGGTGCATCGACCGGGAAGATTCTGAGCTTGCCCTGCGATAAGCAGTTGCAAAAGGAAAAAGAGTTCCATCCCATTCGGATCTGAACGAAAACGCCGTTGAAAGATGTCACTCTTTCTACATAAAAAGGCAATCAAACGCGGCATTCAATCCCTCCAGAAATTCGTTGAGGGATATACACCGTACACGAAGGAAATGCAGTTGAATGCCCCATTTGAGGAAAATTATGAAGCGTGTAGGGACGCAATAAACAGCATAAATGGAGGCATAAAGGTCATCCAAATGTTCGGCCATCTGCCCGAACCCTACCATAAATCACCCGCCATAAAAGCGGGCGGGTTCGGGGGGCCGGGGATTAGCGGGGCGACAGCCTTGCCAGTCCACAATAAAACGTTGTAAGGAACGGTTGTGTGCTCACATCGTAGCTGCCAGATACACTGGCACAGCAAGTGTATCGATCGAAATAGCGCCGGGACAGCTCAGGGCTAGCTCGACGCTGGCGGCTTCGACACTCTGGCGGTAGCCTTATGGATAGGTCGGTTCGGTCTCTCTTGGAGGACCGTAATTTCAGTTCTTTGGCACATACAGGGCTTATCAACTGCAGTATCGAGTGCACCAGCATCTCTACTTCCTCGAATTCCGCACTTCTTTCGCGAACATGCTCTCTGATCACTTCCCCACCGCGAGCGTGGGAAAGGCGAAGCCTCAGTCGATTGGATGCGATTAGAGGGCATATTCGCGGAAGAGGTGCAGAGTCCCGCACGGGAGTGGCTGGTGCACCCGACACTTCAGTTGCTAAGCCCCGTACTTGGACTCTAGATTGAAGTGCAGTGCGAATAGAGGTGGCGGAGGCACAAGCTCCTTTCAGAAAGCCCATCCACTCACCGTGGGTGAAGCGAGGCTGCTGAGGCATCGTTCTTCGTCTGTGATCTAAAGACCTGTCTATGTTTCTTTCAATACAGATGCCGAATACGCAGCGCCTTCCTGGAACACATGAAGTAGGTGTGAACAATAACGAAGAGAGAATGGACAAGCGCACAGAGAAGAGAACAGCGTCCAATCCTCAGCCCCCTCCAAGTTCACAACTTTTCTCATCACAAGGAGAAGCGAAGTAGAAGAACGGAGAGACAACGATGCGGAAAAAAGAGAGGGGCTGAGAATGCCCAGAAACGAATGATCAGAAAACAAGAGCAAAGTTTCCATTTCCGCATTCTCAGAATGTTCGCATGTCCTAAGCGGAGACAGACACTTGCGAAAACTAGGCAGCGGCTTCCTGGAACAAATGGAATAGGTTTGAGCAAAAAGATAACGAAGCGAGAATGGGCGAGCGCAAGAACAGGCATTTTGTCGAATATGTAGAGCAGAAAAGTGCCCATTCTTCAACCATGTTTCGAGTTCGAAGTTCTGCTGATTAGAAAGGGAGGCGCGGTAGAGGAATAAGGCCAAAATGAGAGGAACCCGGAACTTGGAAGAAAAATTGTTGAAAACGGTCAAAGTTCTTCAGCTCCCGCCGTTCAAAACGCGTGTAGGGCGGTTGCAGCGCATGCAGCACAGTTCCGGAACAGTTGCACAGTGCGGGAACTGTGCGGGAACAGTTCCGGAACATGGGTATCAGTATAAACCCCAGCATTGGAAATTGATGACGAGCGAGTGCGTTACACCGTCGGGAAAGCATAAGATAGAAGCACCTGATGGCAGTGAATTTGATGTAAAATGCACAATTTTATCGTACGAGGCAGTACAGCAAACTATGGAAACGGCTTGGATATCCATTAGAACTTCAAGCATGAATAACCGAAGTGAAGGTTTATCGATAGCGACCGAGCTCTTACCATTCTTGTCAGTATGTGAGCTACAGAATGCACATATATAAAGACCATTCCACTGAGTACCTCAGTGTCTTCCATCCACTTTGTGCGGCTACCGACTAACTCACTAACACCGCAGTGGATCATAGATCAGTTTCTACATCGGGGTGTATCTCAGTACGTTGGCGTGGGACTAGACTGACTGATGTTTGGGAATGGCGTTTGGCGGTCTTGTTTCGCAGATAGGATAACTGCAATCTACTTCAGGCCTCCGAAGGCGACGACTTTGTCGAAACGTAAGGCCAATAAAGATGCCACTGTATTGGCCTGGGTCTGCCATAAAATTAATAGAAATAATGGACGAAGAAGCTCAGTGAATATGTGTGCCGCGGAGGAGAGGCCAAGCAAACACAAGAGTCGATAAACTTTTCCTTGCCATCTGAAATCAAGGAATTGTAAATGGTTGCGACAAACTCTGCCGTGGTGATACTCCGACTAGAGGTAATGGATGCCATGTAACCCCGAAAAGGAAAAACATATGAAATTTTTCCTGAATCTTCAAACTTGCACTTGGGCATCATAATCTACTAAGGTGGGATAGGTCCAGTACTCAGCTAATTGCCAGAGGCAGGCGGTCCGCAAACTCGCGCTTTTCTGCAAGCGGTCAGCAAAATTTGGAAAAGCCTTCGGCGAGCGGTACTTCCGTGTACCGCCAGCGGGCAGCAAAATTTCCTGCAAGCGCTCGTCAAATACTCTTTTTCGGCAAGAGGGGGCCTAACCTTCAGCAGGCGCTTGGTTTTTTTACGCAGTTTCGGGCGTACGCCGAGCAAAGGCAACCCTCCACATAACATTACCCGAGTCTGTGGTACTTTCTCTCAGCGGAAAGTCCGACGGGCTGCGCGATCCTTCACAAAGGACCGTACGACCCCCAACAATTTTGCATACTCTCGCGGAAAATCCACGAGAATGCGCCCACTGCGCTGCAGTTGAAATAACCGCAATTGTTCTCCAAGCATTCTTCTAAAATTTAGCCAAAATTCTTCCAAATACTGCAAGCGGACCGCAAGAAATCAGCGAACTATTTTTCCGATGGCCGCTTGCCCGTAAATCGCATGGCCGCTTGCCCCCGGCGATTATCTGAGCAGTTGCAATTTTTTAGCTATCGCTACAATAGAGGGTGAATGTGCGGTGAGGTGCACTGCTGGCTGGTACTTAAAGGCACCGTCCACCCAAAATGGAGATTGACGAGATTATGATGGCATACTAGTGTGAGCCCCCACACCAGGCAAACCCCCAAGCTTCGCCGCAAAAGACTGCTTCTGGAGCGAGAAATCCGCTCCGGAAGTAGCAAAGTAGGCGGGGTGACCTCGGTCGCCCCGCCCACTTCCATGCTTTATCGCGCCTGTGCTTGTTGCAGAGGGTTCTCGAAACAGGGATTTTTGGGGGTTTCGCGGATTTTCGACTTCATATTCGGAATCAGGGCTTCCAGAAGGCCTGAAAGCGACAAAAACATCGAATTCGAGATTTTGGGTGGACGGTGCCTTTAACAGATAGCTTTCTTCGAAAGTACGTCTGAAACTTCTGTTTGTGACTACAAATCGTGCAATCTCACAAATCTTGCATGCTCGACAGCACTCTTTTTTATTTAGATTATTCTAGGTTTTGTGTTAACTATGAAAAGTATACAGTGCCCTGATATGACCGTGGTTGTGAGCAAGTGATTAGGTTCGGGAGCCATCCATGTAATAACTCTATTGTGTATAAAGCCAGCGAAAAACTCACTATTTTCTTTCCGGATAGTCTGAATCGATGATTCTGGTGATTAACGCGTGTTAACGTTACCTGAGCGATATGCGCTTGAAGTTTGTTTAACACACAACTAAAAGCTTATGAATACGTGCACGTGTTAGTGCAGTGGTAGAATGTTGCTGTTGATAGGTGTGGTAAGGTAACATAACAGATATCACAGCAAGTCATGCTTATAGCATGACCTTTACGACAATGCCAAGATAATGTCCAGTAACTTACTGCAAATGCAGCAGGTAACGCGTATGTCGAAAAGTGCACGAATACCAAGAAAATCGTGCAATATTGCACTACTTTTATGAAGTTGACGTACGGATGCATGGATCAATTTTGATCCAATATCATCGTATGCGCTGTGGCCACGATCCTACAACAGCGCTTCTTATTATGAGCACAAATGACCAAAAACACCAGGCCAGCCAAATGTCAGAAGAGGAACGGAGAAGATCCACCGCAAGGATCGACACATACGTGTGACTTCGGCAGCGAAACCACCATGCCGAGGATTCACGCACTCACTTCCGAGCAGTCAAAGAACGACGCCGACTGTTCGAGCGAAACATTTATCCATATTCTGCTTATCGAAGAGCATAGAACTTTGACCAAATGGAATGCCCTGCAGCTACGGCCAAAGTAGTAGCCACCGAGCCTATGCTTCTTACTAGAGCAGCGGGACTGGCCCCATTGGAAAATCGACAGTTTTCGCATTAACGAGGGCCTTGGATGTGCTGAGAGCGATTTGATTTCCCGGCCTCATCGTCTGCGCCACACGAAAGACACCTTGAACAGAACTTCAATTCGTCTCCAGTTCGTCTTCGACGTCCATCAGATGAAGTCTAGTTTATTCGGTAGCTGGTTGTTGCTGTTGTTGTTCATTTCTCATGCATGTTATCATACTCTTCTTATGCTTCTCCTTGCTCCACATGAAGAAACTCAGCTATTGGTGTTATTTGTTAACAAGTGTACTTTGTTTTTCGCGTTGTGTTTTACAGTTAACTCGCCAAAAGTATGACACGGATTTTGTACACATAACGAACCCAGATTTCAACAAAGTCAAAGTGGCAATTCTTCTTTATTTCGCGTCGAATGGCATCCTTTGCGAGCATTTCTGAATTAAGTTCCTCCGAAATCCTTTCTCCTGACACGAACAATTTGGAGTGGCAAGAATTATCAGGGATGATTGGCCAGAATATCTTAGCTAAAGAAGCTCCGTCAGGAAGGAGTGAGAACCTTCAGGTTAAGTGATCACTGGACTCTGAAATCCTCGTACGGTTATTCGAGACTATTCACTAATGTATCGAACCGTAAAATAGTTACACCACTCAAGAAATACTGTTTAAAATCGTTTCAAAATTTAACAGCAAATTTTTTCACCTTGTGACTACTTAACAGTGCTACTATCTTCATGGAGACAGAACGACGTTATCCTTATACTGCCATTACAATTAATCAGTTATTTGGTCTCAATTCACTTCCAACTTTCTGGAGTATTTTTGCTCAAATCCACCAATTCTATCACATAAGCTGTGAATTACTATCGTTGTGAATTACTATCTAAGGAAAGTTTCCGACCACTTGCGGCGAAACGTATTTCAAATTACTGTAGCTCCCAGCAAGTGATAGGTTTTATAAATCGCAAATTTTGTTTCGTAACAATGTTGTTCGAAAGAAGTGCTTGGTTTATTTTGTTGGTTTTTCAACACTGCTGGCCATCTGTGTGCGGGTAAAATCCTCATTCCCCAATAGAAATAAGAAAACACAATCAGATATCTTACAGTGGAAATAAAGGGCCAGCAAAGACTATTTCGCGTACATTCGCCTTGCGATAATTCAAAGCTTTATGATAAACCTTGAAAATTGTTCTTGATTTTACGACAAAGATGATGATGCTTTGGATAAATTTTGAAGTGGAGCCAGAAGACCACAAATAATCCCACGATTGGTGAGATCAACGCCATATGTCATTACGAATTGAGAGAAATCGTATCAAAAATGCAGACCATTGTTGGTGCATAGCTTGATTTCTAGCATAATAGACTGGCGCCTATAAAGGGAGCGAGAATGAAGTTCTTCATCTCAAGTGTTTATCTTTTCCTTGATAATCTAAAATGAATCAAACTTTTCTCTGCATACGGATGGAAAGCTCAAGCAACTCAGGCTTTGGTGTCTCGTCTCTGAGCTATCAAAAATTGCTGATCTTATTCAGCCGGTCCAAATTTGGTGGACTCGAAGCACGAACATTTATAAAACCTCGTATTGATCCACAAAACAAAACAACGATAAAACATATAGAACGATTTGATAAAGCGCAGATTTCGTCCTTTCATATCATCAGCATCAGTGCAGCGGTATGTTGAATAAATTGGAAGCAAAAACAACCGCACTTTGTTCAGCTTCTAGCTTCGATGGAGCTAGCGGCCCGTCTACCCGGATGCAACCAACAAATATCTGAACTACAAAAAATTACGGGAGAAATTCAATGTGCTGATCATTGTTACCGAGGTTCCAAAAAAGACAAGGTTGTTGAGTATCACAGATGAAGTTACTGCTCGAACATCACCTAGTCCAAGACCGCGAGCATGGTCGGAAAAAGACTAGAATAAAGGCCATAGATTTGAGCATAAGTATATCGAATGACAAGTACATTATAAAGTGTCTAAAGTGGAAAACCAGTCTTATATATAAAGCTGAATGTCTGTTTGTATATGTGTCTGTGTGTCTGTACGTATATTCCGAATAGAAATTTTCATTTCCAAACCGATCCGGACCAAACTTGGCACACATACACTTTGGGGCGGGAGGGTCATAAGGTCTTAGGCCATTTTTTGTCATCGATCAATATCGAGTTTATCCATTTTTCGATGGCAAAGTTTGAGCTACGGGGCTGGGAGTTGGCATAGGGAGGTAATGGGGAGACGGTTGAATGGCGCGTTGAAGTTGTCAGTAATCAGAAAAACCAGAAAAAAGTTCGAAATTGGTTTAGTACTTTCGGGATTCAACTAGTAATCCTCTGTTACTATTTTTCATATGATGACAAAATTAGGAGTTTGGAAAGACCGCTTTCGTGAGTACAAATCCCTCCTGGCAATGACGACTGCCGAAAAGCACGCCTTTCGACATACACTAATCGAGCTGCTGACTACGAATACAATATTAGTTTTTAGAGCTATCAATTACTTTTATCGATTTTATCGATTTTTTTGCAAAGTTTGACCTACGGTGCTGGGATTTGTACAGGGAGGGGGGGGGGGGGTAGGTGAGCATGCCGATTACGAGTACAAAATTTTTGTATTTTTGGATTACTTTTATCGATTTTATCGATTTTCTGCAAAGTTGATCACCGCGGCCGAAAGTCACACAAGGTAAGTGGGAGGCATGCTGATTACGAAGACGAAACGGCAGTAGGATAGAAGCGGGCAAAGAAAAGGTTTGTAGAGGAATAGATAGTACCCTTTAAAGACAGTAGATCGGCAGAATGAGACCCGTGACAAAACAAGGTCACAGGGTAGGAGCCCCCATATGGAACCTATCGGCCAAAATCCGATCTTTCTCTGCCGCTTCTAACCCCCGAAATTTCTACTGCCTTTAACACAGTGTTTGAGAGGGCCGGGCGGAGCCCCGTATGCCAGCTAGTTGTTCATAATTTTTTGCTTCATCAATCTCTTAAACTGCAAGATTCAATACGCTCTGCGGACCAGAGAAAAAGATCTGTGACAAGTCGTTCTCACCCCAATAGTAGCTCGGTGGTCAGATTTGAATTTGAACTAGATCAGGCCGACAGCGGTAGAGCGCGGCACCGCCAGTTCTCAATCAAAGCTTTGCGTGTTTCTCTTTGTTTTTTCTTTTGTCGCTGCATGCTGTTTTCGTGTTTTAACAATACTCGTGATGAAAATGTTCGACTCTGTTGTTACTGAGCAATGTTACATACAGCTATGCTCTTTCCTCAGTTCTGCTTACAGTTTGAGCTTGGAAAGACTGTGAAGGTAGGAAATTTTTGCCCGTAAGTTCTTGTTTGGGAGTAATGTATATTGAAGCTTCGGTATAGTAATATGTCACAAAATTCTATCAGCATAGTTTATCCAAGTCAACATGAAACATTGCTCACAAGAAGATTGTTTAACTAAGAAAACCGTTGAAACACAAAAATTAGCATGAAACGATGAAGGAAATATAGAAAAACATAAGTGAGTTTGAACAGGACTGAGGATGCTGCGTTCTGCAGCAGCCGGCCTACTCTCGTTTCAATTCGAATTTGACCACCGAGCGACTAGTGGGCTGAGGACGACAATAACAATGTTTTAAACCTTCCATCAATCTAGTACCGAAAAATAGCGCGAGTGCTTTTCTATTGGGTATGCAACCATGTAGAAGATATGCTGAGCTGAATATGAGTAATTCATAAACCCCTCTTTGAGAATCCCGAAGCTAATTTTTTGATCTAAAAAGCAGTAAGTTGTGCATCTGGTAAGGTGCGAGATCTCAGTTCAGACCTATACCTTTTGAAACTCCATCGTTTTAGGAATTGAACTTGAACAAGAGAAAATACCCTGATACCCGCTTTGTACCATTACCTTGGTTAAGTTAGTTTTTCCAAATTTTTCTTGGGTTACAAGATTTCCACGAGATTGCATGCTACAAATTTCAACGTTGAATCCTCTTCATGGTGCTATCAAAGGCAGCTTGCGGCACCTTCTCTGAAATTTCATTTAGCGGACGACTTATATCAGCTTAGGATTTTGCGTGGGGACTTTTCACGGCAAGTCTCTACCCAACAACATAAAAGCGCTGAATTCTGTCCTATAAATACGATAACACAGAGTGGCTTGGAGATGGATATCTCAACCCCAGTCCTGTCGCTTGAGCAGTGCCTTATTTGGCCCTTCCCCCAAATATCAGCTTTCACGTGCTTACCTAACGTTCCTAATTTTGTTTGATGGCTGCAAAAAAGTATGTGGGAAAAGTGTGAAAAATACAGCTTTCATAAAAGTAGGACATAAAACGCAGAAACAAATGTTATTTGCTCATGACTGAGCTGTACTAATGAATATTTTGTTCAGCTTAACGCGAAAAAGACTAGATTCACGTACCATGATGGCAGATGATTGAGCTGCAATGGGAGTCGCGTGTGCAGGCAAAGCGGGTGATGCATTAATGTATGCAACAGGTAAAGCCGGCATTAGGCCAGATGCTGTTGGAGTATTAGTGCCTGGAGTGTTTGCTGGAGTTAGAAGTGGAACATCGAGCAGGGCTGCGGTGAATAGCGGAGCTTCAACTTGTCGAAAAGGGATGCCTTCGTAATTGTGCGCCGTAGAACTAAACATTTTCTTCATTGATTGTATGTCTCGTTGAGAATTGTTTCCAATAACACACAGAAGTGAGTGAAATGATCGAAGGCTTGATATAAGGTGAGTGTTACTTTCTAACATTTGATTTAACTGGCTTGGCACCATTAGGGCGGGGATTTGTGATCTAATTGAGATCGCTCGCGCCCGCGACGCACCTGCGTCTCTCTCGCGCGAGTGCTCTTTGATCATTACCTAGCCTTAGTTAGGTCACGAAGCCCCGCCTTTGCCGATGCCAGGCCAGCTGAATCAAATGGTACCTTCTTGGACAGTCGCGTTTGGGGTAAAGAGAGGTACGCGAACTAAACATGGTTCATGACGGTATGTTTGACAAAGCAACACTTCTGCGTCACCTGGTACTAACAATGGGTTGCTTCTTTTTGTTTTTAGGTGCTAAACAGTTGTTCACAAAATTGAATATATTTTGTCTATAGTAACTCACTGACCGCACTCATTGGCTGTCTTTGCAGCAACCGCATTTCGCCGCGAAAAGCTCTATCGGTGCGAGTTGCCGTTGTACAAGTCGTGCTATCGCAACTTTTAAGTCGCGCCTCGCGTATCCGCAGTGTCGGCCAGTTCGTGTAGTTGATAATTTATTACCAACTTATTGCATACTCTGGTAATAAGAAACTTAACAAGATCTTTTTTTTCCAAAGAGATTACTCAAAATCTGTGCTTGGGCCATGATCCCACTTGGCATTCATCAAGCACTTTCTGAAGTTTTTTGCCTTTTTGTCTGTAAAAATAGATTTCTTTAGCACATTTCAAGACTGGTAGAGCTCGAAGAGCTCTTTTAAATGTATGCTTTTTCCTTTATAACTAAGCGGTAGACCAGCACAACCTGAAAGTTGTTGAGAAAGTTTCTGCAACTTCTTCGACGCGCCATTCCAAAAATTCTGAGAGAATAGGTTGCTAAAATGAGACGAAAATACTCAAAAGACGTTTAGTTGCTGCCTAGCTTCTACGCCAAAGAGTTCGCAAACTGGCGCAAGCGGGCAGAGGACTGTATGCCGCCGGTAGGCTGCACCCTGCGCAGACAGCTGATGTAAATTTGTAGTGTTTGTAATATGTATTGCGTGCTCTCTGCTGCTTTCTCAAACACTCGTACCTGCCGGCGAGCGTGCGATAATAGCCATTTTAACGCCAGCCGGTCCAGTAAGTTGGACGAGGCTTGATGGCCGACGACTAAGCGAGGAGGTCTTACCGGCCGCCGGCCGTTCCGCTATGCAAAAGCGTGGGAGGTGCACGTCAAACTTGCATTAAGAGTTAATGGCAAACAATACATCTTAACCATTACGTAGTGCGTTAACTCACTTACAGTCTGTATCAATACGGAGTAGACAAAAAAATTCTGTCAGGGCTTCCGCATCGCTCAAGATTTAGCGAGCGCACAGCGCTGGCATCTTACAAGCAAAGATTGGAGGAAGGGAACGGCCATAGGTTGTCGATGTTGTCGGTGTTGTCAGTGTTGTCAGTGATGTCGGAGTTGTCGGGGTCAGAGACAGTTTAGAGAGCGCGCGAAACGTGGAGGCTATCATGAGGTCCTACAACGACCGGCAACCTCGGCAACCCCGACAACACCGACAACATCGACAACACCGACAACCTATGGCCGTTCCCGAAGAAGACTCGCAAAACGATATGGTATACTGTAGCTGCAAAACAGCACGAACCATTGCGAAGAGGATGCCCGCCGACCCAATCTCCGCCTAAACTGGGTTGAAACTGTATTCTTTGTTTCGTTCTCATCATTGCGTTGTCTTTTTCTTCCAATAGAGTCATGCTTTCATAAGTTCAACACATAAGTGGAACAGTGTATATGCGGCACTCTGATCATGACATGAAGAGTTCGAGAATCGCTAAATGTGATTTCATGATTTGATCCTTCTCATCAAATCTAAACGAGATTCCCCATGCCTTAGTACGTGTAATTCTTTCCGTCTATAAAATATCGTACAGCATTATTCTATCACTGTGGTTGCAGACGGCGAAAGAAACAGAAACAATAGGTTCTGTCGGTTTAATCGCGAGTATTTCTTTGATCAAAAGTTTATTTAGGACTGCAAAGACAAGAGGAAGTGAAATTGGCTTATGTAAAGTTGGCAACGAGATACAACGACATTTTTTGTTGGTAGTTATCAGTGGGGGTCTTGCCTTTCTTACATCTTATACCTTCAGGCGACAGCTGCAAGAGCATGGAGTCTAATCTTTTAGATTTATATGAAAAGTCAAGGCAATGTTCAACATTGCCATTATGAGACTGAGTATGGATTTCCACTGACTTCCACGCCGAGTCTATAGCTCTCCTGACTATGTTACTGGAATTCATCACATTCTGAGGTGTTCTAACGATAGCTCTCCTGGGTATTACTTTCGCGTGTGTGTTGCTTATCATCAGTGGAGTCCGCTGTAAACTTATTTCAAAAGAATCGATTTTTTAGGGGCTAAGATCTACCAATGTCGATTGTATTTGCTAATTATTATGATAATGTTTCGCTAACAGAGCCTATGACTATGTGCCTGAAATGTAACTGATGGTGTTCGATGAATTTGTTTTTGACAACATTTTTTCTTTCCAGATTATCCTAAGTCTGCCGTTTTGCATAGAGTGGTCCATTGTAAGAAAGAATATATCTCTATGGTCGCTTGGGGATAAGCCGCATAAAGTTTTGATGATCTTCGCAGGCATTAATGGGCTAATCTGTAGCATCATATGTAGAGTGTTTCGATATGCACCTGTTTCAACTATATAGGTTTTCTCGCATTATTGTATTGTTTTCCAATAAATAACCCTATGAAATGCTGTATGGCCTTTTTTGAAAACAAAAAGCAGAGCCCACTCAAAATACGGATATAAGAAAGAGCGCTCCAGTGCTATTTAGTTGAGCCATTCCTTTATCCCGGCTGGCTGCAGCTGGGTGGCGGCTGGCATCCATGCCGTCACTAGCGGGCGGCTGGCTGGCGATCGTTCCGACCAAAATGTCAAACACTTAGGGCCGCATGCACTAACCTCCCCGCGGGGAGGGGATCGCAGCTCAAAAGAAAGCTTAATATTTCGAAACTCCAGATACCTGGATTTCACGTTGTGTACCTATCCGTAAGTATTCCTACTACCCTTCACTATGAACATGTTGAAGATGAGCGAGAAGCTGCACGAACCGCATTTCCCAGCTTTTGTATGATCCCTGATCATCCCCGGCGCTTCTCTTTGAAGTCATTTTTCTTTCTCCAAAGTTAACGTATAACCTCCAAAGTTGTACTGAACATCTAACACAATAGTGCTAAGCATGTTGCTGATGAGAACAAATGAGTTTTTGAAAAGTCGAATTTTTCGGTAAACCTCAGATTTCGACCTATGGATCATCGAAAATTTCGTGACTTTAAAACATCATTTGTTCTTATCAGCAACATGCTTAGCACTATTGTGTTAGATGTTCACTACAACTTTGGAAGTTCGTTAACTTCGGGGAAAGAAAAATGACTTTAAAGAAAAGCGTCGGGGATCATCAGGGATCATACAAAAGCTGGAAAATGCGGTTCGTACAGCTTCTCGCTCCTCTTCAACATGTTCATAGTGAAAGGTAGTAGGAATACTTACGGATAGGTACACAATGTAAAATCCAGGTATCTGGAGTTTTGAAATATGAAGCTTTCTTTTGAGCTGCGATCCCCTCCCCGCGGGGAGGTTAGTGCATGCGGCCCTTAGAGTCTGCTACAGCTCAGAAACTCGCGCAGCCGTCAGCCGGTGCGAGTGTCTGGGCTGTGGCAGATTCCTCGTGGGGTTACCCTTTTAGTAGGTTTAGTCCTCCACCCCGGCGCAAACCAGGTGCTTGCGCTCGGCCGACTTCCCGCAGATGTAGGCCCCGCCCCAAGATGTGCGATTTTGGCGGGCGTCCGCCTCACAACGGTACGCAGTTACAGTACATCATATCGTCCCAAGAACCCATGCCTGCTTGTCCCCCTTCTCCTCTATTTTTAGTTAACAAAATGCCAGCTCTGTGCGCTCGCATAGTCTCCAGCGAAGCGGACTCCGCTGCTCTGTATAAAATGCCTACGTCGAGGTAAAACAACTGCAAACATAAGGGTTCCGCAAGGATCCTGTCTAACCTTGGCGGGATCTGCTTCACTCGTCTAGATTCAAAATGATTGGTTTTGAGAAATGTTTTGCTATCTTCGCCAATTTCGAGGTGAGTTTTTGGATCAGCAAATTGGTACTGATTGGTAGCGAAAAGTTGTCAGATCGTGAATCTTGCTGAGCTCTGTCATTAAGGGACACAACCAAACCTTTGATACATAGAGCCATGTACTCTGGTAACCTTCACTTTGAGCGTCATGATAGAACATAACCTTCACCTGAAGAAAAGTACAGAAGTCATCCTTGGCGAAAATTCCCGGATATTACGATATAACTATCTATACAGAAGTAAATATGAATGAAGCAAGTATGTTGGGTGATATTTGAAAAAAAAAGCTCAGGAAACAAAAGGATGCGGTTTTTGCGGCTTTTTCTGCTAAAGAAAAGGTTTTTATCCGAAAATTCCTCTAGAATTTAGGATGACAATTCCCAATCAACCTTTTGTAGATTATGATTGTGTGTTAGAAGTGCACGAAAGCTGTTGGGGTCTAATAAAAACGAGAAACTGCGCCTAAATCTTGCGCAGAGAGTCGCCACACGCTGGTTTATCTCGCTATGAAGTGATTTTCAACATCCGCGACGTTGTCAGTGCTCCTAATTGTGTCATGAGGATCACAACGATATATATAATGTTATAGGGTTTTAGGACCCCACCGAGATCCACGACCAGAACCACTCAGACAATCACAGGCTCTCAGCGGGCCCCACCAAAAGCGTCGTTGCCTTATCGCAGCCACTGTCCCCGCTGAGAGCTTTGTCGGAGCTTCGTCGGAGCTTGTCGGAGCGGGCTCGCTGCCCGCTGAGCCCGCTCCGACAAGCTCCGACAAAACTCCGACAAAGCTCTCAGCGGGAAGCGACAGTGAGGCGATGAGGCCACCGCGTTTTGGTGGGTCTAGGCGGTGGCTTTGTGGCTGCCGGCTGAGAGCATTTGATTGTCTGAGCAAATGCCCCGTTAGCTCTGGTCCGTCTCCCCTACTCGTCTGCGTCTCCGCGCGTTGCGCGCTATCTCGCTACCTTAAACGCGGGTCGCGGGGCACTTGGCTCTGGTACCCTTTTCTTTGTTATTTTTGATGTAGACCTATGCAAAAAATGCGTATTTGTTCACAGGCCTTTATTGGAGGTGTTAAGCAACCATTTCTTACAAGCTTGGGGGCGTTTTGCTCAGGAATGTGAACAGAATAAGACAACGTCGCTAGAAACAGAAACTACGAGAAGGGGCTAAAATCTACAGCGCGCACTAAAAAAGAGGTTGTATTTGACGTGCATTTCGACTTAGGAAAAAACAAAACTTCGTTTTCATAACTAAGTGTTTTTCCTTTATTTTCTTGATGATAATCACTACTTCCAAAATATGTTTCTTTTCAAAACAATCACAAAGAAGAGACTTCCATCGTTTTCCCCATGCCTATAAACAACTTTTTATGGGGGAGGGGAGGGGGGCAGACACTCAAACAACCTTCACTTTTGACGCCCTGTCTCTAGACTATCGAGGGTATGGACACAACGGAAGGTACCTTGACCACCGCATGCAGGAATTTCACCTCTACCTTTTTATGCCGCTCTAACAGCCTTCAAGATTTTACGCGCTAGCAATTCGAGCTCGTAGATTAGTACTGTATAGCTAATATGCAACTTTGATGTTGCTTGATGCAATAACTGGTGGGTGGTCATGCTTGTTTCAACATATGCGGATCATCCAGATTTCCTTGATACTCGTGTAGAGGAGACGCTCTCTTTCTCCTATACAGTTACTGTGCGAGCAATTTTTTTGTGCGGGAGAGCAAGCGGCCACGCCCTTCAGAAAATGTTTCAGATGCCTGAATCTAGAATCTTCCAGCTTCCAGAAAATTTTGGAACCTCCCAAAAATTTTTTTTGAAAGGCGTGACGGACGCCAGGCCTTTTTATTCGAGCTTTTTTTGTCGCGCCATACTTCCCACCTCGAGATAATTCTCGGTTCGCCAATGGTATTCAGGTACAATGTTAGAGGATTCAGAAAACCCGTTTTCGCTAGCATAGAGCAGTGTAATCTGCATTTTCAAGTTTGTGTGATGAATAAGCTCAGGTAAGAAGAAAAACCGAAAGACTGGGATTTCCCCAAACGCTGTTTATGACTTCCAGTCTGCTCCTTGCAAGGAGCGCTCGTATGCAGAAAAAAGAGTAGGTAATGGCGTATTCTTGAATTGGAGGTACTAAAAACAAGCTGTAAACTTACACAAGATTTTGAATATAACCGATTTCATGATAATTGCGACACATTGCAGAAGAGACTTACATTGAGGGCTGGGGAATTTGTTGAGGTAATGCGAGTAACTGATGACGTCCTGTCATTGGAGTCTTTCTTGCATGGCGTCCCGGAGGAGGAGGACGAGCCCAACATACTTCCAAACGGCTGCCGTTCTTAATCGTATCATGGGAAAAGCATTATAGTAGGTTGTTACATAAGTCTTGTTACACTTTAACTTTTTACGACGATAAGTCGTACAATTCATGAATTTGATAGGGCTCCAGGTTACCATTCGATAGACCGAAGCATGCTCTACAAGATGGTGTGCAAAATTTTGCACCAGCTTCGATTCACCATAAGGTTTGCATCCATCTGAGTCTTACTGAAAGCTCAAAAACTAGGGAAATATTCATATCTTTGTTCACAAAGTCATACAGATCTCCCATTGCTCAGCAAATCACACGCCACATCAGACACTTACACGTGCCGTTGCTGTATCTTTTCTTCATCTAGAAATCGAGAAAACAAAATTTTCTTTTTTTACAAAAACAAAGCAAGCTGTTTTCTACTCATTTAGTCATTTACCACAAGTCCTTAAAAGTATAGCCATAGATTTCAGCTTTTCACAAGCCATAGTTTTCGAAAAATACTTTAGCTTTTTTAGCTTAGCTTTAGCAATAGCTTTTTTCACTCGGGTGTTCAATTATAAATTCGGAATTTCTCAAAAACTAGGGCTTGTGAAAAGCTGAAAATTTGCAGTTATACTTCTAAGGGCTTGTACTATACAATTACATGAGTGAAAACAGCTAGCTTCGTTTTCGTTAAAGCATGAGAACTTTCTTTTTCTCGATTGTTAGATGAGGAAAAATACAGGAACGGTGCGTGGGAGTACCTGATGTGGTATGCAATTTTTATGAGCAAGCTGGAGATTCGTAAGGTTTTTTTGAGAAAAGATAAAACTTCTTCCCAGTTTTTTGAGCCTTCGGTAGACTCAGATTCTGGATGTAAACCTACGATGGGTCGAAGCTGGTGCGAAATTTTGCATGCCGTCTTGCAGAGCTTGCTTTGATCTATCGAATAGTACTCTGGAGGCCCCATTGAAATCATGAAGTTTACGACTTATCGTCGTAAGAAATCAAAGTGTAACAAAACTTATGTAACAACCTAATAATTGGGAATTCATCCTCACCAATATCACTCCATTGAATTTCTCCAAAGCTGCTTCAGCTTGAACTCTTTTATGAAATCGTATGAATCCATATGTTCGCTGGATCTTTACTCGAGCAACACCCTATAGCAATGTTGTTGAATAGAAGAGCTTAAAGGCAGCGGCTCGGCAGATTTTCAACTTCGGGGTTTTGGCAGATTTGGGGCTCTTCCGCCCCCTGAATCACGACATGAACTTCCCTTAGCGCGAAAATGGGGAAAACCCCGTCTTTTGAAATCCCTTCTGAGACGAGCGCGGACGAGTGAGCCGTATTTCTCTGTCGTCAGAGACGCAGAGTAAGGAGGTAGATACCGCTAGAACTCTGCCCTACGAAGCTACGAGTGACGGCGCGTTTTCTAGCGGAGAACATACTCGTCCGAACAAGGTTTTAGGGGAGCGAAAAGAGTAAGGGGAGCGACGGTTGGGCCGCTCCCTGGCTTGCAGAGTTCACATTTTCGGGGCGGAGTTGCTGTTTTGGTTCATTTGGAGGGCCTCCTATCCATCTGTGACAAAATCTGAGGTTGGTTCATTCTGCCGAGACGCTGCCTTTAACGAAATAAACTCACAGCTTCTTCTGCTCCAAATAGTTGCTTGAGCGCATACTCTGACGTGCCTGGTGCTATGTTTCTTATGAATAAATTGGCCACCTAGAACGATCGTGAACCTTTACGAGGTGAGAAGGACGAAGAGATCTTCCATGCTCTGTTGTGTGCTCCAATCCCCCTTTATTTTATGATCAATGATTCTACATAGTTTGCTTTTTCAGGACCATTACATACATTCAACATCATTTCATGTCTTGATAGCATCAAATTCTCTCGAGAGCTAACAAGAAGTAAGCAGGCTAGGTGCATAGTTGGTGCAGGTCGAGTGTTACAAACATTCAACCTTTGGTAAAGGAAAAGGCGAATTCGTGCATGCCCGTGATGTCCACCAATTATTAGGAACATAAGCTGCATCACTTCGGCTAGTTCATTTAAATCGTACTTGTTTTGTTTCTTCTTTTCTTTCAGGTTCACCAAAGTTTGTATTGAGGTTATCTTCGATTTGGGTAAATGCAAAAGAATCCGATCTGAGGTACATGAGAGACAAAAATGATTAGAGATGCATGGAAAGGCTTCGATAAATCTGTTGAAGCATTCTTTGATAACCACAATCTTAGAGCTGTGCACGTACAAATGCGAAGTTCCTACCGTCTTCATAATCTCGGCGGAGACGGTGTGTTCTGCTCTCGCCCAATCTACGGTGAGTGCTCGGCCTCCCATCTAAATCGTAAACATCTAATTGTGCAGTATTAGCAATCGTTATTGAAGGTGGAATGGATGTCTCAAAAATCTTAGACTACAATATTTACGCATCTTCGTTAGACTCGTTTTGAAGAGCCAGAAACAACCAAGACTATGAGAAGAAGCCAACATGATCGAAGAAGTCTTGCATTGCGATAAAAGACGAATCTGTGTGGACAGCGCCAAATGGCATGAGAAACAATAATCACGATTTTAAGCACAAAATACTTTCCGTCAGTCTAAGAAGGACATTTCGCAGCAAGGTATACCCTTTGATAATTAAACACCTATAGTGGGACGTGATTGATCAAGGTACTTGTTCTCTTCTTCTGCTTGACCTGCAATCGTTACTAATTTATGAGCTTATCATATTAGGTTGGTCCGAAAGTTCTGTCCCACCATTTTCAAAAAATCGTAACTTCTTCCCAACACAATGTTTTTGCAAGATTCAAACCACATTAGAAAAAGCAAGTGCTTTCTAAAACTGAGTCATGTGCTTTCTAAAACTGAGTTGGCTGCTATTGACTAAGCTCTGAATGCAGAGATAAAATTGGGGAAAGGAATTCATTTCAATTTCGGAATTTTTAAGCAAGCCCGTTAAAAAATCCAAGACAGTGCAATAAGATCCAAAACAGCCACTATCCTAGATTATTTCACCCCCTCTTTCTGGCTGAGCAAAGCTCGCGTTGATCGAGCTGTTCTTCGGAAAGTTATGATTTTTTGAAAAAAATGTCAAAAAATCAATTTTCTTAAGACACTGATTTTTGGCATTTTTTCTTAAAAATCACAACTTCTTTCAAAAGAGCTAGATCAGCGCGAATTTTGCTCAGCTGGAAAGTGGGGATTAAAAAACCTAGGATACTGGCTGTTTTGGATCTTATTGCACTGTCTTGGATTTTTTAACGGGCTTGCTTAAAAATTCCAAAATTGGTGTGAATTTCTTCCCTCAATTTTATCTCTGCATTCAGAGCTTAGTCAATAGCAGCCAACTCAGTTTTAAAAAGCACATGAATTGCTTTTTCTAATATGGTTTAAATCTTGCAAAAACATTGTGTTGGGAAGAAGTTACGATTTTTTGAATATGGTGGGACAGAACTTTCGGACCAAACTAATATATAATTTTTCAATCGCTTGAAAACTTATATATTTGCTAGGTCCGTTTGAAAGTGATTGATGGACTGAGCAATTTGAAAACTTCAGATACACCGTTCTACCAACCCGTTTGAAATTTGGGACTTTCGCGGTACATGTGTAATTGTGGAATGTACTGAAGCAGATAATCGCTGCACACTGTTTGTTTATTATAAGCATGCAATTTGTGAGGAGACATGCGGCTTTGGAAGAAACTAGTGAAGTGAAGGATAGTATCAGCTGAAATCCAGAACCAACGAACTGTTTTCAGAGGTCCTCGCAAAAGACTGCGCTGTAAACATATGACAGTCTCAGTCTGCACCACGATATGATAGCAGTCCAAAAGTGTGGGGAGTATACGTGATTGTTGATTTACTTGCACCATTTTTATAAACCAACAAAATCATCAATTTTACAGTAAGAACCAATCAAAACCTTATTCCTTGTTGTAGTGCACGACCTTTTGGCACATTCTTGTTAGGTTCTCAATCTCAATTTTTCAAACGGCAGCGCCCGGGTTCAAAGAAATTCATCTAACCAGCGCTTAAACTACTTACTGAAAGGGAGGCATGCACCATTCATAAGGTTTGCTAAAGAGCAAAAAAAAATGATAATCTGATAGAGCGAGGTTTGGAGAGTACGTTGGGTACTGAAGTACCTTCCAGTCAAATCGTGCAGGACAATTTCGACAACGTTTGCCGTATTAGGCCATGCTTCCTCATGCGAAAAATTCACCGAATCTGTCTGTTAGGCTTTTTTTGCTGTAGGAACTGGTTTAGACGGTGCAGTTAGATTGCTTACGGTATGGTTGACCATAAACTACTTGTAGGGCAATGTGCAGGACGTCCTGCCCGGATTTTCTTTTTTGGTAGCTACGAAATTCGTCTGAATCAGCCTTTCTGCCGGAATTAGTAAACATATTTTAAAGAGCATAATTAGCCTTTTCCAATGATATACGCACCTTTTCGCAAATCAACCGCTCCTCAAAGATATGAGTTCGAAAATAAAAACGTTACCTTGAACTTATGAAACGACCTAATTGAACAAGTAAACATCCGCTTTGCCATTGGTCGGTCTGCTAATTTAACCAATAGCAAAGTATATGAAGTGGATCTAAATCAAGTGGATCAAGTATAGGGTGTGTCTGATGCATGGTGTCACAACAATTCTTTTGAAAAATGCGCTAAATTGCACCTTTGCATTGCTTTGAAAAACAAAAAATTTGGCTGTATTAGAAATTGGGCACTTCAAAATATTATAGACGAAATAAGCATACCCTATAACAGTACAAACCTTTGCAGATTGGAACACTTCTGACGCACACAATCTACAAATGTGCCGAACTGTATACCTTAAGGCCAGTGCCCCCTCCCCCCTCCCGAGAACGGGTCGCGAAATTTTTGAACTTTACTTACAAGTGTTATAACAATGTGCAAGTGACTTGTTTGTTCTTGTAAACAATTGCAATATTAGGTTGTGCCGAAAGTTCGTTCGCACCATTTCCAAAAATTCATAACTCTTTAAATTCTTAACGAATTTGTAAGAACAAAATTTTGCCTAAGAGAGGAACTCATGCTGTTTGCCCCTGTGCCTGAATTGTTCGTTAATATGTACAGATGAAGGAGATAGAAGCTCAAAACCAAATCACTCAAAAATTGAATTTTTCGTGTACGGTCATAAAAAATCGGGTATATGCCAAGAATAACGATAGCTGGCAATAGTGGCGCCCTGAGTGCCCGGGTGTCAATAAACGGTATACAGGTAGCACCGCCCCAGCAGCGGACGAGCTCACGCAGGCAGTACATTTTGTAGCAGTGAATGCCCAAAGCGTTGTTATTCTTTATTCATGCTTTATGTTAAGGCTTCTGCTATTTTCTAAAAATGGAAATAGTCAGCTTTACATGCCATGAACACGCGAAAAAACTGTTTTAAGCTTGGTTTGGCATGTGAAATATGTAAGCTTTCATGGTTGATTAAAAAAACAAATTTCAAATGAAACGAACTGTGATTTAAATCATTTTTTTTTCAATTTAATGAATGAGTGAGGGAGGGCTGTTCTGCGCGCGCGAGTAGCTGGCAGCTAGCGGCTGGCAGAGCTATCATTATTCTTGACCGCCACCCTAAAAAATCGGAAACTCGCAACAAAAATCAGAGCAGTAGGCATTGTAGGCTCTTTCACCAGCTCTTTCTAACAGTGCAAAGTTTGCGCTGATTGAGCGTCTCTATGCAAAGTTATGATTTTCGAGCATCAATAGAAAAGGGCGAATTTGATTTATTTTGGCATTTTTCAGGGAAATCATAACTTTTCATAGAGATGTTTAATCAGCGCAAACTTTGCACGGTTGGAAAGAGCTGGTGAAAAAACCTACAATACCGACTGCTCCGATTTCTGCAAGTTTCCGATTTTTTATGGCCGTACACGTAAAATTCAATTTTTGAGTGATTTTGGTTTTGAGCTTCTATCTCCTTCATTTGTATATATTAACGAACAATTCAGGCACAGGGGCAAAGAGCATGAGTTACTCTCTTAGGCAAAATTTTGACCGTACAAATTCGTTGAGAATTTAAAGAGTTATGAATTTTTGAAAATGGTGCGAACGAACTTTTGGTACAACCTAATAATTTTTGAAATTTTTAATTCAAATGTAAAAATTTTTTTCGGTTATGATTACAGGGGTTATGAGCGCGCAAAAAGTTTCAGGAGTATCCCAAAGATTTTTTCGGAGTGCGGGGCTAATGACACGCACCTTCATTTGACAAATTTTTTGCCGCTCTTCTCCCCTCCCCCCTCTCCGGACGGAAATCCTGCGACCACCACTGCTTAAAGCCAGTGGGCGGTCGCAGGATCTCCGTCCAGGGAAGTTGCAGTTTTTTTCATTTTTCAAATGAAGATGCGTGGATTAGCCAAGCATTTCGAAAGTTTTTGGGGTGTTTCTCGAAATTGTCGCGGGTGCCACGCCCCCAACAACGTTTAAAAATTATTTTGCTTGTTTACAGAATAAACAATTCACTTGCAGGTTTCTATAATCCATTTAAGCAAATTTCAAAAATTCGCGACCTCAAGAGGGGGGATGGGGTGCGCCCCCAGTGCTCAAAGCTCGTGTTACAGGAAAGAACCAGATTCGTAAATTTTTGTAACATTGTCTTGTAGCTTCTATCGAATTTGATTTACTCGAACGTTTTTCATCAATCATCAGTTCGAAACCTCTTCAACATGTCGAAGAGTTTCTGCTTATACTTTACAAAGTCGCAGTGAATGCTCTATTCTACTTTTGTATAAAAGAAATTACATTCAAAACAAAATCAAAACAGAATGAACGTATTGAGAATCATGAACTTTAAAAAATCCTATCAAATTATTTTTAGCTTTTTTGCGGTCATTTTTCGCAGTGCGCACTATCAAAAAACGCAAAATTCTCTCTTTCTGCTATGTGTTGTCCATTCTTTAAAAGCAGAGGAAAGAGGAGATTACGATATTTCAAAAGAAAGAGGGGCGGATGCAATTCGTCTCAATTTTTCTTCTACAGTTTAGCAAGATAATAAGATATAGTCGAAACTTCGACTTCTTGCGACTTCAATGGAAGCTATTCTCTTGCGCTGCGTTGAATTTCCCCTTAAAATACATGGTAAGCGCATGTCACAGTGAGATTAGAATATCATATCATTTTGAGTTTAGTCCAATATCAGTGCACTTTACTTTGAAGAGCAGAAGCTGCAAATTTTCGGAGTTTCTCACCTTAATCGGAGAACTCAGTAGCCTTTCCTTTGCTCGTACTGCTGTACCAACATCGGCGAAGCTAACAAATGCGAATCCACGATTTCTCATCAGCGGGCTACCCTCAGCATAAGCATCGATGGATGTGGCTTCAGGAAGCAGATTGCGCAGGAAAGACTGAAATCAATATTCATATAACAACTAAAACGATAATTTTATTCTTCCAGCATTTCCCAACACAACCCACCTGGACCCTTTTTGGTTCCCAATCTCGCCTTATTTCACCTATGAAAAGTCTGTCACGGTGCTCCACTGGTGCTAAACAGGTGATATATTCAGACCTAATTTTGAAAAGCTTAACTTACAGCCTTCATTTTTCATTTTTTCCTTAACTTCGGCTGCCATTAGCATATTCAGTTTGGAGCTGAAAAAGAAGGAATGCATACGTAAACAATAACTGCAAGTTGTCTTTCTGACCTGTCGGAATGTTAAGTCCACATCCGCGCTATCACTACGCCATGCAATTTTTTCTGCAACGATGTTTATATTTTAGATAAAATATTACAGCTGGAAAACTTTTAGGTTTTAATTTGGGAGCATCATTGCGTACTTCAATCTAATACCGCACTCTGCAGATATAAGTACTCATTTATAAATGGGCCCAGACATTACGCTGGAAGTGTTTTGCCTCAATCTCATACCTAACCATCTATGGAAGAGTGAGTGGGATTGGAGAGGAGAAAAATCCTCTCGAATGAAGGAATGTGGAAACAATAAAATACTTCCGTTAACCTTTCCTGGTTTTTTGCAGGCTATTTAGCTACCACCCCAACAAATTTTCCACGAAGACTTGGATTAATTGATAAAAACTATTCAATTACGGGTAAAAGTTACTTGCGTGATAATGACTCATAATCAATTCGAATCAAGTGAGCTAGACAAAAAAGTCGCTCCCTTCGTCACGCCACGATGAATAGAATAGAATGCATATAGAGGATACATGATACATCTTTGTCCCTCTTTTTGCTTCTTATTAAGGAGTAAAAAATACAAAAAATGCTGGTCTAAGTGCTTAGAAAGCCTTCCATCAATCATAACAAAGTTATCGGGTAACGGACCTACAGTCAGATTTGAAGTAAAGTTTTGAAACAACGGTCGCCAAAATGAGAGAGAAATTGAAATTTAAAAATTTCCATGGCGTGATCCAAATTCTTTTTTGTCGATTAGCAAGAGCAGCTATAACAAAGACACCGGAAAATCTTGTAAAATTTACCAATGTTGGTTGCAATTCGTAATATTGGTTTTTTTCAATTACAACCTTTTCTCTAATCGGTTGGCTACTTTTGTTCCTCACCAATCTTGAATGGTACCGCTAACTCCTACCTAGTACATTTATAGTGCAGAATAGAAAGAGGAAAGGACGGGAGTCAAGCTAGGTTTGGATATCTGCGGGAATTTTGGTCTCGCAAACTAGCTTTTACTAGGTTTCGTAGCAGAGACCTTAGGAGAAAAGAAGAGAAAACGCAGAACAGGAAAAGTCAGTTTCGCTTCAGTTCCCAAAAAAAATTCTGTTTGCAGAATTCTACCTCTTTGACTAGAGAATGACTACGAAAATTTTGCCTATGGGAAACTCTTCGAGAAGTAGGAGGTCTCCAGAAAATCGTCGTAGCCATAAATTCGAGCTTTCGTTCTCGGAGCAAACTAATGGCAAGAAAAAGAACTTCGCGGAGAAGTTGAGATTTGAGTCAATTTAGGCAGTTCCCGATGCCCGAGGTAGTGCCATAGGAAAGCGAAACAAAAGAAAAAAAGAGGAGAAATGCTATCGACTGAGGGGTCCGTCTAGCATAAATGTAGCGCTTACATGCTGCCGAAATAATTTATACCAAACGCATGATAGATTTCACCTACACGCACTCTCACATACGTAATGTCGTGAGAGTAGGTATTGATCAGCTAACTGCAGAATCTCTTATAGACACGCAATCGCTAAGAACATGCTAAATAAGTGTCAGAGACACCCAATGACATTTGGGTTTCAATGGGCTGAGTGACGGAATCAGCGGTTTGAAGACGAATCTTTCAACGAAGCAATGTGCATGAGCAATGGTATATTTCTTCACAGCTTTTCCGCACGGAGATGAGGCGATAACAAGCGAAAACATCGGCTACTCCGACACCAGCTGCGGAAAAAAAGGTGCTTGCTGATTCAACTGAGACTAGATTTTCGCAGTACAGTCAGCTGCGCGGATGGAATTTTGTCTGATGACTACCAGTGCAGATAAAAACTTTTGTGAAGGACTGCATGAGCAGAAATATTCACAGCTTTTTTTCTTGAGCTGCACATGATGAAACTGCCAATGCTCCAAGTACTTCTCGTAATTTACTGTATTACTTGGTCGATTTCGAGTGTTTGGAAGATGTCTGAAAGAAAAGCGTGAATGAGCTACATTTATATTATCCTACCTATCGCTTAAGCAATGCATTACTCAGCTCTTCAATTATGTATCAAAAATAAACCTAAATCGACTATTCTTTATTGTACAATAATTCCGCTCACTGTGATGTCACAGATGTACTCCTAATATTTAATTTTTTCTTTCGTGTTGAATGATATGAATAAGGAATGACCCAACTCAATCTTGCACTCGCATTTTCACGACTCTACTTCTCAAATTGAAAAAAGCACCTGGTTGTACTGCCTGGATATACTAGGCTGGCACATAAGTGATGCAACTTTTTATATAGCTTCCATTTCTTTGAATTTGGGGCATTCATTCTTTGATATTATGAACTTTGTAATATAAACCACAAGTGCAGCCATTTTTTGTCTGATTTCGCCATCGGATGTAGGGTGTTACGCTAAGTTTGCTGTGTAACGGGAGAATTTTCAGCTTACTTCAGAATTTGCTGAAAGATATCTAATGCGGCATTCGACATGCTGGTTATAAAAATGATAGCCATTCTGCATGAAGGAGACAATGAATATAATGTTTGTGTTCGACATGTCGGATTACCCTTTGTGAGAAGCCTTGACAATTACTGAGCAGGGAATGGTCAGAACTTAACCTAGCCGTACCAAACATGCTATATATCATATCGGACTCGCCTTGAAACGCTTGTCACAAAGGAGGAGTTATGAGCATTTGAATCAGGGCTCGGCACGAGGTGGCTACTTGAAAATGCAAAAAACGAAGTCCCTTTACTTCTGCGAATTTTTACGAAGTCCCCTTTGACTCTAGACTATAATTCCTAAAAAAATCTCCGAAAAAACGAAACGTCGACAAAAAAAATGCCTCAAATTATGTATCTTTTTCGGCCATAAAAACTAAACTATCTTTGCTTTTTGTCCCAAAAACGATATCCAGCTTGCTTATAAGCCACCTGTGCCGAGCCCTGATTCGTATGTGCGATTTGTCAAATGTGGCGCATGTTCCGCGTAACAGATTCCAGAAATATTTATTTAGGTTTTTGGTGAATGTGCTTCTTCCTTGTAATCAAAATAACCATAGTCACTGTAAATCCGCGCCATCAGGCTGATTTTCATAGCTCGGCCATCGATTAATGTCCCTTCAATTTTGAATGCATTCGACTGGTTCATTCTCGATAGCGCAGATATTACTTTGTCTCTAAACTCCATTTTCAATTAGCATAAATTATCAACCTCTAGCAACCTGCCCACAATTTTTTCTTACTAGGAAAGATTGCGAGGTGATATTGGCCGATCACCACAAGATGCACGGGAAGTTAAAGTGAAATTTTCTGCCTTCCATATTTGCAGAACGCTCTTGAGAAGGAACTTATGGATGTTTCAATCATTAAAATTTGCATTGTGAGTGACTAAATAATGGAAGTCGTTGAAATTGCTTCTTGGGCCACAGGATAACATTCAAAAAGGCCCAGCAGCATGAATAAGCTGTTCCAAAAAAAATTTGAGTTCAAAATGCTTATGAGCTAATAATTGGCCGCTCATCTTGCAATTTTTCCACAAATAAAAGTCCATAACTTCCTTCCCAGAAGCGTTCTGCAGTTACGGAATCGGTCATAAAATCAGCGCTGCAAGGTCTTAGATGATATTCATCTTGCAGTGATTGCCCATATCAACTTCGCCATCCTCCCTTTTTAGTGTGTTCTATTAAGGCCGCGCATGGCTTCGTTTTTGCTGGAAAACAGTGAAACTCAATTTTCGACAGTTTTTGAGAGATGATTCCCTCTAATGCTATGAAAAACCAAACTTTGGGTAGTCTTATGGGCTACACCACAATCTATGTAATGCCAAGAGGGCGCCACATTCAAAATGAATTGGCTTGTGAGGCAGGTTGGAAAACTTTGTGCCAACCAAATAATTTGCAAAAAATATGCATGGAATTTTTTTTCTGCAGCTTCAATGGATAGTGCTGCGCGCAGGGCAGGGAAGAGAGATAACATCATGATTCATCTCGCAGAGGAGGAGCTTCGACATTACTAGTCTTGCTCGGATACTCAGTTCTAGAAGTTATGGTGTCTTTATTACTCTCAGCAGAGCACTTTTTGATAGTTTAAGGAGCGAGAGTACTAGTAATAGTACTTCCATTCCTAAAACACTGTAATCAAATCCTGAAAGAGCATAAAGCTTCAATAATCCTTTACATTTCGATATTTAAGATTAATCAAGGTTATAGTAGACATTCGGCTAATAGGTCGACATATTCGCATCTTCAAAACTTTTCGGAGGTAAATAGGTTCTGTTGTAGAACACTTTTCGCTAAAGACAAATATCTGAGTTTTGCATAAACTCCTTTCAAACCTGATCGGAACAACTTTGCTAAATAAGTTAGATCTCTTTTTAATGGGTTGTAGGAAATTTACAAGTTGATTTGTTTGTAAACATATGTACCACTGGAAAGAGAAAATCAAGGAGAATCGATGGCCAACTTTATTTGAGCGGTCAATCATTATTTTGAGAACGAAATCATACAGAAAGTGAAATAGTCAGATTTCTTTATTTTGCGAGAAATCATGCTTCGAAAAAACGCTGAAGACGGTGTAAAATACATATAGCAAATTTTGAAATTTCCAACAATTTGCACGACCATAGATGGTCAAGTTCAAGCAATCTTGATTGTCCAAAAGCTGTTTTGCGCAAACGCGTGGAAATTCTCAAATTTTTGACTGCAGAAATTCACAAACAGCAGACTACGACCATTGTAGTTCGCCATGTAGCCAAAAGTAGTATATTTTAAGTCGACTATGCACTCATTATAGGCTGAGAAAGAGACTCAGATAGTTAGAAAAGCGGTTTTCTGGAGGTCTGACCATGTAAGGGCACAACTATAACTTTATGTGACGAAAAATTCTGACTCTTTGAACTGAACTTAGTTATTTGCCAACCCAATTTAGGGTGTTCCAGAAGTTATAAATTGTTTATTGTTAAT